ATCACTTTTGAATAACAAAAACATGGAAAGTGTGATGAAATATGCTGAGGAATGCATTTGAAAATGTACCCTCTTACAACAGGGATCAATTAAGCACTTGGAAATGTCAAAGTTGTATTTGATACAAAATGAAAAGCAAATTGAAATGATGAGGAAACATAGAGAGTTTCGGTGGATTCCCCAAGAGAGAGAAGTATGATAATATTATTATGCACAAATAAGGAAAGCATTGACAAGTTGCCATTATACCAATGCATCAGCCAATATTATGACGAGTGATAAGCAGTAGGCAGATAATGGATCCATTAGATATTAAAAAGCTTTTCTTTGACTATGCTGAAGGTTGATGGTGATCATGTTAAGCTTGGTGTGCCTCTTCATATGAATCTTCCACATAATGCCTGAACATTCGATAGATAAGGCCATGTAATGTGCAAAGGGGTTTTGCCCTAAGCGTATAATATTATGCTATCACGTACTTCAGAAGCTAATGCAGTCTATCTCGCCCACTTTTGCAAGCAGTATATATAGAATATGTGAATGTGGTCAGGGAAAGGATGTAACTGTTGACATAAGTCTAATTTGTATCGACGGAGTCAATAATTCGCACTGCAAAAGTCAACTTCCAATCGTGTCAATAAATACAGATAAATACAGATTCATGCCAAATCAATTAATTAACATCTTCCCTTCTTTAGCATACAAACCTGAAGAAAGGCGGGAAAAGCGCACTGCTTATGGCCTTAGCTTTTCATTTGACTTTTTGTAAGTGGTTTCCTCTGTCCATCGATTATACAGCCAGCCGACGTTGAAAATAACGCGTCGTTCTACGAACGGTATATGACACATCAAAGTTATTTCATTTTGTAGGCCATCTCATGTTTTTATGAATGCTCGCGTCTTTATAACCATTCCACAACATAAGTGTATTGAAAAGGCAATTTCAGTAAAAAACGTTACAAGTACGCTCTGTATCTCACATTGAACATAATTCACAACAACAACAAGCGAAGCCTGCGAATGACATCGACTTTCTGTTTATTGAATATTGACGCCGCAACATATGACACAGGAAGCCCAAGAACAAACGACTTATTTGGTTTGCATTTTGAATAACGGAACCTGTGCCCCCTCCCTGCCAGACCCTCAAAGACCAATTTCGAGGTTTTTCAAAATGTGAAGAGAAATGAGGGGGTTTACAACGAATGCAATTTCAAATTCAAACAATCATAATAAAAGTTGCTTCCAGTAAACGGGCACAATAAATTTAATAAAGAGCAACTTTCAAGCATCGTTGTTTTTAAGACTGACTTGAATACGCTTGTCGACACATCTAACACTTCTAAAAACGTGTGGCGAGTAGATTATCATAAAACCAGGCTGTGAAAGAAAGAGTTTTATAGAACCTACAACTTAACTGTTTAACGAGTGCGTGACTCCGAGCCCAATTTGAGATCTCACGCTTCTATAGCGCTTGCATATGGACTATGGACAGTCGAGGTTTGAGTATGGAATGTGGAGCATTGAGTATGGAGTATGGAGTATGGAATATGGAGTACGGAATATGAAGTATGGAGTATGAAGTATGAAGTATAGACTGTTGAGTATGGAGTATGGAGTATGAAGTATAGAGTGTTGAGTATGGAGTATGGAGTATGAAGTATAGACTGTTGAGTATGTAGTATGGAGTATGGAGTACGGAATATGGAGTATGAAGTATAGAGTATGGAGTATGGTGTATGGACTGTGGAATATGGATTATGGAGTATGGAATATGGAGTATGGAGTATAGAGTATAGAGTATGGAATATGAAGTATGGAGTATGGAATATGGAGTATGAAGTATAGAGTATGGAGTTTGGTGTATGGACTGTGGAATATGGATTATGGAGTATGGAGTATAGAGAATGGAGTATGGAGTATGAACTATGGAGTATGGAGTATGTAGAGGTAGTAGGGAGTATGGTCGTCAAAAAACCTTTTTGAAAGTATTTCATGTTTGATGTACAAATGCGATATGGGGCTTTGTTTATCGATGAATACAAAACTGAGATACACAATCAGAATCTTCGAACTAATAAGAACTGGACCATGAAAATGTTAACAGTGCTATAGCGTCGCTTTTTTGAAATTCAACAATCATTGCAATCTAAGCAAAAAACGCTTGCGATCAGTTTATCAAAACAACTTGTTTACTCAACAGCACATAAAGCTGTTCTCAATAACTCTCTTGTTTTCTTCGCTGCTGGGGTTAGCAAAACAGTCGATGCATTAGATTAGTTAGTTTACCTTGTGGTAAACGTGAGATAGTGTGGACATGTTAGAGGCCAATCATACTTGACTGACCACGGTATATGCAGATAAATTATAGCGTCTAACACTAGACTTACGGTCTCAAAAACTTTGATGAAAGATTAACTGTGCCTTTGCACTAAATCTCCTGAAAAAAGACTCCATAAACTAATATGATAAAAAAACAAGACTTATGATTGTGCTAACTGCTAACGAATCCTTAAAGTGCCCCTGTCAAAAAAATGAAACTCACGCATATTAATCTTTGTAATATGTACATAATGAAAATGGAAATCAGAATTAAATTAAAACGATTTTTGCCGAGTTATTGCGGTATGAATTGCAAAATTTTCAAATTTTAACGGCAAAAGTTTTTTAAAATCGCGAAGTCGGAAACCTGGTAACTAATACGTCACAGTAGGAACCATTGAGTTCTATAATAACTGGAGCGGCTATCTTTACTGGGGCGAGGTCGCCAAAAAAATGGCGGCCAACGGACGTATTTCCGCTGAAATGATCGCTTTGCAGAAAATTTAAATTTCCCTCCTCCTGGAAAGAGTAAGAAAATTATGTGTGTATTTGGGATTCGGCAAGCAATTTTTGATGAAAATCACGATAAAACCACAATTCGTAACAGCGATTCAACATAGCTTTCAGTTATCGCTCACGAGGATGTATTTATAACTATCCACAAAAGGTATATATCGCTTCATCTATGATGCAGTTGTTTGTTTTGTTAGTCCGTCAACTTGTTTGAGCAATTAAACATCTTTGTCTATACAAAAAAGTATATCAAAGATCGTATTTCCAGACTGGTTCACGAAGCCAAATTACTTATTTTTATCATTGCTATTTTGCTTCTTTTACTTTTTCTTTCATTTGTTAATGCATGAAATCGTATATTTACGTATTTTTGTAATTAGTTTCATATTAAATTTCAAAAAGACTCAAGTCTGCATAGGTTTGTAAATGAAAACAAACAATATTGTATAAAATTACTTTAAGTAACCTTGATGTTGAAGTGCAACTGCATCAAATACTTGTAAAGTTGTAGCACATTTTGATTTTGTTGTATTGATATATAAATTGGGCAAAATGCAAATAATCATAAAACACTTATTGCTTCCAATGGTGTTTATAATTCATTTTAGTTTTAATACTTCTACCCTTATTTTTCACTTTGTTTTGTTTTTCCTATATTTTCAATATAAGTGCACAATTTGATGGCAAGAAGGTTCAATTTTTGATGCTTAATTAAATGTCAATTCACAACATGAAAATGAAATGCATATGGATATGTCATAACAAGGCAATAAATTTGAATTAAATATTGATATGACTTGATGCTAGAAGTGAAGCATTAAAATTATAAAGTTATTGGATTATATTACCTCTATATGTTTAAATCATGGAAATCTTTAGCAAAATATTTGTAGAAAAGCTTTGAAATGTTAAAACATTTATTTAAAAAGCATTAATGATGCATATGATAAATTTAAATTCTGTACTGTAATAGGTAAATATAGCTCTTATGTTTCTTAAAGAAATATAAGAAATATTTACCTATATACAGTACAGAATTTAAAGGTTTCATCACTGAATCTTTAATGCTTTATAGTGCATTAGATATTAGTAACATTTAAAAACACTCAACAAATATTTTGATAAAGATATTTCATGATTTAAACATTATGTTATATATAATCCAATGGCTTATCATTTTAATGCTTCACATCTGCATCAAGTCATCAGGTATTTAATTCAAATGTTTACCTTGACACAAACTTTATGCATTTCATTTTATATGTTGTGAATTGACATTTAATTAAGCATCAAAACACACAACCTTCTTGCCATCTTTTTTGGTTCATGAACTGAAAACTTCAAAGCATTCAAGGCATCATTAGTGAATCCATTGTCTCCATCCATAGAATTTGACCATGATCAAATTAAATAACTCTGGATAAGGCAGACAATAAATCAATTATCTTTACAGCATTATGCATTTTTAAGACTCTGCCTATCAATAACATCTTCCAGTCATCTTTACTTCTGGTCTTGATGCATGTTGTCAGCAAATACAACATAACAAGCTCTGCTCCAAATCATGGGTACTGTTCTGATCATTTCTTCTTGATACTTTTCACAAGCAAAATGTGTGCAGGGTCTTTTGCTTTAGGAAACTATTTTGCAAATAGATAGGTAAATTTACGATTTCATGCATTAACAAATGACAGAAAAGTATGCAGAAATTTATAGACAAAACAGGAAAACATCAGTATTTGGCGTTCAAGTCAGTCTTAAAAATACGATCTTTAATATGTATTTTATGGCTTTTCAAGTGCATGTATAATTGCTTTTCAATCGTTGACGGACTAACAAAACAAACAACTACCTCACCTGTGGAAGCGATATGTACCTTTTGTGGAAACTACGACATCCAACAATTGAACGATTGAAGTGTTGGCATTATAATGCCAAAAAGAATCGTCACAGAATATGGAACTAACGATATCCATATTCTGTGATATCGTGTTGTTTTGAAAAATTCTTTATAATTTACTATAGACACCAGGGGGAGGTCGAGAATATTATTTTTCTGCAAAGCGATCATTTCAGCGGAAATACGTCCGTTGGCCGCCATTTTTTTGGCGACCTCGCCCCAGTAAAGATAGCCGCTCCAGTTATTATAGAACTCAATGGTAGGAACCGGTTCGCATCTCAGCTTGTTTACAAATAGTAAAAATTATTGTACAAAGGTCGATATTTACAATCAAAACTCGCTCAATTTTTCTAATAATGTCCTCATCGAACTCAGACACGGAAAGTACTAGCTACCAAACAGACGACTCTGATTGGAATTATTATCCCGGGATATTCGATATAAAAAAGACAAGTGAAGCGTCCGCTACTAAAGACGACAAAAGCACAGATGACAACGCAGACGTTGGCCCATACAGCAATGAACCAGTTGCTGATGAAGAATGGCTTTCTAACTACCGTGGAAGAAAACAAAAATATGATGACCGTTTGAAAGAACTTCAACGTAGACTTGACGGCGAAGAGAAATATGACCAATGGTAATTATTTGATGGTTTTGTAATATAATTCATCGGGATTTCTTTTAAATGAAATTTACAGTACAGAGCTTCTTTATTAAGTTTTGAAATAACGTTTTAAGGTGTAAATGTGGCAATTGTCGAGTTGAGCTTCTTCACAATGTTAAAGAGTGTCAGTGTTGCACGGAAATAGAAGAGTGCGAACAAGCACTGAATAGCGAACTCGTTTTGCAAGAGCTCAACACTGAGAATCCTCCGACTTGCATTGTCAACCATCCTGGTTTTCATAGCCTGTGCTTAGACAAGTGGTCACTTCGTCTAGCAGCTGCAAAGTTACGTACTAAGAAAAGCAGGAGTACCGTCAAACAAGCACAGAAGATAAGTAAGTGCATTATTACTTTGAGAGAAAGACAATGTGTCATTTATGTTTCTGTACTCGTTTCTGTTCATATTCTTAACTCTAAAAATATTAAGATACAATCATACACTACAATTCAAAAGAGTTATATATAAACTAAAATACCACCTGTTTTTGGCCACTTCAATGTATTAATTGCATTTTTAATTTGTAGATTTTTCGAAGTACGTCTTATAGAAGTTTTATGTGGTTAGTTTTGGACATATGGGAAATAAAAGGTATCCCTTACGGCATGTGCATATGACAAAATAAGATGGCAGTTCCAACCAGCTGACAATGACGATTTTGTAGGATTTGTGGAAGAGGAAATCTCTTGAAAATTTTCAACTGTTGTATTTAGGGTTTGTGGGATTAACTTCAAATTATAACAAAAACTATATTTATATGTAATATGATTGTTTGATTATGTAATATGATTGTTTGATCTTGTTATAATCTCGTTTGTTCTAACTCTGTTGTCACTCTGTTGCATCTAATCTGACTCTCTTGTTTTTGGGACAGTCCTTTATTTTGCTATGTCCTGCCATTAAATTTCTGCAGACAGAACACCTTGGTTTTGCTCTGTTGGCAGATGATTTGCCACCCTTTGCCGCCTTTTCTTGAGTAAGGACTACTGAAACTAAAATTTCATTCTACGATAAGTCAATCAAGAAGATATTAATCCAAATGACGAAAGAGTTTGGTGTTACATACACATTGAAGAAAAAAGAAGGATAAGATTAACTTAATTTTAGATTATTATTATGCACCTGGTGTTGTTGGAGGCATATCTTCAACAACAATGGTTTTTCTGGCATTTCTCTTCATCACAGCTATTTCTCTTCTCTCTTTTTCAAGCATGGTGTTCATGGGAGCAGGTGCCATCTTATTCAGCTGTTCATAAGCTATCTTAAGACTGCCATTTTGAGATGCTCTCACATATGTCTGGTAGATCTCATCAACATAATCTAACATTATAATGTCATATTTATTGAAATCATTGCAAGAAAAAATTCACTATTGCTAGAAAAATTTGAACATTTGACATTCATGCCACTATGACATTACTTACCAAAGTTTTGTTTTTCTTTTATATCTCGAACTGTAGCTTCACCCCCTTTAAACTTTGGATATGATATCTTGATCATTGGTGAGCCATCTTTATTTAATTTTGTTTTGCAGGACAAATTTGCATTAAAGTGAATAGCAGCTAGGATGTGCCTAATATGAGGTAGATGTGTCTTAGAAAATTAGCAAACCACTGACAATCAACATTTGTTGTTTTGACATAATAACCTACCTGCAATATATACCAGAAAATGAATATGCATTCATCTTTGGTGAGAACTGGTTTATGGTTGAGTGGAATCCTTCCAAACAACTAGTTTGCTCCAAAGGAGAAGCTTGCTTAATGCCCTTTACAAAGGACTGGTTAAGCATTGCATCTCTTAGCTTTATGTAAGCTGGAGAATCTAAGTGAATGTAAAAAATAAGCTTTCTCTAAAGTAATAGTGCAGGGGTTTTTTGGAACAAAATGGACAGGTCAATTTAGATGAAGCTGTAAACAATGAGATCAACCAACACATACCAGGAAGAATCCACTTTCTTGGAGTCAGTTCACCATGAGCACATTTATCATACAATGGATCATCTAATCCATCATGCTTGTCAATGACATGACTCAGGAATGACTTGAATTTTGCAAGTATAACCATACCATTTCCTGAATGTGTTGATGTAGCACTCCAATAAAAATGATTAATGCACGACTTTACCCATTCGGCCAGTTCTTCACAATCTGCCTCTTTTGCAAGTTTGTTCAATACCTTGTGTAACTCTTGTAATAAAAGTATGTGAAAACTGTTTAATACTTTGGGTTGATTCCGTCGATATGCTATATGTGTATTGGATACTGATAGAAACTTGATTTGCATTCATTTAACAATAACTTACTTTTTTTCAAGTGCCATAGGTCAAAATAGTGGGTAATTCTTGGTTGTTTCTCTCTCATGTATTTAGCAATGGTTTGATGCCTGTCTGACACCATTGTGGAAATGTTCAGACCATCATCCAACAAAAAATTCAAACACCTCTGAAAACCTTTGAATTCCATTCCTGTGCTGCTTCCAACCTCATTTCTCTACAATTAAGGAAGAGACACAATCAGCATAACCTTTGAATGATAGTCACATTGCTTGAGGTTGAATTTTAAAATTTGTTTAGACCTGGATCAAACTAAAATCGATTATTTCAGCTGAAGTACAACAAAATATTGTATAAGCACCATATTTTGCACTATGACCCATGCTGTCATGTCGTGCGTCACCAGAAATGGTAATTGATTCCAGAGCCTGTAATCTATCAAGAATCTTTCTTTGATAGTCTTTCCAGTGATGAAAGATTGTCGGAAGCACCATTTTCTTAAGTAAGAATAAGAAATACTATCAAATTCTTCGAACAAAGAACGGTCCAAGTATTTTTAATGTAAAAGAACGTACCACTTGGTGTCTATAGAAAGACTCATTAGATATTGTAGCAAGCCCCATGTGTCGAAACATGTTGATCACTTTGGTGGAAGATCCTCCAGAAACAAGTATGGCAAAACTTAAAAGGAAGTCTCCTGCATTTACTTTTGTGTTTGGCAAAAGTGGCTGACTTTTCCAGATGTTATTCCTTTTATCGCACGCGGGGTTTCCACAGGTTGTTTTGACAACAACTAGTGTACCATCTGTTACCATTTCTACGAGCGGGTTATCTGCCTTGCAAACATGGCAAAATTTAAACAGTAACATCAACTGGGATTGGAAAACAATGTATTTTTCTTCCTTCCGTATGTTTTCTCTAGGATTCCTAAACGAAGATAGAGTCATACGGGTGCCATCAAGACATAGAATGATTCACAATTAGATAGCATTTACAAACAAGTCAAATATTTTACCTTCTGCATTCATCTTCTAATTCATCAAATTCCGATCTTCCCGATTCAGCCTCGTCTTCTATTTTAAAATCGTCGTCCGCAACCGTGTCCATTTCAACTTCGCTGTCTTCAGACTCTTCATTTACGTCGTTGCCTGCCGTCATTTCAGATTCAGCTCTGTGCTGAATGACCTCTTCGTCATTCAGTATATTGCACTGAACACCTACATAATAATAAACAAATCGAACAAGTTAATTTAAAAAAGTTTCATAAAATTATCATTTAACATAAAATGTCTTCTTTTAATTCTATTGCGTGAGTTTAGCAATACAGCTATAATAACCGGCACCACGGCTGATAAATGCCGGAAATATTATACGGGTTTCCCCTGTAGTGAAAACACGAAACGTGTGCAGTACTTATGTGCCAAACACGATACCTTTAGAACGTTTGGCTTTCACTAATTCATCGTATTTTGCTTTCAGAGCTACATATTTGTTCCATGTTTTCCTTTTCTCTTTCAGTAGGTACGCACAACCAACACAACCATCTGTCTGAGTCAAAGCGCTGTTTGTCTAAAAGAAAAAGTCTTTCTTAAAATGTATGCATAATGTCAGTAGGGGTCAACATATGTTTTGACAGAAAAGCTCACGAATGGCAAGTCAAATTGTAAGATCGCACTATACTAGCAGGAATAAAGGTATATACTATATACTTTGCTGCAAGGAACATCGCTTGGTATCTCTTCATCCACATTTAATTCCATTGGCACGCAGTGTTCGAAATCCTCTGGCTCTTCTTCTGATTCTCCTGGTCGAGACAAACTTGTGGACAATGCTTCCTTTAAAACCTTTCGAAAATGTCAACAAATTTATGTACAAAACAGTGATTCTCAAAATAGGTTCATGTGTATTTTACTGTATTTACCATGTTTTAAAAGCGTGCGTTAATCTCTTGAAATGGAATGAATAAACTTACCCTTCTCTTGGCTCTTGCTGACGGGGGACATTCAGCTGCAATATTATATTTAGGGACTGCCACGACGCCAATCTCATCGGTAGCTAATCTAGGTACTTTAGCCGACAGACCAGAAAACATTTGCGAAAAATCTTCTTTTGCGAAATGTGCTGAGCAAAACTGGAATTAGGTGTTGGATCCCATTTTGCCCGTTTCAACCGTACGAAATCAATCCATTGTTTACGTCTTATTTTGGCTTCTGGCCTTTCATCTCCGGAAAACGGTATGAAATGAAGCGAGACTCCTTTTTTTACATTAGAGACATTAGAGCAACCAGCCACAATACATCTATTTGGCATTTTTTATTTTGCGTGACTTTTTCGGGCCGCCAACTACAGTACAAGAACACTTCGACAATACACGCTCTAATGTTTTCGTGGATCAATAGGCCTGACCATTGAGTTGTATAATAACTAGAGCGGCTATCTCAAGCGCGGCCTTAGATATCTGATGACGCCAAAAAAATGGCGGATTTCGTCCTTTGCCGCTGAGATTTACCGAAATTGACCGCTTTTCCGAAAATTTCACAATTTCCCACTCCCTCCTGAGGAAAGAGTGAGGAAAATGTATGTGTGTATTTGGGATTCGGCAAGCAATTTTTTGATGAAAATGAAGGTAAAAACCTTAAATTCATAACAGCGAGTGAACTGTGGTTGTTAGTTATCTGCTCCTACGAGGATGCATTTATAACTATCGACGAAAGACCGATATGTCGGCTACACATGTATGAATGCAGATGTGCGTCGTTTTCTTACCAGCGTCAAACTTGTTTGATCGATTAAACTCTTTAGTCTATACAAAAAAAGTATATCATAGCTCATCTCCACGGTTCACGAGAGAGAAGTTAGCTTATTTGTTATCATTGCTATTTTGCTTCTTTTCATGCAATGGGCAATGGCTTTTTTCGCCACAATTGTAGGATTTTTACTTGTTTCTTTCAAAAAGTACATATTAAATCTCTGGATATTTACGGATTTTCTGTAATTGAGTTTCATATGAAATTTCAAAAAGACTCAAGTCTGCATAGGTTTGGTAAATAAAAACAAACAATATTGTGTAGAAATTACTTTAAGTAACCTTTTTGTGATGTTCTGAAGTGCAACTGCATCAAATAATTGTGAAGTTGTAGCACATTTTGATTTTGTTGTATTGATATATGAATTGGGCAAAATACAAATAATCATCAAAACACTTATGCTTCCAATGGTGTTTATAATTCATTTGTAGTTTTAATACTTCTACCTTTCTTTTTCACTTTGTTTTGTTTTTCCTATATTTGCAATATAAGTGCACTATAATTTGAATGATTAACACAGTCTTCACCTCAATAATAAATTTCATAAGCAGTTGGTAGTGCATTTTGTTCTCTGAGTATCCACATCTGGTGTTTTGTTCATACAAGAATGATGAAGTGCAAGTAGATATGTCATAGCAAGGCAATATAACCAAATGAATTACATTCCTATAGTGTACTTTTATGCTAGAAGCTTAAAAGCTTTTTAGAAATTAGAAAGTTATTGGATTATATTACCTCTATATCATCAATCTCATGATAAGAAATAAGAAGCAAAAATTTGTTGAAAAGCTTTGAAAAGTGAAAACTTTTCTTTAAAAAGCAGCAATAATGCATATGATAAATCTCCATTCTGTACTCTAATAGGTAAATAAGCTCAAATTTTTCTTGAAGAAATATAAGAAATATATAAGAAATATACAGTACAGTAACTTTAAAGGTTTCATCACTGAATCTTTAATGCTTCAGTATAGTGCATTAGATATTAGTAACATTCAAACAACACTCAACTAAAATATTTTGACAAAGATATGACATGATTTAAACATTAAGTTACATAAAACCCAATGGCTTATACAGTTTGAAGCTTCACATCTGCATCGAGTCATCATCAATCTCAGTACAAATGTTTACATAGACACAAACTTTATGGCCTTCCATTTTACATGTTTGTGAATTGACATTTCATTAAGCATCAAAACACACACAACCTTCTTGCCATCTTTCTTTGGATCATGAACTTTAACTTCAAAGCATTCAAGGCATCCTTAGTGAATCCATTGTCTCCATCCATAGAATTTGACCACAATCAATAACATCTTCCAGTCATCTTTACTCCTTGATCTTCCCTGCATGTTGTCAGCAAATAGAACATAACAAGCTCTGCTCCAAATCATGGGTACCGTTGGGGCTGATCATTTCTTTTTGATACCAGATCACATTTTGATACAGAGCAAAATGTGTGCAGTGTCTTTTGCTTTAGGAAACTATTTTGCAAATAGATGGGTAAATTTACGATTTCATGCATTAACAAATGACAGAAAAGTATACAGAATTTTATAAGAATTGTACAAGTATACAGAGTTTTATAAACAGGAAAACATCAGTATATTTGGCGTTCAAGTCAGTCTTAAAAAATACGATCTTTAATATGTATTTTATGGCTTTTCAAGTGCATGTATAATTGCTTTTCAATCGTTGACGGACTAACAAAACAAGCAACTATCTCACCTGTGAGAAGCGATATGTTCCTTTTTGTGGAAACTACGACATCCAACAATTGAACGATTGAAGTGTTGGCATTATAAAAGAAATGCCAAAAAAAATATCGTCACAGAATATGGAACTAACGATATCCATATACTGTGATATCGTGTTTGTTTTTGAAAAATTCTTTATAATTTACTATAGACACCAGGGGGAGGTCGAGAATATTATTTTTCTGCAAAGCGATCATTTCAGCGGAAATACGTCCGTTGGCCGCCATGTTTTTTACAACAGTTCCCAGTCCACTTAGCCGCTCCAGTTATTATAGAACTCAATGATAAGAGTTGGGACAAACGGTCTGGGGCGAGCGCGGAGCCGCCATTTTGGTTCCTACTTGCAAAGTGAAACTATAATAATACTATTGGAAATTGGGTTTATATGCAAAAGAAGAAAGCAATTTAAGCTTATTCCATGGTAGTATCAAATATATTAGGAATAATAGCAAGCTCTTTGCGTTTTTTTAACGATTTGCGGCAGACCTGATTTAATTTCATTGGTTTGAGCTTCGTTTGCGGTTTACTAGTTCGTGCTTCAAATTGATCGTGACCCATTGTAAGAAGTATTTTTCGTACGTGAACGTGTTTTCTCGGCTTATGTTCCGACTCTGTAACAAGTTTTCAAGATCTTTAAGCTTGGTGGCAAGCGGCAATGTTATCCTGGCATCAGTGTTATCAAATACTTGGACAAGACTTTGTTCGAAACTTTGAATCATAGTAATCATGCAGATTTGGTCCGGAGAGATTTGTGTTCAAGATTTGTAACAATTTAATGGTAGTGAGTGATTTATGCTCCCCCAATTTAATCCAAGCATGATATTTTTTATTCCGAAAGATCACAAAATTTTCTTGCTCAGCAGAAAATGACAGACTTTTTTACTTTTTAGTTATTGAAATATGATTTGACCAAGATGCATTTGACCTTAAACGTTTTATTCCTGTATATGAAGTTATTTCGCCTTTATCACTTTATAAAGTATTAAAGTTTATTTCTAATAAAGTTTGTTAGGGATTCTGCTGAAAATTTTGGTGAAGCATTTCTTTAAAATGAATATATTATTTTTATTATATGAAACATAAGGACAGTCTGTTTGCTATAAATGCTACTGTTTGTAGTCTTTTATACAGCATATGAGTCTGATCCAATATTTAATTTAGCAAAGAGTTAAATTTATTGGTTGAGGAATGACAAAACTTCTATATGTGTTTAATGATCAAACAGGGGTGTGTTGCAGGGAGCTTAGCCCCGTTTGTTCAAATTCTATGCCTTGTATTACCAGTGAAATATATATATCAAAAAGCTAGCAGCACCTAAATATATATCAGAAAGCCGGCAATATTTTAATATATATGAGAAAGGCAGCAACAGATGTAATATACATTAAAAAGCCCAAATAGCTGAAATTATGGAGATATGCCTCTGTGATCTTATAAACCAAAACCTACAATTAAAATATCATCAACAAGTCTAGAAGAGAAGTAATGTTCTACTTTGAGCTACAGAAGTAGGGTACATTTGTACAATTCAATACCAAAAATATATTGTACTCTGCTGTTCATTGAATATCCTAATTATAATTACTTCATTTTTAAATGATGAACTAAAAATACAAAATACAACATGGAAAATCATAAGAGTTTCTGTGATTTGGTGTAGTTGTTTTAGTATGGAAGTGGCTGAGAATTGAGAGTTTTGTAGATTGACCAATTTCAGAACATAATGACAAATCATCTTCGATTAAAAAACAAGCTTTGGAGTAAGAAAACTATTGAAACTGCATCAGCACGAACTTTGCAATGTTATTTGGCCAAAAAATGTTTCTCTACTTGAGTCAGTTAATTGAACCTTATATCAAAAGCAGTTCAGCACAACAATCACCATACGCAATCAAATTTCGTAAGTTCGACGTAAAGACATTTCCTTCATTTTTTTCGTAATCCTCGATTTATGCGATATGTAATGACATTTAGTAGCCTTCAACAATCAGTTATTACACACTTATCCATAAAAAAACGCAATATTATCTCAAAATACTGTATTACTAGCAGCAATTGCTATATAAACACAAGCTAAAATTTCAAAACTAGGAACCAAAATGGCGGAAATTGATCAGGTGATCAATATTGCCCAATCAACGTAAGCTAAACGGATAACAATAGATGTCCCAACCATTGAGTTCTATAATAACTGGAGGGGAAACGTCAACAAAATTAGTAGGGACCTTAAGATTTCACGACGCGAGTTTGGCGCGCATGGCCTGGTGCGAATGCGTCCGCGTGTCATTAAGATTGGATTTCCTTAACGACGCGAACTTGTGAGTTCACTACCTATACTTTCAAAAAAATGACCTCCTTCAAAAAAACAAAAAATGCTATAGCTGTTGCGTATGACGCCGCTTTCATAAACGAAGAAGAATTTGCGCTTTTGTATGATATTTCGCGTTCAAAGAACAATTTAGAAATATATAGTGGCCAAAATTGATATATCAGTAGCCGTTGTATAGTATTTTTATGCAAACATAAAAGGGAACACAAACCGTTATTACAAAGTAAGACAAATTTCAAAGCCACTGGATGTTAATTTAGCTAAACAATTAATTTAAATCACGATGAATTTAGTGGTGTGCTTGATGAGCAATCATTTGATGCTGATGAAAACTGTTCTGCCATTTTCTTGCCTTGCTAAAAGCAAAAATGTAAACATCTTTTACTCACAGATAAATATCAACCATTCAATCACATACCAGACTCCACAGACAATTGTAACAGGTGAATTAAAAGCTGAAATACTTACTTTAAAACTTTTTTTGTGAAAAATTCCACACTCGATGTAGGACGACGTCAGGGGCGGATCTAGAGTATGTCAAATCCGTCGCGCGACTGATGTTTGAAATTCAAAAATTACCTATTCATATTAATTAAAAAATCACTAATTATTCTTTATTATCGCATTTACTTCGTGATAAAAATCCAGCTTTATTTATTATTGAAAACTAATGACTAATGCAACGAATATCTCCTTGGTAACCAGATCAGTTGAATTTTAATTGACCTGGAATAACCGACTGATAAGCGGGGTGACTTGACTGGTTCGACTTATAAAGGAGTCTATGAACGCCAGAAACGCTATTTTATTGGTCAATGGCCAGATCAGTGGACAGTCTGGAATAATCTCGACCGATAATAGGGGTGGCCGGACCTATAAGAGAGTCCAATTGCTATCTTACAATTGGTTCATTTGAATTTTTGTCTTACTGTGATTGGTTTGACCGATTTCGACTGATAGCCAACTGAACTAACATAGTCAAGCTCACTGTCTGAATTGAATGTTTGATCGTTCATAGTAATTTTCTGAAGCATGATAGAAACTAAACTACAATCAGATGGAATTTATGGAAATCTTTTACAAATTCATATGTTGACATGAATGCTGCTTTCCAAACTGGGAATTTTTTTCAAGAGGGTGAAAAATTTATGGATAAATTGTAAATGCTTGGCAAAGACGATCTCGCGAGCGACATTTCAGTCATTGATGTTCAAAAGCAAGCCAACATTGTTTTGAGTTTTATCAGCAGAAATTTACATCGAAAATCGTAAGTAAAGGACAAGTGAAGTGTATGCATGAATGCAATATATCAAAGTCAATTTATGCGAGTGTGTGATGCGATTTATGTTAATATGGCGTATGGTAAGCAGATTGATGCTTCTAAAATTGTTGTTGCCGAAGGAATTTTAGCTATGATTTCTGTAATGCTTGGGGAATCGTGGCCGTTATATGGCAGCGAAATCCTACATTTCTGTAAGTATATTTCAATGGACAAAAAAATCTGTAGCCATAAGGTGCCATACGATTATTTACTTTATCATAAACAAATGTTTGGGGCTTTTCAGTTTATGATCATTGATCATTCAATCATTGGACAGTTATACTACATATTGTTTAAGATTTGAGAAAACTAACATTGATTACATGAGAAGCTGTTTACTATAACCTGTGATTTTGAGTCTTATGATCCATGAAGCTTTTTTATTTTGACAATTTGACTGGAATGGTATTAAACCTGAGTATTTCACATACATGAAATGTTGTCCCATGTCACATATTGTCCCCTTTTCTAACTGAACACCTCATGTAGAGATGTAAAGGTGTGTTAATCTACGGCTCATACCAGATTGTTTGCCATAAATTCCAAAGGGCTATTGATGTATGAATAGCATTTTCTATAAAGTAAAAATGTCTTCCAATGTATGCAGATAAACCTTGAAATTTGGCAAAACAGCAAAGTATTTTCATGATCACTAGGTAATTTTTCTGATGATCAGTATAATTTCTAAACTAAATTATTTCAGATTTACATTTAAACGAGCTTTGATCATATGAAAAGATATTTATCATAAACAGTAAGCATGACACATGAACCAATTTTAACATTCATGTAATTATATAATTAAAGACATGTTGGTTACATTCTGTTTGTATTTGCAAATACAATGCTACTAGTGATTGCTATATAGCACACCTTGCATATACTTACAGAAGATAGTGAAATGCCTAAGAAACATTCATGGCATTAAGCTGTCCTTAACTGCAATTTTTCACTTTGATAATTTTCTTAATCTTTGACAGAAAAAAATTTTGAGTTTTTTCTCAAAAAGTGAATTTGCTGGCTCTGATGTGGAGATGGGTAAAGGGTTACAATAAACTTGCATGGTTTGAAGTCTGAGCTTTTCTATATTTATGAACTGTCACTTGTAGTACCAAATTTCTAACTTAACTTATTACATAGAGGTTTGAATGGGGGTCTCTAGGGGGGTCTATGCCTGACAACTTGGTAGAAATTTTTAAAGACTATATCTGTCTTTGAATAGCATTATTGTAAAATAAATTTTACGTTCCTAGACATGCTAATGAGCCATATATTTGGCATGATAATGAGCCTAATTATTTGGCAAAACATTCAAGTATTGTTCACTTCATTTTTTTTTGAAAAAAACGTAAGCAAAATGTGTTGTTTTTACCGAAAAACGATGCCCACAAAATACATCTTGTATTGCTCTAAAACGCTGAAAATGGCATTTTAGAGGTTCTGAAATTCAAAATTTCTCAGGGGAGAATGCCTCAGACCCCCCCGGCGCGGAGTGCCTCCGACGTTTTATGACTGATGTTTGAAAAATCCTAGATCCGCCCCTGATTGACCAGTCTTAAAAAATGATAATGCTGTAAAGATAATTGATTTATTGTCTGCCTTATCCAGAGTTATTTAATTTGATCATGGTCAAATTCTATGGATGGAGACAATGGATTCACTAATGATGCCCCTAATGCTTTGAAGTTAAAGTTCATGAACCAAAAAAAGATGGCCAGAAGGTTGTGTGTGTTTTGATGCTTAATTAAATGTCAATTCACAGCATATGAAATGTTGTGAATTGACATTTATGTAAACATTTGTACTGAGATTGATGATGACTTGATGCAGATGTGAAGCATTAAACTGAATAAGCCATTGGGTTTTATATAACTTAATGTTTAAATCATGTCATATCTTTATCAAAATATTTTAGTTGAGTGTTGTGTAAATGTTACTAATATCTAATACTGAAGCATTAAAGATTCAGTGATGAAACCTTTAAAATTACTGTACTGTATATTTCTTATATATTTCTTATATTTCTTTAAGAAACAGTTTGAGCTTATTTACCTATTAGAGTACAGAATGGGGATTTATCATATGCATCATTGCTGCTTTTTTAAATAAATGTTTTTCACTTTTCAAAGCTTTTCTACAAATATTTTGCTTCTTATTTCTTTTCATGAGATTGATTATATAGAGGTAATATAATCCAATAACTTTATAATTTCTAGAAAGCTTTTAAGCTTCTAGCATAAAAGTACACTATAGGTATTTAATTCATTTGGTTTTATTGCCTTGCTATGACATATCCATATGCATTTCATCATTCATGTATGAAGAAAACACCAAATGTGGATACTCAGAGAACAAAATGCACTACCAACTGCTTATGAAATTTATTATTGAGGTGAAAACTGTGTTAATCATTCAAATTGTGCACTTATTGCAAATATAGGAAAAACAAAACAAAGTGAAAAAGAAGGGTAGAAGTATTAAAACTACAAATGAATTATAAACACCATTGGAAGCATAAGTGTTTTGATGATTATTTGCATTTTCCTAATTTATACATCAATACAACAAAATCAAAATGTGCTACAACTTTACAAGTATTTGATGCAGTTGCACTTCAGAACATCACAAAAAGGTTATTTAAAGTAATTTCTATACAATATTGTTTGTTTTCATTTACCAAACGTATGCAGACTTGAGTCTTTTTGAAATTTAATATGAAACTCAATTACAGAAAATCCGTAAATATCCAGAGATTTAATATTTACTTTTTTAAAAAAACAAGTAAAAATCCTACAATTGTGGCGAAAAAAGCCATTGCCTTTCCACGAAAAGAAGCAAAATAGCAATGATAACAAATAAGCTAAATTCTCTCCGTGAACCACTGTGGAGATGAGCTATGATATACTTTTTTGTATAGACTAAAGAGTTCAATCGATCAAACAAGTTTGACGCTGGTAAGAAAACGACGCATATCTGCATTCATAGATGTGTAGCCGACATATAGCTCTTTCGTTGATAGTTATAAATACATCCTCGTAGGAGCCGATAACTGGAAAGCTAGGTTGACTCGCTGTTACGAATTGTAGGTTTTTATCGTGATTTTCATCAAAAAATTGCTTGCCAAATCCCAAATACACACATACATTTTCTTCACTCTTTCCTCAGGAGGGAGTGGGAAATTGTGAAATTTTCGGAAAAGCGGTCAATTTCGGTAAATCTCAGCGGCAACGGACGAAATCCGCCATTTTTTTGGCGTCATCAGATCAGTGAACTCCATATATATATATCTGGAATGATAACGACAATACATTTTATAGATATAAAATTGAAGCCAAAGTCCTAGTCTCTTGCGCGGTTTGTACGTCAGTTCCAGTCCTTCAAAGTCGAATATTCACGCGGTTTGTACGTCAGTTTCATTCCCCTGAGTGCCAAACGTACACGGCCAATATAAATTTGAATACAAAATGCGAAAAAATAAACATATAAACAACATCACGACAAACAACACACGAGGACAACTCTTCGCAAAAGGTTATTTTTTACAGCTGAAACTTTACTACAGTGAGTTCGTTGTAACTTACAACTTGTAACGAGGAAAAGCCAACTGAAAATTACACTGTATGCTAAAAAACAATACAATAGAAAATATGACGAGAAAATATTCAAGCATAAACTTTTCTTTCGTCGGAAGGTAAATTGTCAAATGGTGTCAGACAGTGTTTGTCTTTTTTTGTCATTTCAGTGGATTCAAAGATCTGTTTTTCCAAAGAAAAAGAAACTTGAATATCCAGTTTCACAAAAATATTGAGTCTATAACTCGCATTTTACTTTTACAGAGCGATTGTATTTTTCATCGATTTTATTGTGCTTGAAATACTACATGGTTGTCATCTCGATATCAATAATTGAATATCCTTAAAGACTTTGCATGTTGTATAGATCGTATAGTCCTGAGAAGGACTGTTTTGTTGTTGTTGACGTTTCGACAACCTTAGCGGTAGTCATCTTCTCTTTGATTCATTTGACTCTGAAAATGACTACTGCTAAGGTTGTCGAAAAGTCAGTCAACAACAACAAAAACAGTCCTTCTCAGGACTATACCAACCTGGACGATCTACATTTACAAACATGTAACGATACTCCCTGGTTCAAACCATTTACCTTAAACACTTTGATATGTTTTAAAGGAAAACCGCAGCGTAAGAGCAGATCGACTAAGTTCACCTCACCTTGCTTCTCAATTTATCACTTTGATTCACTTTCCGTGAACCTTTTCATTCCAAAAATTTCGTTATTTTTACGTTCTGATCAAGATCCGAACTCTACCATTACCAAGGGACAAATGATTAAAAAAAATTAAAATGAGCACGCGAGAGACTAGAGCCTGACGTGTAATGACGAATGATGACGACAAATATTTTTTTGGCTTCAATTTTTGGCTTCGGTTATCATTCCAGTTATTCAAATGTCGAGTTCACTGCATCAGATATCTAAGGCCGCGCTTTAGATAGCCGCTCCAGTTATTATAGAACTCAATGGTCCAGGCCCCTTTGCCTCTCCAGGTTTTATAGAGCTCAATGGTCCCAACTCTTATACTATAGAGGGCTCTGGGTATACCAACTTTCTAATGTAAGCCGTTGTCTATAGTCTACGGTGGCTCACAAGGGCCACCACACAAAATAAAAATACACACACAAAATAAAAATACACACGCAAAATACATTATACACACACAAAATAAAAATACACACACAAAATAAAAATACACACACAAAATAAAAATACACACACAAAATAAAAATACACACGCAAAATACATTATACACACACAAAATAAAAATACACACACAAAATAAAAATACACACACAATATAAAAATACACACACAAAATATGATTGCGGGCGCTTGCAGTGTCGGATTGTCGGACTATCATATTATCAGTTTGTAATTGTTGTAAATTGTCATGTTATGTTGTGTAGTGTGTGAATATACCGTATGATAAATTGTAAAATGTTTGTCATATATTACTAGACAAATAGGAAAATACGTATATAGTTATTAAACTGTGGTTTCAGTGGAAATCCTGTACGTAAATTCAAAATACTTAGGAGCACTTTTTCTACCCAATGTGGCATTACGTACAGGATTTCCACTGATTAATAACTATAATAACTATATACGTATTACTAGTTTAATAACTATATACGTATTTTCCTATTTGTCTAGTAATATATGACAAACATTTTACAATTTATCATACGGTACGGTGGCTCACAAGGGCCACCACACAAAATAAAAATATTACTACACACACAAAATAAAAATACACACACAAAATACATTATACACACACAAAATAAAAATACACACACAAAATATGATTGCGGGCGCTTGCAGTGTCGGATTGTCGGACTATCATATTATCAGTTTGTAATTGTTGTAAATTGTCATGTTATGTTGTGTAGTGTGTGAATATACCGTATGATAAATTGTAAAATGTTTGTCATATATTACTAGACAAATAGGAAAATACGTATATAGTTATTAAACTGTGGTTTCAGTGGAAATCCTGTACGTAAATTCAAAATACTTAGGAGCACTTTTTCTACCCAATGTGGCATTACGTACAGGATTTCCACTGATTTCCACAGTTTAATAACTATATACGTATTTTCCTATTTGTCTAGTAATATATGACAAACATTTTACAATTTATCATACGGTACGGTGGCTCACAAGGGCCACCACACAAAATAAAAATATTAATACACAAAATAAAATACACACACAAAATACATTATACACACACAAAATAAATACACACACAAAATAAAATACACACACAAAATAAAATACACACAAAATAAAATACACACAAATATGATTGCGGGCGCTTGGATTGTCGGACTATCATATTATCAGTTTATAATTGTTGTAAATTGTCATGTTATGTTGTGTAGTGTGTGAATATACCGTATGATAAATTGTAAAATGTTTGTCATATATTACTAGACAAATAGGAAAATACGTATATAGTTATTAAACTGTGGAAATCAGTAGAAATCCTGTACGTAATGCCACATTGGGTAGAAAAAGTGCTCCTAAGTATTTTGAATTTACGTACAGGATTTCCACTGAAACCACAGTTTAATAACTATATACGTATTTTCCTATTTGTCTAGTAATATATGACAAACATTTTACAATTTATCATACGGTATATTCACACACTACACAACATAACATGACAATTTACAACAATTACAAACTGATAATATGATAGTCCGACAATCCGACACTGCAAGCGCCCGCAATCATATTTTGTGTGTGTATTTTTATTTTGTGTGTGTATTTTTATTTTGTGTGTGTATTTTTATTTTTTGTGTGTATAATGTATTTTGTGTGTGTATTTTTATTTTGTGTGTGTATTAATATTTTTATTTTGTGTGGTGGCCCTTGTGAGCCACCGTACAAGATTTCTATGAGAGGAACTGTAAAACTCGCGGGTTTTCAGAAACCCAGACACTCGTGGCTTTTCAGGACCTCAAGAATACTGTATTTCATGGTGGACTTTCATTATCATGGACTTCTTAAATCATCATTCGACATGAATTACGTGGCAAATATTGTCATGTTGGCTAGGAAACGATGACGATGAACTCGCCTCAATGAGGCTTTGAAAGCAGGCAACGATGTAGAGAAAAATTCCATCTCAATTTTCATTCAAGACGATGAAAAAGTTTCATTATAGTATGAAATCATCTGTGAAAGCATTTTACACGACGATATCACGGGAGATTTATGCGTGTAGACTTGAACAACTTTTGCGATCACGAAATAAAAATAAATAAACACGTAGGAAGTAAAAACTATTCTTTATGCTTTTCCTTCCTATTAATAAACACGAGTATTTATCTTCACCACACGAAATGATAATTGTCATGTGTATTTAAAAGACGATGCAACTCATTTGTTCTTTTTACAATTATCTTATATTAGATGATATACAAATGTGTCTTCTCATTTTTTTCACATCTTGAAATATGATGCTGTATGACAAAACACATTTCCATTTAAATATACTTACCGAATACTTTTGTGTGTCATGTGAACCATTCGTAGCCACCTCCAAGTGGGCGTATTCACGTGAATGGTGCATGGTTTTAGCTCTTTAAAAAGTGTACACAAAAGAACGCACAGCTTTTTAACGCATTTATTTGCAGAAGGATCATGCCAGCGTGATTTTGACATTACGTGTCGGCATTTAATTCAAAAATACACAATCATTGATGGTCAGAAATTGAAAGTTTGGAGAATTAATACGTTTAAACACGCAGACAGAATTATCGTCCTATCGTGAATATTCTTTATTGCAAAGTCGAATTTTTAAGGTAAGAATTATCAAGGTATGACCTTTACGAGGAGAATGTAATGTTTGTTTCCTCTTTTCTTTCGACAATTGTGATTAAATTAGGATTACATGATCACACGATGTTTATGTTGGTCTTGTGAGACAAGGCTTCAAACTCGAAAGCGTACGGTGCTACATAAGATTCTCCAAAATTGCATAAATTTTGGGCAGTTAATTGAATAAAAAAGTAACTGTAACTATGATTTGGACTTAACGAAATTTTTTTATCGACTTCTGAACTACATCCATTCATTAGGAAAAAAACTTTTGCGCTGACGATAATACTTTTTAAAATGGATACTGTCCACAGAAACGATGCACATAACTCGCATGCACGTCATTTTTTTTCACTGTTTGAACTTAAATGAACTTAATCAAGTTGATACTGCTTGGAAACAACATATGCTAAGGTTTATCTGTTGACCGTCAATATTTTATAAAGGATTTGGCTGTTCTATGTAATGACATTTGTGAAATATTAGCACAATAAACGTTACTAAACTGTGCGAGTTATATTGTGTTTGTAGCGACCGTGCATGGAGACTTGTAATTAGACGCGTACATTTCTCGATCGCATTCGAAAATCATCAACAGAACAACGCAATTTCATCAGTAGCAAAAATTTTTAGTCATCAAATGCTGTTCGAACAAAGACGAATAAGAATAGTGAGGGTGGTTTTGTTATGAACAATAAAATTCTCCGCGCGTTATGAAAAAAAGTTATGTAACTTGCAAAAAGAAATGTCGTCAAAAAGGATAATTGCTTCATGGGAGGCCAAAAAGTTGGGATTCTTCACAGTCAATCTTGCGATAAGTCACACGATTGCATGATTATAACTCGAGGTTCAGATCTTTTTCGTTGCCTTGTATTAGCCCAACACAATGAATGAAAAAACACGAAAGGTTAAGTATAGCGCTTGTCAGCTCATCAAAAAGTTTTCCTTTCCGTCGTTTGGTTATGCGAAAGTTAAAATCGTATCTTCATGAGTGGGCGCGATTTCCTTTTTTCTTGCACAATATGTAAAACGCGCCGCATTGGAAAGACGTTCAAAGACTTTTTCTTCATCACACCTGTTATCTATTTTATTGAACCTACCAAGAGCGAAGACGCGTAACATCAATATTAGGTTCAAGGCATTTATAGCTAATTGAGATTTTTCGCGTTCTCAGGTGAAGACTTGATTGATCCTCTGTTTTCAAAACTATAGTTTGTATATAGGCTGGTACTTTTATATGTTGTTGCTTGTATTTGAAGAGCTGATGTATAATAAATTTTTTTACATGCCCATTTTGTATACGGAAACCATCCTCCGCAGTTGAACTTCAGATGAAATATTTCTCTGTTGTATAAGATTGGGCACAAGTCAACTCTCCACTGTATATTGCAGACTGGAACCGGAATTGTTCGATGCTCTAAAACGCCATCAGATAAGGGTTTTCGACACCCGGATTGACTATTAGCAACAATTAAGAAATACTTTGTTTTTGCTGGAAATTTAAAAAATCTCTATTTTCGTAATTTCAAATCATCCCCTTTTGTAAAGTGTCTATTCTCCTACGGAATTTTCACACGACTGTCTAAGTTTTACAATTAGCAATTAATTGCATTCTTATATATAGTCATAGGATTTAATTGTTTTATTTACCATTTACTGCACAGCAATATATTTGAGATGCCATATGCATTTTCTCGAAACTGGATTCCAGCTCTTTTCCATATCTTTCTCCACAATCCACCATTTGGGTTTTTAAGCTTGTTTCATGATCACTTTCCTTTGAATAAGCCTACAAGGGGATAGTAACGAAATAGCTCTTAGACATAATGCTCAAATAAATTCTACCTACCCTTACAGAAATTTCACATAGCCGGCTGAACTGTTTTAATCTTCGTTTCCCGAAATACAGTCAGCGAATGACCACTAACGCCATAAAATCAATTATCTATCCTTGATCACGCGAACTGCTTAATTAAAGAAATATACTTTGCACGGATATCATTATACTGGTTTGAATATCCCGTGCTTTTGTGCAAGACAAGTTGTCAATGCATGGCAAATGTATTTCATAAATCAGCTGTTCGCTAACCAAAAAACTATTTTTAATCGCGCCTCATCTATAGCTATATTTACGCAAGCATAGCTACATACTTGATGAAGAGAACTGCATGTGGTGAAAAATATTTTCATAACGTAAAAAATAAAATAGTTTCTCGAACAAACCATCAGGATTTCGGCATTGAATTCTTTTGTTTTACGAGTCACGTATCATAAACGATTGACTATAAATAAAACACACATCAGAAACACTCCTCTTTAGAGTAGTCTCCAGTTAAACGTCTAGAAAACACGTATACATTAGGAAGATTTTCCTAAAATGATAAAGACGGTTTTTAGTCTTTTGCCTAGCCAGTCTAGGTCATGTTGCCCGGCGGAAATCGGAGATTTTTCTGACTGTATTTACCTGTCTTTAACACAATATAAACCCCCCCACAATCGGTGTTCATTCAACCTTTATCCATATTCGTTGAATATCTCTGAATTGTGCAATTTTATAGTTACCATCTGATTATGCTATATATATAGGATTCGATTCATCGACGGAGCTGAAATCCTTAAAAGACATGTCATACATTAACACTGCAATTGAAAGCTCGATGGATGATGTATCGGGGATCGGCATCCATGATCCTGTAGAAGGGAATGATGATCACGTAGGTGAACAAAGTCCAAAAAAAGCCGATATTTCAAAGAGATCTACACATTCTGTTTGGTTTGAAAAAATCTTTGGTCCTTTGGGAAAATATGGAAAATTGAAAAAAGACCAATTTGTCGCGGGTGCAAAGAAAGTTGAGGTAAAATATGTGTGAATGATTTTTTATGAGTTAGACGTTTCCATGTGATTGTAAAGCAGTTTGTGATCTTTAATGTACACTTTATTAGATATAGTTTTAAACAAACACTGTTAATTGAATTATCCTTGTGTACATACTTTTAGCTTTTCATAACCACATATTATATTTCATAACCATATATCTTGCATGCGAAGCGATGTTTTTTGATTTCCTGCAATTGACCGTCGTCCAAAAGTGATATTTTTTCGCAATGTGTTTATTTACGAAGTATAAATTAAAATTTTTAAAGTTGATTTAAAAGCCATGTAAATTGTTCAACAAGAAAGCGAAGTGTATTCAGACGATAGTTATCATAGCGAGGGTGAATTTTACTTTCCAGTGAATTTTGTAAAACACAACGCAAAATCGGCCTTATATATATATATTTCATAATATTTTTGTTGGTACAGCTAACATTTGAAAACGTTGCTTTTTTTCTGAGATCTCATAAACCAGTATTTAAATAGTAACTTATGGTCGAAGTTTTCGGTATCCACCCTGTGCCAAAGAATTAAAACACTAACATATATTGGATTGTCTAGGGTTTCGCCGAAAATTTATTTGCGATCTTTGACTTTGATGAAAATGGCAGAGTGAGTCTTCAGGAACTCGGCGGTGGTTTACTTCTTCTATGGCAGTAAGTAGATATTTTGTAATTGAAACGTAGCTAATCAATAACTCGATGAAGTTAAAATACATTGACTGTCAGAGAAAGTATGCGTTCTTTCGCTTTGTAGACCGTATGTATATATATATATACTTAAAATAATAACTAAACACACACGAAGTTCTCGAAATATAATCAAGGCCAGTTTCCACATTTGTCTATCATTTTTATATGTTTTAAGTTTAAATCGAGATTTTATTATTTACGTATTTATGCAAATGTGCATAGACGTGACGTGCGTTTTACAATAAATAAACACTAAAGGAAATTCTGCAAAAGTTTCAACCAAGTACCGAGTTGATCTTTATCGAAAGGTGATACTTTTGATGAGGTTTCATTGCACTGCCTTGAATTATATATAACAACCCTTTACTCCACTACTGCATTGCCTGAACAGTGACAAGCAAATAAATTCATCCTGATTATCAACTCATTTGTGTCACCCTTTTGGACAGACGCCATGGAAAGAAAAAGAACAATAAAATATGCCAGTGGTTCACGGATTATTTTGAAAAAATATGTGGCGCAGATGCAGATATTGAACTGTCGGATTTCAAGGCAGCTCTTGACGACACAACGGTAAGGCTACCTCATATTTTTATCAAAAATGTGAACATTAGTATTTATATAATAACCAGGGGCCGGTTGTATAAAGCTCTTAACTACTTTTTAACTACACTTTTTGCAGTTAAAAAGTAGTTAAATTTAACCACGCGGTTAAGTCGGTTGTATAAAAAAGTAGTTAGCGCTAAATGCAGTTAAAAGGTAGTTAAAGTTAACTATGCTATGGAGCATAGTTAACTTTTCAAAACACAGTTAAATATGGCGGCTTACCTTCTCAAAGACAATTATGGGTAGATGTTGTTGATCAACAACGTTTTACCTTGAGTTTTTAATCACATATGTATCTTCCATGGCAAAGGCTTTTAGAATAAGAGCTTTATGGACAATGTACTACATTCGTCAGTGCTGTAAAACATCCCAAGTTTTTGTTGACGAAAACAGCCAACAATTTATCCACGTAACAAATCCTTTTACACAAGAGCAATTGCATTTTGTATTATCTTTCTTGCGTCCGGTAGCTCTTTGCAACTCATAAGCGAGACTCTCAATTGAGATAGAGCCACTTCTTTAAGATTAGTGCACATAACTCGCTGACATTGTCTTACAAATACGTACAATTCGTTCAATGACAAGAAAAACAAAGAATGTTATTCGAGCAATGAATCCTATAGCCTTGGATGTATCAAATATTCAAATCGCGGGTTTTTCCCTATGCATTTTGCTTGATTGAATATCATATGCATCATATAAACTCTTTGCTCTATGGAAAATAAGCTAGATTATGTTAAAACAAATAGGTACTACAGTATAAATGTTGTGCTAAATATACCAATGATAATACATATGACCTTTACAACAGTTTTAATTCATGACTACTCTTTTGTGTATCAGCTGCATGAGATACAATGATTTTAGTTCCTTAAATACATAAAACATTTCATCAGCATGCATGGTGAAGGTCCATGTTGCTTGATATATGCACATTATCCATTGCATATTGTTTATTACACAAGAGGAAAATATACATGACAGTCAATTAGTGTGTTTTATTGATATTTCATCAAGTATTTCCTATGTAAAAATTTTTATTTTCAATGTACATACAATCTTGCCTGCCAATAAAGATCTAGCTACTGTTTGATGACTTAAAAGTAGAAAAATGAATAAAACTCCCAAGTTTTAGAGAAAGATAGGCTAATAAATCACAAAGGCATAAATAAAAGTTTCATAGCTAAGGCTCATTAACAAATATACCCAATAGTTTTATAACTCAGTTTTGCAAGGCAAAATTAAGAACAAAAAGGTTTTGTGTATAGCTGTGAATATAACATGTCACAAGCAGAGAAGACAGTTGCTGGATTACATGGCTACTAACTATGATGACTCAAGGAAATGTTTTCTAATAATAATTATTCCTGTGAATTAAGTTCAATACAATGCACAAATAGACTTTATAAGCTATTCCGACAAAAATATTTTTGAGAATAGATTTTAAATTAAATAAGTTAAGAGGAAATATTCTATGTACCTGGGGACACTCAAAATCTATAATAAACAAAATGGCATGAGTTTAACAGGATAGAAATGACAATGAAGACAAAATGAATACAATATTTATTCTATATCCCTATGTTACATTTTAATGACAGAGGAAAGATATGTCATAACAGTCATGAGATTACATTGTAACTATGATGACCTTTAAGAAATGTTTGCTAACAAGTCTATCAATAAAAAGTCTATGGCTGTCTTCTTTTGCTCATACAGTCATACCTGTGGCTAAATGTCTTGTCATAAAACAATGATTAATTTTTTTGGTTAACAACATTTCTTTCAATGATTAGCCAAACAATATCTTTCTTTTATACACTATTTCTGATAGAGTCAATGGCTTTTAAAGCTATTCAAATACTTACCAAGATGCAAAAAGTAGGAAATAAATAGAACTCCCAAGCTTTAGACAAAAATAGGCTAATAAATCACAAAGGCATGAATAAAAGTTCCATAGCTAAGGCTCATTAACAAATATACCCAATAGTTTTATAACTCAGTTTTTGAAAGGTAGAATTAAAACAAATAAGTATTTTGTGTATAGCTGTGAATATAACATGTCACAAGCCGATAAAAGACAGTTGCTGGATTACATGGCTACTAACTATGACAACTCAAAGAAATGTTTTCTAATAATAAAAAGTCCATCACTGTCATCTTTTACAAATATGTGTGACTTATGTCTGTACAAACACATTTCTTTCAAGCATTTTACTCAGCTGTTATAAAGAGAAACGAAACGACCCTTTTCCTTTGTTACCCTCAATCTCTCAGTTTTAAATTCTGTAAAAGCGAGGCCATTCAATTATTTAAATCTTTGCACATAGAACACAATATGAATCAATTTGAGAAGAGTTCATTGTTTCGTTTGCCCAAGTCCGTTATATATAATTGGTACATGAAAGAAAGCAGTCCTTGCCGAGACTCATATCATTCGTCAACATCGCACTGTACTACAGAGAAGATAAGGGTCGATTTTCTTGAGAAAAGTCCAAAGTATATGCTGCAATTTAATCCGGTTACCATGTCATCGTGAATCTTTTATTAAATTTTCTTTTCGCTTTATCAACATCCGTAAAAACGACAATAGTTTGCCATATTTTAAGATTTTTACATAAGCCAAGAGATTTTTCATGATTTTAAAGTCATTTTATAGTTCACTTGCCCGCCATTACAAAGGATAAATTGATTAAACTTTATGTCATTTTATGTAAACAACACTCCACGTAATTTCCACGCAAGTTAACTACGCAGTTACTTAACTATCCGACTAACTACGTTTTGTGCAACGCAGTTAAGTCGAGCAGTTAAGTTACTACAGTTAAGGAGTTAACTACGGTAGTTAGCGTTAACTATAGTTAAAGTTAACTACGTTTTTATACAACCGGCCCCAGAAGAATTTGAGCAATTTCGTTCGCTGAGAGCTATGATCTATAAGATGACTGGCGCACTGAATGACGTCACAGAAAATTTCTTGTTTTTAAATGAGAAACGAGCGGCGAATTTATTTGAATATTTACCTAAATTTATCCCTGAATGGGCAAATAGAGAAGTGATGAACGCCTAGTTTAAGCAGTGGACATATTTGAGGAAAAAGAAAAGAAAAAACCTTGTGGCTAGCGGCTATAAATACACGGCCATATCACAATTATCAAAGTTGGGTATTCCTGAAACAGATTTTGGTTACAATTTTGTGTTTTGCTGCACGCTAAATTGATCCCTAAAAATCTAATATGTCGTGCATAGCCTGTATTCAGTATGATTGAGGTTAGGGTTAGGGTTAGAATTAGAGATCAATTTCAGGGCGTATTTATAGAACACGAAATTATTATCCACTTTTTTGCGCTTGTCTATCTTGAGTATATGTCTATCTACTATGTCCCTCTCTTGAAAGTGAAAGTCTATCAATAGAATAAACTAAAATGATGGTACACAACAGAATTATGAAACAACACATTCTCGATTCTTTATTGTGCAGTTCTCGCAAAAGCTGTTTGAATTATTGGATAGTGACCAAGATGGTGAAATCGACCTCAAAGACTTATTGAGTGGTTTGGATCGGCTAGAATGGTGATTAATTTTACCTAATTAGTTACTGTCTGGTACTGTCTATATACTTACCTTTGATGTAATCAACTTTGACATGTTGCCCTTGTTAACATATAATTGCAACTGCATGTGGAAATGAATTAATCTGTCCCCTTTTTTATTGCTATTGCGCTATTTGGAGTGAGAGCACAACTCATCAAGATTCGATACAATAGAGACATTCCTTTTGTACAAAATCCTCTTCATAGATTTGATAGAAAAGTATGACTGCTTAACAGATTGCGAGAGGAATGGAATTGAGTTCAAGCAAAAATCGAGTGGGTTCGGTTTCAACCTGCTTCATTTTAATGAGAAAACTGCATTTTGTACGATTAGTATGTCTTGTGTATACCACCATTCTAAATAACTGATGACAACGTTTTTTAAACAGCGCCTCAACCGATTCAAAGTGGTATCAGTGGATTGAGGAACAATTCAACGTTTCTATAGCACACGACCGCAAAATTGATTTTGAGCAATTTAGGAAGGCTTTGCATTTAGGAAAGGTACCTATATTTTGATGCTATTATATATCACGTTTCGAATTTCATGCTTTTCTGCAATCTGATTGGCTTTTCAGGCAATGTGGATTATGACTTAAATACAGACAACGTGATTTCCTCTGGAGCAAATCCTTATATAAGTTCGTAAGCCCTTTTTCATTGGCTTATATATATATGTGTGTAGGCAGACTAAGCAAATTTCACATTATTCATCCACCGCCTCAAAAGGAAAATCGCTTTGTTTTAAATAAAGGAAATTTGTCCCAAATTACTTTATACGAGCTGCTTTTCAGCTATGTTAAATCTTCATGACAACCGAAGGTGTAGTCTGCTAACGACTCTCTTCCGTATGATACTTTTGTAAGTGCATTCAACATGAATCAGTTTGTTTCTTTGTATTTTTTAAAGCAGAACCATTCTTTACAAAATGCCAGCTCCCACGTATTTGTTAGATGAAAATTCAGTGCAGTGCTTTTGCATTTGCAAAGATACTTTGTATATGAATACATTTTACATATGACGTCATTTTGTTTAGCGATGAATATGAGAAGAATAAACTCGCTTTTTCTCCATTCTCAATGATAAGTTATGTTTGACAACTTAGCGTCTGTGTAATCATTTCAGACATTTTTCGCCGAACGGTTTTTCACATTGTTTGACGATAATGGCGATGGAAAGATCGACATGACAGAACTTGTTGCAGGATTAGAACTGTTGACCAAAGGAAGCCAGATGGACAAGTTAACATTTTTATTCAGGGTCTATGATCTCGATGGTAATTTATCTGTGCATTTTTGCTATGAAAAGTGTGATAATGAAAATTTACATTATGCAAAGAAAGATGAGACGTGCTTACTGTCTGCGAAAGGATTCTAAAGATCATGCACTATTCGCTTATTCACTGTATGATTTTCATTGCAATAAGGCACAATAACATGTTATTTTTTGACGCAACATAAGGGCAGCAGTTGAAATGAAAATTCCTCGTTTGAAATAAAATGCTTCATAAATGCTTCCAAGTCAATTGTTGAAGTTTTGCTGAACCACGATATATGAAAACAGTTTGGAAATTTTTAATTGCATTACGCTGTATTGTATGCAAAAATACACACGATCTTTTCATGCAAAAATATTTTTTCATGATGCATAAATAGCTAAATATTGCTGTTCTAGGTATTCATTCTAACTTCGACATTGTATACTAATAAGGTAACGGTTACTTAAGCCAGAGTGAAGTAAGAACGGTGATACTCTCATGCGTGGAAGAAAGCAAACTAAAGCTTGATGATCAACAAATTGATGAGCTGCTGGAGGTCCTCTTTGAAGGAATGGATACAGACAATAGTGGAGAAATCGGTTTGGACGAGTTTAAAACTTTTCTTGCCAATTATCCTGACATCGCAGAAAACTTATCGATAAGGTATGAGGTGGCGAAATGCCTTAAAACGTTAATTTGTTTGAATAAGTAACTGAATTCCGGCTTATCTTTTCTCTGCTAATTTTTGCCTCGTTGATTGTTGTTTCTTTGGCATTTTATAAAAATCAAGCATGCGTTACGTTTCAAAGCATTCACAAAAATTTTCACGTCTTTGAAAAAAACTTATACGGTGCATGGTTTGAACCCGGGAGTATCGTAACATGTTTGTAGATGAAGATCGTCCAGGTTAGTATAGTCCTGAGAAGGACTGTTGGTATTGATGTAGACTGACGTTTCGACAACCTTAGCGGTAGTCATCTTCAGAGTCAGTGAGGAATAAACGTCAGGTTAGCCGTATTTGTTATTTGGTTCTTACGTCGTCGTATTGTGTGTACAGGAAAGAGGTGGGTGTGTGGGTTTCAATTGTGTATTGTTATGGTGGATTAGTCTAAAGTAATGTTGTTAGTTGCTTGTTTGTTTGTATTTTGAATGAGAAAAAACTTATTGCGCTTAAATTCAATTAAAATACTTGTCCTCGCACGTCGCAACTGACAATATAAATAAAAAGGTTTTTTAATAGACATGTGGTGAATTTTCTGTTAAAAACTTGCCGTGATCCCATGATTATGGTTCGAGCCAACTGCGCGAAGCCACGGGATGAAAATTCGTTTTCAGTATATATTCGAAAAGAAATAAGATTCCATCAAAAGGTTAATTTTAAGATAAAAATGTTTGATATCGTCAAAAATATATAATAGTCATTTTAGCTTGAAATTCTCTATTAAACAGCACTACAACTGAGCTTTGTGTGCAATTTGGCGGCGTATACCTGTAATATATCTACACTTAATGCATGATTTCAGGGAAAAAGTGACTTTTTCACCACAGTGTAAATTTTCATGCACTGAGAGCTGAGACAACACGTCAAGGGAAACAACACTAAATGTTTTGTTAGAGCAAAAAAATTGAATCCAAAACAAACAATTCACATCTATCCTCCCCCCATAGCGGTGGTCATTTGCTAAAGCCTCCTGCTGCTCAGAAGAAAAAGATGTCCAGTTACATGCCGAAGCGCTTGAAATGGAAATACATCAAGAAAAATCCAGTGAAGGTGTTTTTCGTTTCCTTGTATGCTCTTATAAACATTGGGTTATGTATTTGGATTGGTGTGAAGAGACGTAACGAAGGTGTCTGGGTGATTTTGGCACGTGTCAACGGCATGTGCCTAAATTTCAACTCAACTTTAATACTCGTGCTAATGATGAAAGGTTTACTCACTTGGCTGCGATCTACAAGATATGGAAAATTCTTTCCAATTGATCAGCATATCATTTTTCATAAATCCGTTGCCATCATTATAACGGTCATGTCAATTCTGCATTTTTTCGGCCACCTTGGTCGTTACAGTAAGTAAAAATCTGCTTTTCTATTGATTACTTGTCACCAGGCTAGGACGATTTTCAAGCAAAGAAATTACTATCAATGCCGAATTAGTTACCAACTGTCAAAAAAAGTTATTTTCAACCATCAAGAAATTTTAGTATAAAAGTTCAGTCTGAGTTGAATTGATACATCAATCTCGTTCAGTTTTGCTATCTTCAGGTGGACACACGCCTGAATTCTAAAAGCTCACTCACACTCACTCTCACTTAGTGCGACACAGAAATTGAATTCCCATGCACGAATCAATGACAAACTCATTTCCGTTCACCAATAGCAAGATTTTTTCTAAAACACTATCAAATCAAGCGATCAGTTAAGTGAAAATACCGTCTTCCAATAATTATACGGTTATATTTAAAGCCTCGTAATGTTCTGTATATCATCCCTTGAAACTATACCATTCGTACAATATTTGCTCATCAGAAAAAATTTACAATCATTCTAGTCGACACTGGTAAAAACGTAGCAGAGCACATGTTTACCGTAAATAAGGAAGGCTGGGTTGACGGATCTGCCGGCTTGACTGGAGTGCTGCTGTTGCTGATTCTCTTTGCAATGTTTGTGCTGTCTCAACCGTTCGTAAGAAAAAGAGGATTTTTTGAAGTAGGTTGTAGGGTCAGTGGCAAGACCAGTCTGATTATTTAGTCCGGCTGCGTAAATTCCTATGTTTTTTCTTGCTGTGAAAACAATAGATTTCTAAAAAAATGAACAACGATGATGATCTCAAATTTACATAGCAGGACTCAAAATACACGCTACTGCATGTATCCATTCCGTCTTTTATAAATAACTACCCATGCATTAGTTTGAAACTCAGGAATATTCTCTAGATGCGTTAGCTGTGGTGTCCAGGGCACGAAAGATGTTTACCCTTCACTTTGGTTTGGTTGCTAAGTAAAAAAGCTTTAACCATTCTTTGATAACTCCAACTCATCTTGTTTGACCTTGTATGACGATGACTTTCTGATAGTTTGTCGAATGTATACACTGTAAAGCCACGATTCCTGACATTCTTTTGAGTTTTTTTTGCGTTAGATCAGTAGGATTGACTAGAAACGTGCGTAGCTTTACTACTGACCCATGAACTAAGAAACGGTCACAAACTTAACATCATACAAGCTCAAACACGAGGAGTTGTATTTTTGAAATAAGCAATTTTTATCACGCTAGCTTGATATTCAGTTTTAACGGAAACTGCCGATGCCCTTTGCTGAATGTTAAACTCGTTGTCTTTTAGCTGTTTTACTTCACGCATCACATGTACGTGTTTTGGTGGATTCTGCTTATACTTCATGCGCCCGACTTTTGGAAATGGTTCATAGCTCCGGGTGTGCTTTATCTGGCTGAAAGAGTCTTGCGTCTGAGGGTTGTGAACAGAGCGCGTTACGGCAAGACCATCATAGAAGAAGGAATAACATTACCTTCAAAGGTGTGCACAAACGACAGATAAGAGCTCAAAACAACTCTAAACACGTTAAGTCTATTTTCCCTTAGACTTGCGGTATTTTTTACTCGTTTTGATCATTGATGAAAGTAGAAGTATTGAAGAAAAATTTGAAGCGGAACCACAAAGATTTTGAAATGGAATGATGCACATTTTGTGCAATATTATTGAGTGGGAAAATACAATTTCATTGATCTTGTAAATTCAAAGTTCCGAGACTGAACTGAAAAGGTTGAGAGGGATTGCTGCCTCTGATATCTTAGCTTTATTAATTTACTCATCAACACATGTCTTACCAAATAAATTTCACACTTATTAAAAATTGCACCTATACATCTCAAGAGCAAGCGAAGTCTTTCATCACAAATATAGTCGAAATTTATTCTACAAATACACACTCTCGTTTACCTCTAGACTTTCTCACAATAGGCCCTGTAGAGATGCATTGCATTAACCAAATAAAAAATGCTGAGACTTCGCATTTCAAATATATAGATATTTTGAAAGATAATTAAATGTTTCGTACCTTGGTAAACTTCTCTGCATGCTTTGAAATATTTGCACTTCAGTCAGAACAATTCAACTATGCATTATTAATGTAAAGTAATTTCCTCCGTTTTTAAACTTAGGTAACTCATTTAGTAATACGAAGGCCACCGAATTTCAATTACAAGCCGGGTGATTATGTCATCGTAAACATACCAGCGATTGCAAAATACGAGTGGCATCCATTCACGATCAGTAGCTCACCTGACATGGCTGGTTTTATTTGGCTGCACGTTCGCGGGGTCGGCACATGGACAAAGAAATTGTACGAACACTACGAAAACATAGAGAAGGAGGAGTGTAAACAAAAGTCGGTAAAACGGGGAACAATAAGGAAAAGAAAGGCTGCCAGTATCAAAGATAAGGAGAGGTATGAACCACGAACAGACTGTTTTGACATCATGCACATCGAATTAATGGACATATGAATCGAAAATTTTACTATTTTGATCATATTTTCCTTAAACATGCAGAACTTTCAAAATGCAGGTATTTTCCAAGATAATTTTTATGTCTTTTCATTCTCAAGATATTGAAGTTTTTGTAATGTCCGACTTTATACAGCTTTTGAGGTTATTTTGCATAATGAATTGTTGCAATGTACCAACATCCTTCAGTTCCAAGGCAACTGTTGGTTAAAATGACTGGGCATTTCTTTATACCATGAATTCTTGAAAAAACACATCATCAAATATACCTCTCAGTATTATATAAACTACAATACGTTGAGAATGAAAAGTGACATGAATAAACTGTTGGAAGATACAGGGTCTTTTTTTAGTTATGTTCAATGAAAATATAATGTAAACAGCACAATTTTCGCTTCATATCCCCATTATAGATTTTGAATGTAGTGACAGCTTACAAACACGATGAACGCGAAACACAATCGAAAATGATTGCGCTGACAAGAACAATATTGTGAGCCTACTGGATGGGCTCAAGAACGAAAAGCATGGCAATATACGAGAAAACTTGTAACACATTGTGATATAAATGGCAATATACAAGACCCTAAACATTTGTAACTTTTTTAAGCAAAATTGGAAAACAAAGACCAACTGTTTTGCCGTGTGTAATCATGAATCAGTTCAACACAGCAGTTTCAACACAATTAGCTAAATTATGAGCACCCATTCTCACTCCCAGTACATTAATGAGTAAATGTATTCACCTATAGCGTTATTGTATACTCGTGAGATCATGCAGTGACGTAGCCAGATGGCTAATGCATTTCTGAAAAGCAAACTTTCAGTGATCACTCACTGCAAAGACAAAAAAATTTCTAAAGAAAATAATAATGAATACACTAATACAAGCTCTAAAATTTACATGACAGTAGTTGAGCTTGCAGACCGGCTACGCAACTGGATGCCTCACGCTGTTATTATTCCACATACTTAAAGATTGAAGAGCCACTTCAAATGAGCTAAGCTATATCATGATTCGAAAGCACGTTTTTTCTTTTCAGGCGAACGCAACAAACAATTCGAAGTCGTTATGCAACAAGCGTGAAACGTCATCGACTCGAAACGATTGAAGAAGTGAAAGTTGAACAAAGACGAAGTAGCATGCCAAACATGTCATGTGAAGATCTATTGGAAGTCGTTAGTGAATATCCATCAGCTATAGGAGGAGAAGAAATCAATGGCAACTCCATTTATCCTATGAATAATGTAAACACTAGAGGCTTAGTACAAAACGGACAATTACGACGTCGTACTGTTGTAAACGACTCGGAAAAGCTTAAAGTAAGTTGATGATTACGTAGTTATTGTTGTTATCCTCTCTCTCAACTCTAGCTTCCATGCAACCTTTTAATATCGCGAAATTATTGTTACATCTGAATCCTATTTCATTTTCAAAAATAATGCAGATAATCTGATCACTGGTAAAAAGAAAACCTCTCAATTAAAAATAAGTTCAAAGATTGTTCAAAAAAATTGTTTCAAACATTCTAAAAGCTAAAAATAAACCATCACTGAGACTGCAGTTGCAAATCAACGTGGAAGAAGCACAATTTAATCTTAAATATCTTTAGTTTTGCCACCTTTCAAGATGGTGGCTTTATGCACCATGCTTCTTATGTGCTCAATACATAATTTGAATCAAGTAATTTTCATGTAGATCTACGTTGATGGTCCATATGGAGCGCCAGCTACACACTTCACTGAGGCCGAACATGCAGTGCTAATCTCAAGTGGAATCGGCGTGACTCCTTTTGCTTCGATCCTTCAAACAATCATGCTGCGATACAAAAATGCCTCACACTCGTGTCCTAAATGTAACTACTGCTGGGTGGGTGACGTGCCCTATTCCCTACGTAAACTTCGTAAGGTAAATACCACATCTACTAAATATATATTCTGGCATGCACGCATCACATCAAGTTGAGTATAATATGAATAGCACCGTTTCATCTTCTATCAGGTTGATTTCATATGGATCAATCGCGATCAGCACTCTTTTGAATGGTTCTTGAGTTTGCTCAATCAACTTGAACTGGAGCAGTCGGAGAACGAAGGAGCACTCAACGAGCATTTTCTGGACATCCATATTTACATGACATCGGCGTTGCGAAAGGAAGACATGAAAGCGGTTGGTTTACAATTGGCACTTGAGCTTCTCCACTCGAAAAAGGAAAAGGATTTGATCACGGGCTTAAAGACGAAAACAAATCCTGGCAGACCGAAATGGGATAAAGTAAGATCAACTAAAACTTATCATTATCCTTTAGCTAAACACAGCTTTCGTATAAGTTCTCCCCATTGCTGCTAGAGGTTGATTTTCATGTTTTATTTGCCATAAGCAGATCATCAAACTTTTCTGGGGTGTGGTTAGTTGTCGCTTAAAACTTAATACAATTCGTATTTACGTGGGAGTTGAAACTAACACTTTTGTCTTCCATTGTTAAGAATCTATTCATTCTTCCATTTGACCTGACGTGGTTTTCGCCACATTTTTTTTCGAATTTGAAACCATTGTTGAGAAGTGACATGGAGGCAATTTCTTACAGGTATTCCAAGAACTGAAAGAACAGAATCATGGAAAGATCTCTGTATTTTATTGCGGAAATCCAGCATTAGGTACAGTCCTAAAGCAAAATTGTCATCAGTTTGGCTTTGCTTTCAGACAAGAAAACTTTTAGGCATTCATCGTGTAATTAGTATGTGGCAAGCGTGGGGTCGACATTACTTGTAAACGAGACGTTTTATTTAGAAACAACTCAGTTGTGATTCAAAAGTTTACACATCTTGTCTGATGGAAGCATATCATGATACAGAAGAGCGTTCTTAGTTAGAGTCGAACAGCGCAAATAGCTTCTCGAAACCGTTTGCATCATGCAAGTCGTCTTATACACTGTAATATAATTATATTTTTAAAATAGAATAGAAAATTGAACATTTTTGGAAAAATATCAATCGTAAGTTATCTGTCGTTAATCGACTAAAATTGTTATAAACGCAAACCACGTGTTAATTGATTTTGTTCATGTATTAGGTCACATATAAAATCGATAGTATTCATTATTTTTCAAAATGAATGAATATGCCATAATCAACTTAGCTATCGCATATTGCATTGCTTGGAAGGTGGAAAGGAGGAATGTTGGACGGGGCTAATCAGCACATGGGAAATTTAGGGTCTTTAATCAAGACTCAATCGAGTCTGGTGTTTAATTAATAGTCAGTTAATTTTAAATTAACCGTGTAAAAGAATTTCTAAAAATAAGTCTCTGGACCTTGTGTTGTGTTCAAGTGATCATCAATCAAAAAACGCCCAAGGCTTTGAAAATTCATTAACTAGTAGAGTGTGAGGCCTACCTTGTTGAGTTCATGTCATTCTGTAAACGTTATCTCTCCAATTGAACTGGAGCGCATATGGCGTAAATACTTCGCTCACCATTTAAACAATCTGAAATCAGAAGTGCAACACTGATTATTTCCTCAGCTATTTCTTTTCGTCCGTTGTCTCTTGCTTCTCGACAAACTTCATGCAGTGGCGGATCTAGGGTCTAAGCTAAAATAAATTTTACGCAGTATTTTAAATTCCAAATACTTTTATCATGCTGTTGGTTAGAAGTTCCTAAAGAAATTCGTAGGAGAAAAAAACTTTCAATATGATCCGTTCTTAATTATTTTAAAATGGGAATGCAAGAATTAAGACGTATCGAAAACCGCTTATTTTGAAATCAGTCATGTTAACAATAAGATACATTAACAACGCTACTCAGCACGAGAACACCGTTAAGTTGGTTTGGACAAATGAAAATATCAGAACTCAGAAGTATAAAGTATGGTTTGAGTGTACCTTTCGCAAGTTCGATACCATCAAGTTCATGCTTCCCTTCCGCAGAATACAACCAAAGTCATTCGAAATCTCATCGTTCGTTTCCATGACACAAGTTTACGGAGCTATACTTGAATTACAGTTAAATTTTAGTACATTTATCAGTAAATTTTCTATGCGTACTATATTTGACCCAACTTATTTAGACAAAAGAAACGTTATGAACGATGCTGTTGGCGAAATATTCTTTAGCAGATTTGTTGGCTCTTAAAAGAGCCGGTTTTCAATTTAAATCCCTTCATGGACTTTTCTAGTTTAGCCACCAAATCCGTAGAGAGTTCTACCTTGACGTTTCAAGGCGTACACAACGTCCATGGCGGTGACGGTCTTTCGTTTAGCGTGCTCTGTGTATGTGACGGCATCGCGGATTACATTCTCAAGGAAGACTTTCAGAACACCACGCGTTTCTTCGTAAATCAATCCAGATATTCGTTTGACACCACCGCGGCGAGCTAGACGACGAATAGCTGGTTTGGTAATACCTTGAATGTTATCTCGAAGGATTTTGCGATGACGTTTTGCACCACCTTTACCGAGCCCTTTGCCGCCTTTACCACGACCTGACATCTTGTGGTAAGTAGATACTTTACTTCTTCTTCGCTTGCTGCAGCTGAAAGTCCTGATTTCGAGTTTGCAATTTGTGAATGACGAAGGAGAAATTGACCAAATATATACATGATGGATACCCGGACGTCTACGAAGACAGGCAAACAATTCATCTGATTGGCTAATTGTTCTAACGTTTCATTGGTGCGTACTATGTGGTATCATGGTTGCTGATTGGTTTATTTCCTCAGCCAATTAGATGGATATATGAAATAGTTATCCGTTTGTTGATACCTCTTGATTTCTGGTAATCTAGTTCTACTTAGGATCATTTTGACAAATTGACTTGTTCATATTTAAAAATATCTTTTACTATCATAATTAATACACTTCTGCTGTAATTATTATGGTATATGTAATTGTCTGGCTTAAGCTAACTTCTGGTGTTCAACATCAATTGAAAAAGACAATTGTTTGCCATATTTGCAAGTACAAATGTCAACGTGACCAAGCGAAGGTACGTTTATGCAGAAAGTCACGAAATGCATGGCTTGCTAAGCTAGTTTGCTTAGCTGCCTCTTCAAACGGAAACAAATGCAAGCGAAAATGGTGGATTTGAAGTTGTGTTGAAGGTATTCCTTCGCATAGCTTCGCTACTTTCAAAATAAATAACAGTTGTAGGACATGTGACAATTCATCTGTCAAATTCGAAAGTACCACTCCTTGTGAATAAGTTTATAGTGAAGTTACCAAACCATTTCTCTCAAATTTTTAACCCTTTGCCCTCGACTTCATGCTTTCAATAGGCATAACTAGCTTGATAATGAAGTGGGAATGTTCATACCTGGAAGTTAAGTTCCTTTGTAATTGATTGTTTTTATGGATTGTGCAGAACGTGCACCTATAAATACTGCACACACACCCCCCGTTCTTGAGCTGGATATGTCATTGCACTATATCAAATATTGACAATCTTGAGTAGACGTCATCAGCAAGTTACTCATTTTTGTAGATGTCAACTGTCTATAGACTGTTGATAGACTCAAGAGCAAGTTATATAGTTGTGACCCAGTCATAGAATTCGAATTATTCAGCATGTTTCAGTCTCAAAAGGTCAACACTATGATACTTAAAATTTTTTTTCAGATTAAATTTTGATTTTCAATTCATCATGGTAGTTTGATGTCAACACTGTTGTATTCACCGGCTGAAGAGGGCTGTGAAAATGTTTGGTGCCTATGTGGTGGTTGAATGGAAGTTAAGAATACGATGGGAAGATGGTAAGCTTATTATTTTTGACCAAATAAATTTTCTCTAGATAGTTTTTATACTTAAGTTTTATGTGGAAATTCTGTACATGGTTTTGCATACCCAATTTCCCTGAACAATCTCTCATTAGAATTATACTAAGTTGTGATTATTTGCCAAGTGAGGGTATGGAAATTCAAATCTTGGCATGTTTATACCACTTTTTAAAGCTAAACAAAGGAACCACTTTAAATTGTCCATTTTTTAGTTTTTACGCTTCAGTTGTTCATTTGGCTGAACTTTAGTACACACAGAAATGCACTCAGAAAGTTCAGATGTGTGTACTTTGTAGATAGTTATCATTAGAGCTTTATAAATTGTACCATATTTTGCTGACAACTCAGACAATTCATGTGTAACCAATGCAAAGCTCATCAGAGCTAGCACAAGGCACTTTCGTACAAAAAACATTTGGGAATACAGATGTAGGCTATTACTTTTCCTTTAGCCCATGCTTTTCATAGACAAATATGTGTTCAGACAAGTGTAAATTGACATATTTTGACTACCATTCACCATTTTATTCATTCATTTCCATCATCTCAATGTAATATATTAATCCTAAATATATTAAGGATTATATCCTAAGGATTAATATATTATATATATTCTCATCTCAATGTGGTGAGATAATGAATTGTGAGCCATTGTTACCCAATTTCACTTTTGCCTTGTCATTGAGTCGAAGCCATCATCTTGTTTTGCAGTATCATTGAACTTCATCTTTCTTCATCCTCATACAACAGTACATATATAAACAGTGTTTGTGATTTGCTCAAAGTCTCCTAGTGATGTAATGTCAAAATCAGTCATAAAAACAATTTCAAAGAATCATTGAAAAATTATTTTCGTTCTTGTGTAATTCTAACTCAATCAAAAGTTCTATAAAAATATTCAATATGAAGACAACAGTTCAGCTGGACATCTTGTAATAAAAGTTGTGGTTCTGGGTTGTGGTTTCCTCTATAAGATGCTGCAGACCTGTTAAGTTCCCCTTTTCTTCTCCAAGAATTGAAGTAGCTATTGAAGACCATTACGTCACTGTGTGTCTTGATGCCTTGATTTTAGAATAACTCTGACAAAGCAAATAGGAGCAAAGATATTATGTAGATTTTTTAAAAGCCTTTGGCTTCATCTAGTTTGGAGAATAGTCGTGTAACAAAAGACGAGAATCGAGCCCTTACCCTTATGGTTGCAAAAATTGTAAGATTCAAAAATAGAAGCCAATCAACTTTGGAAAATGTTCTTTGCTTTCGAAATGAAGAATTGGGAATCTATCGCTGCCTGCTCACTTACAGCAATGCAATGTACATACTTATGGAATTAGATCACCGGTCAAAAGAAGTTTTCGTGTCCTTACCCTCCTTTTCTCAAATGGGAAACTGTGTATGTCGCAGGAATTGATTTGGCGCAGGTTGATAATTCCTACCAATGAACCTATATTGGTGAAAAGATAAAATAGAAAAAAAAGTGATGGGGAATTTGGCAAAATCTCAATCCACAGTTTTTACAGGCATTCACCAAAGTATGTTACGCATTTGTGAAGAAATTAATTGTGGGCAGTTGTCTTTTTCCCCATGATGAAAGTGGAAGTAAGTGATTGAGAATCGATGAATCAGTGGCTACTTATCACCAAACTACTGAAGTACATACTGTAGCGCACGGGGCATCAACGTTGTATTTGTTCTATCGTCTTCAATGTTCAATGCTGGTTGTCTGTTTATGAGAAGGGCATTCCTAATCCGTGCAACTAAATGCTGGCTTAATGGGAATTTAAAAAAATATTTTTTTAGTTATTTTAAAGAAACTGTTGGCCTTTATTTTTTCTGGATAATTTCTCTAATACCTCATTGAAACGAAAGCTGGTTTGAGGTGTCAACCGGACTTATATTAGTGCAACTACTTTGGCTGAGTGATTTGATGAGTTGAACGTCAGAGTTGGCCATTCAGGATAAAAATTTGATCGCCAGTCATCGCACTTCTTCGCTGCACTCCTAGCAAGGCAAGGGCCTCGCGTCGTCCGCCTTCTCATTCTTCGCATGGCATGGCTGTTGTAAAGTTACAATGAAACAAAATTATTCCATGAAAGCTTAATGAGAACGGCAATGTTATTCACATATTGATGATGTGTTGGTTTGCACTTAATTGCATTTGCATTTATATCTTTCTTATAGCAAATCTTGCGCCATGCTTTTTCCTTTATATGTATCGGCATTATGTACGTATTCCTGACAGAAGAGTTGTTATTAGTATTTGTTAAGTTTTAATGGTAAGACGAACAGAAGCTTTTGCTCTATGACTTGCTCAAAGCCATTTTAAACTAAAGGAAATAAGTCATGCCTTAAGGATTTTTCGCCATGAAATGAACGCAGTCTCCTCCTCACTGTCATAATGAAAACAGTCACCAAAAGGAATTATAAGTAATACTTTAAAACATGGATTTTTGGCCACAAAATGACGTTGTTACCCCTTAGTCATACCTTTATTAAGTGGGATTTTCTGGTCACCGTGATACGTCTAAGAAATGCATCCCTCAGTAATTCTTTTTACTTGTGACGAGTGCGTGAAAACTTTTCTGGCGTGTTCGTTATTTAAAAAATCAATTAATGCCGTGTAGTTTGAAACGAAAGAAAAACATCGAATTAGACTTTAATGACTTTAGGAATTGAAGGAATCGAGGATTACCCGATTTATTTAGTCTCCAGCTGTGCAACAGTTTGCTTCTTAGCTACATGCAGCTTCTGAATACGTTTAATGGTCGACTTTGTGTGTGATTTTCTCCCAATCGATCGTAAGCAGCTCTTGCAACACCTGCCAATGGAATTCATTCAGTAAAAATCTTTTTCTTAAATCTTACTTACGTCGATTTTCGAATAGCTATTTTTACTGGCACGTTCACCTCTTCAAGCCGCAGCGGCCTCCTTTGAAGTAGACATCGGGCGACACCATTTCATATTATCTTGACCACTCCTCCAGATTAGGGCTCAGCTCATTGTTTAAAAGAATTCTTTTGAATTGCGCCACGAGGTTTTTTATGTTTACAAGACGACAGTTAATACATCGTTATCTTAAATCCATTTTCTCCATAATGTTATGCATTGACCTCGCGACTTAATTGCCTTTCATGGCCAACTAATGTGATTTGCCGACGATTTTTGAACTAGCACATACCAGATGGATAATGCTAGACATCTTAACTTCAAATCTCACCTAGAAGCTAAGAGTGTATCGCTAGCAAATCTAGCTTGCGTAAACAAAAATTTTTGTAAGCACCTATAATCCTAAGCTTGTTTATATGTTTATATGTAACCTTTTCATCGATTTTGGCCGTAAAGTTAAGTTCTTGAGCGACTCTTCGATGACTTCAGATAACTTGCCTTGCATGTTGAAGGAGTTGAGATTGTCAGTAAGTGTCATTATACAGCGTGTTGCTGTTACGTTTTCGTTTGGAGTGTGTGAAAATTGAAACCTCGAGCAAAATGAAATGCAAAGAATCTGTACTACTCGTTAAACTGTTTCAGTTTAATGAATCACAGTATTTGGTCGAAGAAGTTGCAATGCTTGCTAGGGCATGGAAAAGTATTGACATTTTATAAAAACACAGCATGTCTGCGTAATGCTTAAGAACAGCGAAGAAAGTATTTAAAATACAATATGTTTTATAGACACATTCTCCATATACTCTCCCCTACCTCTATGTTAAAAATATTTAAAATTTCAAAGTGACTGAATGATTTCATGATAACAAGGTTTTCTACAATGGGTCAAAAGCTAACCTGGTGGTCGTTCATTCTGTTATCCGACTTCATTTTATGTACAGATGTAATCTTAGCAAGTAAAACGACGATATGATATAGCTAAAACTTATCAATTCGTACTGGTACAGGAAAGTGGATATAATTACATCTATAATCGATGCAATGCCAAGAAAATATCTACTGGAAAAGTGTTTCGGTGAAAATTTATGTTACGAATGATGTTGGCAATGAAGAAAAAATCATGCTTCATAAAAAAGCAGGCGAAAACACAAGGAGAAGAACGAGGGGCATAAAAATGATCTTAGAGTCCTGCTAGAGGAGCCAAGTGAGAGGAACGTGTGTCGCATCAAGTGTGGAAGTAGACAGTCGTCGACAGGATGTAGTATGTTGGCTAGTACAGTATAAAATTGAGCAAACATCATGGAGGCGTTGATGACAATGGTAATTGAATCGGCAGAGCAATTTTGTCTTGATGGCTGAAATGATCTTATAGATAGCAAATTAAAGAAGAGGTGTGTTTACTAAAAATTATCGGTTAAATCCATCGTGAGACTAAATGCTATATCGGAATAAAAGAAAGAAAAAGGCATATATGATATGGAAGAAAATATAAGGAGAACTTGGGTTTTAAAAAGCAACCGCAATGTAGCATATAAAAAATTTGTTTCAATGTTGGCAACCGTTGCTGTTTTTGGTTGGTAATTTTGATATGACATTGATGGTAGACTGATAAGGAAAAATATTCAGATCGAAAGATTTTGGCGTTTAATTGTTGGCATATTATGGCATTTACATTACATAGGTGGGAATATTTTGCGATGGAAAGTGAAGAGGACCATACAGCTATAAAACGAATGATGTTCCGAAAATAGACATTGTGCAAGTGAACGGAAATGCCAAATGAAAAATATTTAAAAACGGCACATTCCGATTCAAGTCCGAATCATTTTCAGCAGAATTATAGCTATACGATATACCAGTTTTAGTCGATTTTTGTGTATTTTTTCACTATTTGTTCAATGTCCGATTTCGGGCCTGTTTAAACTTTTGTCCGGCAGAGAAGACGACGTATACACACAAAAAAAACTGAATAACACCAATAAGCCCGAAGCAAATGTCTGCCAACAAATGGGATTCTTCTCTTTCACTCATGCGTCAATCGCTTTATATATAGTTATTCTTGTTTTCAGCGCGTGCGCTTTACGTACTTTACTGTATAAATAGAAAAAAGGCCACAACAGTTCAATCGCGATGACCTCATCACAATTTCCTGATGCTGTGATGACGGTGAGAAAAAAAATTGGGAGTGTGTGTTACAATATCCTATACATCAGCATTCACTCCCGGAAAATAAGAAAAATGTTGTCTGCTGGTCGACTGTTGTGTGGTTCATAAGTCGATATATCAGAGAAAAATGCAACTCGAGAAATAAATTTCCATAGCAACGGTGACAAAATAGGAAAGTTCTTATGAAAGACTCAGCATCTGGCGTTTGTTAGGACGTGACATGCTGATCGCCAATAAAACCTAGTCGGAAATTGGCTTTTTAGGAAATGAGTCGCAAATAATTTCCAAACTTCTATCGTGACTTTACTTTACATTCTGACACCTTTGTCCCCTCTCCACCACACGAAAGGTGCTAAACGTTTTCGTTTTAGGTGTGAATTAAAATCGCGCAAGATTGAAATCATTCAAGCCGGACAGTGAGTTGGCTGAGCGTCAATTCGCATTCCTTTGCTTGTCTTGTAGAGCTTTCTCGATTTTTTTGCAGCATTGATAGCATTCTTTTGCCTCGGCAAGTTTGGCGAGTGGACTTTCTCACAGAAGAGACTTTGCATGAAGTGATAAGGTGGACTTCAACTTCCATACAATTGCTTCTGGTGCGCTGTTGACATACACGAGTATGTCACGTGCAATGATTATTTTTGCCAGTGAAAAGTAACTTTTCATTGGTTGCGGAGCCAGTCGATTCAGCATCTTTATTGTAACTCAATATAAAATAAGTAAAAAATTGTGTTTTTTCGTTGAAAAGTTGCGTCATGTCGAAAGCCGTCTTCAGTGCCTGTGTTTTTCGATTGCACATCTCCTCACCCCACCTGCTAACAGTGTTTCGATCATCACTATGTTTGTATAACACAGGTTTGTAGTGTAAATGTCTTTCCCTTCATTCGAGCCGACCTTGGCAACTTGGTCATTCTGTTCCCATCGATGCTATGTTGTGTTCCCATGCATCGATCTTCGGCACGTCTTATTGCATAACAAGAATCGTCTTTATTTTGTTTTCACAATCTTCAAGTTTTCTTTAGCAGTTTGAAATCGGAATCTCAAACATACATACGCTATATTGCCTTATCGTTTATCGTCTAACTTCATCTTAGCGACATAACTTCCTGTCCAAGAAAAATGTGCTCTTTAACCACAGCTATTGTTATCAGTGATCTATTTTGTCTGGACAGCTAATATTGTTGGCCATTTTTTTGCTGCGTTTTTTATACATTACTGTGCTGGAAGCATAGTTTGCGTCTTACGAATTTTCTTGTCTCTTTTCGCGATCAAGTTTTCACTATTTCCTTCAACATCTTCGAAAGTCAGGTGTGTTTTTCGGATGCAGGTTTTGGAGTAGCCAGAGATTCTGCTGATTTTCATAGAATTTACAAATCTCGTCCTCTAACTTCTTCAATCTTCCTTTGACAAGTCGACCATCAGTTAAAAACTGCATTCTCATCTCAAATATTGTTATTTCTATTGTTGTTATTATTGTTATCATTATTGTTATACTGTTGTCACTGTTGCTATCATTTTTGCCATAATTATTTACAACAACATCATCATCATCAACATCATCATCATCATCGCTTTCGTGCTTCTATTTATTGCTTTTTTATTACATAATTTGATTGAAAATCATAACTCTGTTGTGTCACAGTGCATGGGGCTTACGTTCCAAAACAAGAAAAAATGAATAGCGCTAAAAAATTGGATAGCCAAGCATCAAAACATCCTTGTAGTGCAATCAAAGCTTTTTCAGCTGATTTCCATTTTAAAATACTTGTAAACCTAACCGGGTGCATCTGAATCTCCCACTTGTACGTTCCACTCAAAAAATTATCTTCGATCACGTGGTTTTCTTGTGCATTAACAGCAAGCGAATATGTTAAAAAAAAATCCGAAAGAACATTTGTCATTTTACAGATAAATTGCGATTACATGCCCGTCTGGCGTGTGCGTAATTTGTGGCGAACTGTAACTGGAGCATTAATACATTTGTTCGATCGAACTATATGCTGCTAAATTGTCAGTTCTTGTGACCAGTAATGCAAACGCAACATTTACCGGAGAATACAATAGGCATTTAAATGTTTCATGTTTTATAGTCAAAACATTTTTTGTTTTTTGATGGTTTTTGTTAGAGATAATAAAATGCGGTTTAAGACGTCGTCTTGACGAGAGACAGACCAATCAGAATGTTCATCCTTTTATGGCATTATCATTCTGCTAATCATATATAAATAGCCGTGGTTTGTGTTAGCCAGTCAGTATTCATGTGATAGCGGGGTTAGCATCCTTGAACAAAAATACACGGCGCGTATACAACCATTCCATTCTCAAAGTTTCTAAATCCTCGACTACGAGAGATGGCACTTTCAAAAGCATTTTCAGTCAAAGGTAACAATATGGTCTCGATGGAAAAGGAAACAGCGAAAATTGTACATCGAGTGAAACGTCGTGGTTCGGAATGCTCTGTTTCAAGCATTGACTCATGGATTAGTCGCGGTTCGACCATCTCAAGCGTAAGTTCCAGCTTCTCGGATTATTTTTCAACGGTCGTGTTGCCGTTGGAGCTAGAACTCTCGATAATGGGGACCGTTGACCAATGTCTACTGGACAGAGCGCAAGTTGCTCAGATTTATCGAAGCAGAGTTTCTCCGCGTTCTACATTGTCTCGACCCAAGTGTCGCTCAAACTTAGGCATTGAAAGGAATGACACGACGAGCTTCAACGACCAAGAAATGTTGTCGACCACTTTCTGTTCTACCGAACTCTAAAGGAGCATGCATTGTAGCTGCATGGTGAAGCACGTTCTGCCGAAGTGCGCATGTTATGTAACTTCAAAGAAAAGCTCGAGCAAATGTGATGCAATATACTTGTGGTTGTGACATGAACAAAGCGTTTTCAAATGAACTGAGACATATGGAACACTTCAATCCTCGACTTCATCGACGACATGCGGGGACGTGACGTGAGCTTATCGTGTGGGATTCAGCGATAGCAAGTAAACAACCCAATATGGGGTAAAATAGCTAACGTCAATGTGAAAGTAATCCACGGTCGTGTGAAACGAAAGCAAGGTCCACCAAAATCAAAATCATAGGAGCAAAGAGTTTGTTCAATCAAAATTAGTGGCAAGATTTACGCATTGCACGCGTGCTAGAGTCAGACGAAACTATTAACAGCAAGGACGCTGTTGGCAATGTCTATGCAAACATATACTTTGATCATCGAGTAGTGTGACTGTTGTTATGATATACTGAGAACTGAAAACTCGTGTAGTTTTTGACATTGTAAATATATATGTGTATATTTATGGGTACTGTCTATAACTTATTTGAAAAATTTAAAAACAATATATGCATATTTCCTGAAATAAACGTACACTTCATTACAAAAAATACTTGTCGTTCCTATTTGATTTCTCCAAAAACGTTTATGCAACATTATGGTGTTCTATCCGCTAAATATGTCAAGTTAGAGATTGCGTGATGTTTATCTTTTCGTGTGTAAATTGTGTATGAAATCCGAACTTCAGGAATTTGGCTAAACTGTGGAATTTTAAGTGGCAGCTAATTGATTTCGCATTGCGGCTTGTTTTGTATCCTCTTATAGGATGCTTATGCGAATAACGCATGGCTTTTATTTGTTTTTTGACAAGACGACAGCGAGCGGTCAGAAAATATTTTAAAACCTGATAGAACTATCAAGCAATAAAGTCTCACACAATGCATGGATAGACAGCATATAATACTAAAGGTCTTTCCACCCAACAATAGCCTTCTCCTTTCAACTTGCTTTGCTAATTTTTACTCTAAGCAGTTGTGGCACTCTGTCCTACAATAAAAAAAACCTTCCAACATTTGTGCAATTCACGAGCACCGCCTATATAAATAGCAAGAGAGGTGAATAAGTTTATAGATTGACTACCTATTCCATTGGAAATTTGGAGTGTTGTTCGCGGCTTTTGTTGGACGGTTCGTGTCTAACTGTGGCAATTTGTTTCGATTTAATTAAGAAAAGGTGCATACGGTGCACGTATAGAAATTTGAACATAGAAATATCCAAGGTTTGTTGTTTGAAGTTTATATTTATCGTATGTATGTGACCCGCGTACATGTCAGGAAGACTTAATTGCTGTGAAGATATATATGAATAACAGGTTGATTTGATATTTGCAATTTTATGGGAGAAGCTAGAAAACATCTTGATCTTGAACTTTTAATGCTCCGTTTCACTTCATTAATTGCGGGCTTCTTATCTAAGAATCAGGGAAATAATGTCACTCTAGTTGTGGTAACATAATTTATAATTTTAATCTTGATACGAAAAAACGTTTTCAACTTTTCGTGCTATTTTAAGTATCAAAGAACATGCATGATGTACATTGAAATTGCTCGATGGATAATCAAAGTCTTTAGAAATGACACAGCTACTTCGAAACACGCCATTATTCACTCCATAATTTCAACCTATTCACATATATATATCATTCGTCTGAGCTCTGAAAGGTTTTGACACTACGAAACAATGCATCAGGCGTCTCTTCGAAGAATAATACGGCTCTATTTATAATTTGCACGCAATTATGATTTTTAGATTATGAGTTAATTGACATACGCCTGAAGCAAATTGAGAAGCAACAACTTTGATTTTCTCTACAAATTTGTATTTCACCTTCGCAACAATCATCATGCGCACAGAAAAGAAAATATACCGTAAAAAATATACATCAACAGTCCTTTAAGCCGCCACACATATAGTTAATCTTAATCCTTGAAGCACGCGACCGTTTAAAACCCTAGCTTTTTTACGTGTTCGAGTAAAAGAAGTTTCTAGAAGAAAGCCTCGCAGCGTGTCAAAAAGCGTGGCCGTGTTGTTAACCGTAATGAAGTGCTAGTGTGTTTTTTTCATGCTTGATATGTTGATGAATGACGAATAGCATACAGCATATTTTAAGCTTAACCTCATATTTAGCTCAACTTGATGTTGATGAAAATTTTTTAGAAGCGAACGTTATAACCGTCGTCAGTCTTTAGTAACAGCAATAGTTGTTAGAGATTTTTCCGAGGATCGCGTCTCAAGATGTGAACATGATCAATATGCAGAAAACATGAGCAACAGTTAGTTTTATTGCATGCGATTGTTATAGCGTATCGTGCGTGGGCGAAGCGTGATGTAATCAGATGTTTCTAATTATTTGTGTTATTTTTAAATTCTTGGAATAAGTTGCTCACCTAGGAAAGTTTGACCATTCGTGAAATGAGCCCCATCGCTTACTTTTCTCCAAACATTTTCATGTCAGATAGATAGAGTTGTATTTCATAATCAGACAATGTGCGTACTTGCTATTTTCTCAAAATCTCGTAATAAGGTACTCTAGCTGTCCCAGTGTTCCCTCCGGAGATAGGCAAAACCAATACCGCATTTAAAATAAATTGTTACTGTTATGAATTTTGAATCCATAGCAAATGAAACTGCTTGAAAGATTTTTGTGATATGTACAAGTATAGTGTTAATAATAAGTTGACTAAGCTTGTTGCCAGTAATGTTTTTTGTGAAACACTTAATCATGTTTTTATATATCTGTAAACCTTCCACTCTGCTTTCATTTATTTTTCTTTGTTCTAGACGCTTTCACCTTGTTTGATCCCTCAGTTGGATTGGTTTGCCGATATGGTCGTTTGCAAAAGACGATAATGAAACACACAGTTTTTATATCGATATAATTACCGCTGGTAATGTCAAGTTGGGTAGAAGGGAGGGGGGTGTTCATTCAGCAATACGAAAATATGAATGTGATGCCGTCAATGTCTAATGCGCTAAAATCTTGCTAAGAATTTTTCTTTCATGATACTTTCTCCTCACACATAGTGTGAAGTATTTCGCCGGTTGGCCATTCGGGGCAATCAAAAAGTTATTTATTGCAACAAAAAGTATATTTCATTCATTGTTTTTCCAATGAATAAACTGAAAAATACTTGCATGGCTATCGTGCTGACCTCTTTACTGGTGTGGCCTAATTTTACCATACAAGGTAAAATATAGTAAATGGTGATACATTTCTTCTATCGAATGCTTTATATCTTTGTTTTCTACGTGCCGGTGTGATGTGCCCTCTTCCACTAACTTTCGAAGCCATCCTCTGACGCAAAACAAAGAGGAAATGCCAGAAGTTGAAAATTGAACTTCCTTGGGTCGTCTCGAAATAACGAATTGCGATTAACACTTGCTGTGAAAATTTAAAATTTGTAAAGAATTACTTCTGACGTCGTTTGAAGTTGACCTTCATGCTATAGAGTATGCGAAACTGCGGAAATTGAGATGATCTCGTCACGCGACACTGCATAGCAGGACCAGGATTTCAAATTTTTTTCATCAAAAATTTTTTTGTTAACCATTAAAAGAACAGGTTATTTTTACTGTGAGATTTTCTAGTCGATTCTTTACTGGATGTTCCACAGAGTAAAGACGTCTTTATTCTTTCAAGAACTTTAACCGATTGTATACAAAATCGTTATCATCTTAGCTATGTGGAAAACGAATTTTAGGTTTGATTACGATTGCCTAATGCAAAGCTTTTAAAAAGTTTTAAGAGCATTAATTTTGTTGTATTTTTTTTAATTTTGTCGCGTGACTCCGTTTTTGTCGAAAGATAATAACGAAATTAACGATCCTTTTAAAAGTTTTATGTTTGGCAATTGTGTTTACAACGAGAATTATGATAGATATTTGGCGTTGAACTTGACTAATTTAATTTCATTAAAATATTTTCACGTTTTCGGAACACCCCTACTTGTACATTAAACAAAAGCATTCGACAAACACAACTCACATATCATGTGATTTTCAGCCTTTTATGTTACAAATCCCTGTTATTGACTGCGTATATCCATTCATCAGCACGCTTTGTATTACGTCCTGAATCATGAATGTTATATAGTTGTGTTGGGCTTGTATGTATGTATACTGGGCGCATGTATTGCTACTCTTTGCTCTTAGTGTCGGAAAATTCATTCAAAAGTTTATTTGCTCATTGCCAAGTTCATTCTTCATCCAATCAAATTGCAAAGTCATGATCAGAGTCGATTGTGATTGGATGGTAAATGAACTTCGGAAAGAACATTACTAGAAGTCAAGAATCAACATCACATCAAATTTTGTATTATATACGCTCTCTTGTATGTTTTGAAACACCGTACGAGCACATAAAGTAAATTTTCTTTGTGTTCGCTCACTGCAATTTCTCTGTCGAAATGAGTTAAGATAAAGATCTGACCAAAATTTGCGGGCTGGCAACGCTATACTAAAATTGTACCGATTTATGTAGATTAACGATGCTCGTAGTATGAGAGTTGGTCACGCAATCCCATTTGATAACGCAAAATTTCATTGAATTGAATAATGAGCTAAGGTCGTTTATTCTTCATTTGATCCAATCCTCTTCACGGAAATTTCGCATACTTAAGTATACTGATGCGTCTACGCAATTTCCGTAGGATTTGTATATTGAGTCGCACAGGGAGGCAGTTACATAACGTTTTTTTAACACGATGATGACTGCCTTTCAGCATGAGTCGATTGAGTGTATTTTCTAATATGCTGGGTGATCTTTTTTTGTGAATCCAAAGTTGATCAATCATCACGTTGCCATGCACATGAGAACTTGTAGCCGAAGACTGAACCCTCAGAGCCAAACGAGATTCACAGTTATAAGACTTCTTCAATATTCGATGTTCAACACTAAAGGTTCATTATTTAGAATGCAAAGATTTCTCGTATGGTTTTTCTTCTTCGTTTTGTCAACGTTTAAAGGAAGAGGCACCTGCGCGCAATAATTAAGAAAAGTTTCAAGGGCTTTACCTTAAAAAGAGCTTTATAGTAATGTTCTAAGAGAGGAACCAACCTCAGCGGTTGGCAGCTGCACGTGTCTTAGAGTCGTGTATTGCTCATGCGAAATTTGTGCATCAAATAAGATTATGTCTTATCTAGGATACTTCAAATGCACATTCGTTGGAATTCAAAGCCAGCCAGCTTAACACCAGAGCTTTCAGTCGATTTATAAGCTTTATGTCTGCAGTATTGGAAAAAAAAGTTGATTGGTATCAGATTTTTTCCAGAGATATGGCATACGTGTATAGGAAAGCCTGAGAACTCTACTAAAACGCCTTTGCACGCGGGAGAAACTTACTTATGAGGCATGTCGGCGCAGTTTTAGCTGAAAGCTCTAATGTGTGGCGTTGCTTGCTTTGCATGTGTTTGTACTTTACGCATATTGCTTTTCTTTGTTGTTTTGAAGGATCTTACTAAAGAATGTATTAAATCCTTCTCTTAAATTTTTTAATAAAAATTAAAGCATGGAAATGTGATGTTCATTTTACATACTGTGTTAAAGTTTAAAACAATAAAATTGTTGATGATATTAGACATCTGATGTGTAGTCTTTCGTCTTCCAAAACGAGAGTTAATTTCTTTATCGTCCGGTTTATGAAAATTTTTATGCTGTTGATGTGTGAACGGTTATATACAATAAAAACGTACTTTCGCGCGTTTTAAATCTGTAAATCAGTGGAAGAAAGTGCAGTAAATTTAACATTTTTGTCTCTCATTTCTTCAGGAACTATGTTCGCTTCGTAAGCATTCTAAATGTTTAGAACTTTGTTAATCAGGGCATCAGCAACCAGGGGTGGTGGTGTGTGGGTGAATGCGCCCTCCAATAATTTGAGTCAGGCTGCAAATGTTGGCAATATTTATTCTATAAAATCGGTAATTGGTACAACTGAAAGTCTGGACGAAGGAAAAATATAAAGTTTCTCTTGAGCTTTAATAAGTGGGTTTTTGTGACTCTCAGTCGGCCGTATCGCAATTGCTCCGGAATTTAATTGATTCTCCAGGATGTAATTTTTGTGAAACAAATCCAGAAAATCATTCGCTATCAGACTGACTTTTGAGATTGCCGGTGTTTCGTTTTATTATTATCCATGGCAACGTTTACTTCTGCTTGTATATGTTTCACGAGTATCGTGTAGGTTGGATACAAATGAGTCAAACGAGTCAATGCCCACTAATTTTACATCGTAAATACACAAGTGTTTATCAAATCGTAAAAACTAATCGAAGACGACCTGTTTGTACTGTTGATTTGTTAATGAGACTTTAAACTTTTACAAATTTATGCATGTGGTTTGCCGTTATCATGGTCACACGAATTTGCATAATGGCGTTTATAGATGATAAACTTTTTATGATACTTTGTTAATGCAAGTCAAGCAATATATTAAAATAAAATTTGCGTTCTTCAAAGCATCTTGTTATCTTTGTGTTACGTGGGCGTTTCTTCCAGAAAACGCTCCAGTAAAATTTACGCAAGCGTGGCCTTAATTTGGAAAAATGACTCACAATTGCATACCAGAGCATTGGATAACAATTAGCTTCACCACAGTTGATAAAATTAGCTACCCCAGTAGGACAATAGATTTATCTGGCATGATCTACGATGTGTGATACTTCTACTTTTGGGGTCAGAAAGGCGGAACGAATTTTATGTACGCCCAGTATTTGCGATCATGGAGTCTACAAGTCATTCCAGATGTTTGTTTTAAGCTCGTGATCGCTTTAACGACGTCTATTTTATTTCATGCTCTTCTAGTGAACAATAGACTTGTTTATTATCTGTTGATTTAGCATACTGTAAAATTACTGTCTTGTCATTTAGACATTTTGTTAAACTACTTGACATTTGTGTAAACAATTGCCTAATGTTGACTGATTTGACTTTTTATGAATATGTGTCCATTCTGACATTCTCAAGTTGTGTGGGAAAAGCGCTTAATGTCGGCACTATTTTTGTGCCATCTTATCTAAACTTGTTTATTGTTGTTTTGATAAAACTTCGAGCGAATGTTCGTTCGTCACTTAAAAACAGACGATATTTTAAGCGGATTTGATACACTATTTATAGGGAAACATGTGGAACCTCTCGAGAAAAGAAAGCTATTTGTCAAAACTCAAAGCTAATAATTGCAGAAAAAATATTTGAAAGAAATTATATTTTTCAAACAGCTTATGATAAATATTTGTCCTCGACATTTCATCAATGGCAGATTTTAATGACGTTATTAATCCAATGGAATTACCATCAAAGGCACAGTAAATGGCGTGACAGAACTTTATGGCTCTGGGATATTTTTTCTATTCTTTTCCTTTTCTGTTTAAGAAAAATTCGTCTTCTCTATCAAGAATTTTTCTCTGTATTAGAAATCAAATTCTAACTTTAGCATTTGCATAGCTGATGCATTGCAATCGTGCTTCTATAGCTGTTAGCTTGCATTTTGCAGTCAATTAACCAACAATACTAGTATTGCTTAAAAGTTTTTCAAGCGCATGGCGTTTGAGGTTCGTATGTAGCCGACCTTCATATAATAAAGAGTTTTATAACACGAATTTGATTGGTACTAGTGATAAACACCGTACATGTCGTAGGTTGCATATGGTTGTACGGGACAGCTATGTTTGAGTATCATTTGGGATTAAATCGGCCCGAGCCGATGGGTAAGGTGAACGTTTGTAACACATTTGCTCGTGCATAATACTATACACTTGGGCAATGCATTTAAAAAGATTTTCATTATTAGGCAAATAATCAACTTCTGTGGATGGCAATTAAATAAAACTACAACACTCCTATGGCCCAACTCTTTTTTGATAAAGCCAATTGATTGTTCATCTTTAGTTCTTGTCAGAGTTAAGAAACATAGTCTGATTCCATTTTGGTTATTTTTAGTTTTTTATTCGTGTCTCAATCATTTTATCTGTCCAATAAAATCATTTAGTAAAATCGTTAGTGCCCTTACCTCAGCTTCATATAGCTAATTTTCATGAGTACAGTGGTCCGTGTTACTGTATATTTACGAATAAAACAATAGGCCCATAACATGTACGCTTAGCGTAACTGTTTCTGTAAATATTGCTTTAAAAAATCAATGCAGAAAAAAGCTTCCCCCCCCCTGGAGAAATATGACTCAAATCAAAGATGGCGGATGAAAAGGCCAGCAAGAAACGATCGAATGAAGATGAAAATAGCGAAAATGACGAAGGCGAAAGTGGAGATGAAATGATAGGACCACTACCTGTGCCAGAAAAAAAACCAAAAAAGAGGAAAGGTTTGCATTGCTCGGCAAATTATAATCAATAACACAAAGAAATCTTGCCAACAAGTCTTTCTCACATGCATATGCATATGGCGGCGGCATGTATTAAACTTTGAACACTTTAGTGTTTACTGTGGTACAAGAAAATTTTGTTTTCTCACATTATCACAGCAATAGTTTAATTTTGCCCATTGTAGACATCGTTGAAAATAAGAAACGCATTACACATGCTTTCTAGACTAGGCTGTAGGTATTCAAGCGTTCTCCATTCCCTATTGCACACGTAAATTTTCTTCGACTATAAGATCCCTAATAACAATGTTTCCTAATCAGTTCTAGAATTTGAGCAAATTTATCTTGACAATCTACCAACGTCTGAATCGTATGAAAAAAGTTACATGCACCGAGATCTCATCACCCATGTTGTTGTAACCAAGTAAGTATGAGGCTTGGTTGTGATCCCCCTTTCCCCCCGTGACGTAAAAATTGAATTCAAAGGGTTATTACAAATTAACAGTTTGAATCATAGCATGTCCCACGACCAAATTCTGTACTCAGCAGTGGACAAGTCTTCATTCGAGCCATTTTATCCATAAGGTCATCATGTCTATTCATGTTAAGTTAAGGTGTATGTTTGAAAGAATGGCTTATCCACGGTACACAGAGCTCTGCTTATTTAATAGTCAAAATACCATAGCAACAAGGCTAGTGGTTACAATTTTCTAAGGAGTATTTTGAGCCAGAATCTTGTCAACAGGATTGTCAACAGGATTGTTTATATTTCAAATTCTACATCACTTCTTTGTAATTTGTGTAGCACCAATTTAGGTTACCTAATTTTTTGAGCCACCCGCATTGTTACCATGATAAAAATACATATGATACTTCGAAACAGTTTAACATGAGGTTATTTGATTTCATTGAAAAGTAAGATGTTTTGAAACAGTGCTTACTCATTGTGTTTAATCAAAGATGTTTTCTTCACATGTGTGCATAGAAAACTTTCCCACCTTCTCCATGATTGCATTTTGTATAAGGCTTTGTTGATATCAAGCAAACTTTTATTTGTTGTTCACCAATAGAACTGATTTCCTCATAACAGCAAGTTGTGATGGTCATATTAAATTTTGGAAGAAGACTACAGAAGGAATAGAATTTGTTAAGCATTTTCGAGGTCATCTAGGTAATCTTAAATGATGAATTACAATTCTCAAACCTATGTCAATGATATATTCATAGATAGACACTGGCAGTGTTGTAGAAGTGTGTGTGTGTGGGGGGGGGGCACTTGGGGGAGGAGCCCCACTTCTACCTTTGAAATGGGTAAATTTTCATAATTTCATGGCTTCAGCTTCGTCAAGAGAGCCCCCCTCTGATAAATTTAGTTCTACAGCACTGGAAACTGGGTATCGTGTTGACATTAGTATACATGTTTTAATTTTACTTTTTCATATGTTGAGCAAAACACTTGTAGTTGTACCCAATTGTATATATCAATGTTTTACTGATTAATCAATCGAATGCATCAATGGTTAGTGATTGGTTGTAGTACAGTGCTAAGGAGGCATTCTTGTATTGAAATACCTACCTGTTGTCCAAAAAGCCTTTGTTATCATTAGAAAACTAAATTTTCCTGAAGATTTCAATTGAAAGGCCAATGCAAGTAAAAATATCACAGAATAGAATATCAACCAAGCAGCGCTAAGGATAATTACTCGGACCCGTTTTAAACGTCGAACTTTACATGAAGTTAGTGCATTTATAGCAAAGAATAATGAGGAATTTTGTCTCAATTTCTTTTGTCTTTAATGCACTCAGCTCATGTAATTTTCTACGTTTGAAACGGGCCAAACACACATTTTAAATGTGGCAACATTTCCCCATAGCTGCCAACAGTTGTTGATCATGTTGCCGGGGATTTTACGGAAACGATTTATGAAAAAAATCTTTTCCTGGATTAAAATAGCCACTGGTATCTTTTTCTATCGCGCGAATGCCTTTGCTATAGTGATTGTTTCTAACTTAAACAGAAATAGGAAGTACGAAAGGCTTGCATCACAGGGCTCACACGTTACTGTAAATGAAGCCCTTTTAACAAGTGCCACACTCTGGGAACATCGGCACGGCAAAGTATGACGAAAATACCTTAAATATAACGAGATAGGCTCATTATCATTTTATAACATATGACGAAAGTAGTTTTCAACCTTTGCCATGCAGGGTCCATTTCAGAGAACTGCCCAACATGTAATTGTTGAAGTTAGCACGTTGTATGGCATTGTATGCTCATGTGTCGAGTTTAAATCTAACATGTGAAACATCCAACATCGTTGCATGAAGTGTTAATGGACAATTCATTCCCTTCAGGAGCGATATGCTGTGCTGCTGCTAGCGAGGATGGACTTTTGTTTTGCTCAGTTGCAAACGATAAGTCATTAAAAGTGTTCGACGTGATAAACTTTGGTATGAATTTGTTGTTGTTTTCTAACGAATTACGTGCACCCAAGTGCGCTGTGCGCATTTTGTAATAGCTGAGAAGCGTTTTGATGTGTCTCCTACGCAGTTAACATTTGCCTAAATGATTTCTTGTGCACGCTCTGTTTTCATTTTCTTGTCGTTAGAAAAGTAATTTTGTAGTTTCAACTCACTATCTTCAATCTTGCCGTGCAGACCTGACTTGATCCTGTCTGCATGACTTTAGACGTTGCCTCTTGTGTTCACAGATATGATAAACATGATGAAAATTGGATTTGAGCCTGGTCAATGCGAATGGATATATTCCCGTGGTGCCGCTACTCCAGCGTTAGCATGGTATGTGTTATCAGGGAACGTAATCGTATAATTCATTGATCAACCCCCCTTTCCAAAAAAATATTAGCTAGCCAGCAGTTTCGTAGAACACAGCTATGTGTTAACTTTTAATGGAATAGTTGCGTTCATTGAAGAAAGAAAGTTCGCTGTAGATAAGTGACAATATAGCTTGGCGGTAAAAGATACAAAAAAAAAACTATGACGATAAAGTCGTTCGATATACGTTTTGGTCACAACCATAACAATGTTTATCCTTTAATGTACTAATATATCAACACTAAGCAACTCTCCTCTGGCGAAAAAGTGTTTGAAAGAGAACTGAATTTTTTGAAAATTTCACCGTGAAAGTACTGAATTATGTTACACTCCGTGCAAATTAAAGTGCATATGACACGAAAATTGTGCTATTTAAATTATATTCTCGTTGATGATAACGTTCAAAACGAGAGTGTGCTGTCTAAAACAGGTTCTTTAGATCATGTTTCGTTCTCAAGATATTGAAGTTTGTGCAATGTCCGCTTTACGCAACTTGTGAGTTCACATTGCATAATGAGAATTTGAAATACCTGGTACATTTGCTTACATGTCACTTCAACGGAGCGGAGTTCCTTTCATTGTGAAGAGTCAATGGTATGAAAAATTGCCCGATCATTTCTACCAAAAGTCGCAAGGAAACTAAAGGATGTCTGAAACTTGGATGCGACTTGTTGTCGAAAATGGCGTCACAAGTTGTATATATCGCACATTACAAAAACTTCAATATCTTGCGAAAGAAAAGAGGTGTGCGTAATCTGTTCTAGAAAGTATACTGTCATTTTAAAAGCTCTATTAAACTAAAATATAATCTAAAGTCGTCAAATATGCACTTGCAAAGTCCTCACAACCTCCCCCCCCCCACATCTTGACACCTAAGTTATGCTTTACTAAAAGTCCAAATTGAAACACAAATATCCCAGCATCGAATGTTCCAAACAGAGCTAAGGATGACGACTAACACTAATTCTGTGTTACAACATTCCCCGTAATAGCTAGAAAACGAACGATATGGTGTGTTTATTTCCTATCAAAACGCTCTACGTGTAAGAGAGAGCTCTTGCACATGGATAGAGTGCCCTGTTTTCTATTGGTAACTTAAACTTCTGCCATTGTTAACCTCGTTCCCAGGGATTTAGCAGGAACGTTCCACAAAATAATTCCGCGATTAAAAGGATGTTGCGATTGACAATTGTCTTATCAAGGTATTTCGTGGTTGTTTGCCGACTGTCGCGCAATGTACTGCTTTTTTTATCACTGTCTTCAAAATGATTGGTTTCTTCCTTCCGGTTCTACATATCTGTTCAGTTCATCGCGTAGATTCTTGCAATTGCTTAACTAAACTTACGATTTCCCTTTCAGCTCAGAAAAAGATAACGGAAAAATACACATTTACGACGGACGTGGTAGCAATGTGGCGTTGCACACGTTAACCATTCATTCGAAACCTATCACATTTATAAAGGTAAACCTGAATACACTAACTTCTAGATTCTTGTCGACAGTGTTGGCAGAGTTACTCTCTGTCTCTCCAAGTAAATACACCTCCTTCTCTTTCCAACAAGAAAAGATATTTGTTACACATTTATCCTGGCTCCTTAACGAATCTTGGCTCCCTTATTGATGTGCGTGTATGCTAGCTCAATGGCGGATGTGTAGAGTGCATCAAAATATATTACTGCTGCTTATTCTTGGATATGTTTACATTCTCAAACACCTTGGGAGCTGTACTCAATTGGTTATTTTTTTCTTAGAAATTCATGGTGTTGTTCTAAATGTATTTTGAACATAAGATTTAGCAGCTTACGTAGACACCCATATATAATATATTAATTCTAACACGGTTTTATATGCACATGAAAAACATGTGACTTGGACGAGATTGGAACTCGCACCTTCGGGTACTATTCCGCCGCTCTACCTATTGAGCTATCTAGCCCACAGGGATTGGAGATGAGTCAAATCTCTTTAGAACTGCGTATGGCCGAGAGAGTATTATAGGATTAATATATTATATCTATTCTCTGATGATGGCTTTGGAATAACATAGACACACTAATAGTTTATTTTGACGAACGCTGGATCTGCCACATTGCTGAATATTGTTTGCAAATGTTTTAGTCGATGAATTTCACGACCATTATATAGGCTGAGTGCCATTTTTTCCATGGGTGATACCTAAATTTTTTGTTTGGGGGGATGAGCTGGTAAGAAAGCGACGTAAGACAAAGTACGAGAGCAAGCATTTTAGGAGCAGTGCAGCCACTGAAGGTAGCACCTACAGAGAGTTGAAACATTGCCCTGAAAAACTCAGCTCAACTGTACTACTGATTTCTTTTACTAAAAATTGGAGTTCGGTGGGGGGGGGGGAGGGTTAAAAATGTTTCTTAGACAGGTGAACAATTTATTTGGGGGTGGGATATCTGGTATTTGGGGAATGACACCCCTTCTCCACCCAGAAATCAGTCAATGGCTGATTGTCAATTGAATTTTACCGATTGGGTTTAAAAGGTTTAATAAATCTACTGTTTTGGTTTTAATCTCCTGCTGATGAATGCTTTCAGATGTTGACGTTAGCTAACAAATACCATCAACATGTCGGCATTTTTAATTCGTAAAAGATAAGACTGCTCAATACGTACAACCTAGCATAATGACTTTTTCTTCGCGCAACATCTTTATTTAGTACAACAATACATATGACGTAGTGGTGTCAGCCGACGAGGCGGGTATGTTGGAATACTGGTGCGGTTTGAAAGGAGATTATAAATTTCCTCAAAGCGGCGTCAAATTTCGGTTCAAGACGGACACAGATCTGTTCGAATTTGTTATGGTAAGTGTTTGCAACGGCATTGTAACACGAAGCCTCGTTTTTGCAATTTTTTTAACTTGTTCTTATGTCGGACATCACGAAAACAATATAATGTCTGTTGCAATTGGCTCATTTTTGATTTTTGTGGTATTTTTATTTGAGATTTTTGTAAATTGAAAAGAGTCAAATTAATGTTCGAAGTACTTTCTTAAAGGGCGGAGGAAATGTTGGATGAACGACGAATGTTGTTGTTTAATTATTTCGACACCAAGTATCAATTGTAATTTCTCGGAATGTTGTTGAATAGGGGAGAGGAAAGGTTGAGAAGATGTAGCAGTTTTATCATTCAAAGTTTTTTACAATTTTAATTATACTTGCTTGAATCATCAAACGATATTTTACGTTTAATTTCTCCGTTCTTGTTTTTTTTTGTTTCATTCAAAAAGTGCAAAACCGTACCGACATCCCTTGCATTCTCACCCGACGGCAAGCTCTTCGCAACGATGGCGACGGACCGCAAGGTTCGAGTGTTTCGATTTCTGTCAGGTAGAAAAGTTCGCGTTTTCGACGAAGATCTTCCGGTGTTTACCGATATGCAGCAGTCGGGTCGGTTACTTCCGGACATGGAGTTTGGAAGGAGAATGGCCGGAGAAAAAGATCTCGAGAAGACGAAGAATCTCCAGTATTCAAACATCACCTTCGATGAAAGCGGATATTTTCTCTTGTACGCGACGTTGTTCGGAATTAAAGTGATCAACGTTCATACCAACAGATGCGTTCGTATTGTTGGTAAAAACGAAAATGTTCGATTTCTCAGCATCGCTCTGTATCAAGGCAAACCCGATAAGGGAAAGGCAGCAGCTACTTTAGTAAGTACACGCATAAATGTATGCCATTAATGATCGACAGTAGATCGCCATCCGCAATAATTTATTTGCAAACAAGGTTCATTGCAGTGGCGATTCTGTAATAGTTGTTCAATAAAAACGACGCGTCAATTAGGACATCACTTTACCGAGTTTCTGCTAGATCAAGGGCGGAAAAGCAATGATAAGCAAATTAAGCTTTCATGAAACCACGCCAAGCTTTGTGAGGAAGTTCTATGATTATTGTAAGAAACTGATTCTCGTAGCTAACTAGAGCACGTAGCATCTCACTTGTATCCCACTTCGTCGCTAACTATCCCAGCTCTGGAGTAAATTGCTCGACACCGTGAAAGTCCACAAATAAACAATAAAATACTTTCCCAATAAGTCTCGTTTTCGTCTACAGGAAACTGAAGCAGCTGATAATCCATCACTGAACAAATCCGAAACTGATCCAACGATATTTTGTACAGCAAACAAGAAAAATCGTTTCTATATGTTTACGAAAAGAGATCCCGACCAGAGGTGTGTACAATTACATTTTTTATCTGCAGATAATCTTTCAGGAAGAATAATCCAGCTGTTTCTGCGTGGTGTAACTTAGAAAACAACTTGGATGTTTTTATTTTGTGTTACAAAGAAAACTACTTAAATGTTTCTGTGTGTTATAACATGCAAAACAACTTGGATGATTTTATTTTGTGTAACATAGAAAAGAACTTAGATGTTTCTGTGTTGTGTAACATAGAAACAACTTAGATGTTTCTGTGTTGTGTAACATAGAAAACAACTTAGATGTTTCTGTGTTGTGTAACATAGAAACAACTTAGATGTTTCTGTGTTGTGTAACATAGAAAACAACTAACATAGAAACAACTTAGATGTGTTCTTAGATGTTGTGTAACATAGAAACAACTTAGATGTTTCTGTGTTGTGTAACATAGAAACAACTTAGATGTGACAAAACAACTTGATGTCTCTGATGTTGTGTAACATAGAAAACAACTTAGATGTTCTGATGTTGTGTAACATAACAACTTAGAGTTAGAAACAACTTAGATGTGTTAAAACAACTTAGATGTTTCTGTGTTGTGTAACATAAAAAACAACTTAGATGTTTCTGTGTTGTGTAACATAGAAAAAACTTTGATGTTTCTGTATGGTGTTTAACATAAAAAACAACGTTGTTTCTGCGTTGTGTAACATAGAAAACAACTTAAATGCTTCTGTATGGTGTTACGTAAAAAGCAACTTAGATGGTTCCGTGTTTGAATTTAGTGCGGAAGGCGAAAGGGATGTGTTCAATGAAAAACCATCAAGAGAAGAAATCTATGCAGCCACTGAGGTTTGTATTTTCTTTGTTTATTGTGATCCTAAGCAGCCATTTTTTTAAATGAAATGTATATCTTTTTTATTTTGCGATAACTCAAGAAGAAAGACATTTGTAGTTCTGTTGGTTAAAGATTCTAGAGTGCGTAGAGCAAAGTTTTAAGGATACTTCAGCGATAGAATTGCCAGCGAATGAAGGGTTATATGCCCACTCAATCTCTCGTGGCAGCGATACTTCATGTCACAAATTTCCAAACTTTTTTCCCCATTTTTTCCTTAAGGCAAGTGGAGGATTGGATCGTGTAGCTGGAAGTGCCGTCATTCACACGACCATGGGCGACATTGAAGTGAAACTATTTCTCAAAGAGTAAGACATTCCTGTTTTCTACAAGCATATGACAACTTCACGGCCTTGACTATTTTTACATTACCAGAAATGTTATGCCATTCTAGTTTATTGTCTTTGGTAAAAATGTTACAAATTGAGAGGTGCAAAGAATATTAAAAGTCCATCCACTGTGATAGACCATTCCTTCTGCCTTTCTTAGCTTTGTTTGACTTTTGCAGGTGCCCCAAAACGGTGGAGAATTTTGTTGTGCACAGTCGAAATGGATACTATAACGGACATATTTTTCATCGCGTTATCAAACAGTTCATGATCCAAACGGGAGATCCATTGGGTAAGCATATACATACGACTTTAACAATGAAAAAACTCGGCGTGGGTAAAGTGTCCTGTTCTTTTCGTGCTTAGTACTTACAAGGTAAACTAGACGTCTTAATCTTCGCAACGTCATTACGTCATAAATTGAGATGGACATCTTAAACAACACAATACCCCGAGCAAACTCGTTTTGGAATGTTTGAATCATGTCATCCAAACACTTGAAAACCATCGAGTTATTGTTTTTGTAAAATAACAGAAAATTGCTTTCATTCTCAGACACGTGCGACTCAATTTGAATTTCCACGTTTGGATGACCCGATCCAAACACGAGCATCAACCAATCAGAGCACGTCATGTACGTGCATATATTGTCAGGGGCATTGAACTTGTAAATGTACTACTTCGGCATTTGTTGATGACTAGGCCATATTGCTTTTTCCAGGTGATGGAACCGGAGGCGAATCAATTTGGGGAGGCGAATTTGAGGACGAGCTTCATCACAACCTTCGTCACGATCGTCCGTACACGCTGAGTATGGCCAACGCCGGACCAAATACCAATGGTTCCCAGTTTTTCATAACCGTCGTACCTGCAGTACGTATAGTGTGCATATGTAATTTTTAAGAAATAAAAGATGTTTACTGTGTTTGCACAGGCTTATGCAAACCGAGGAGACCTTTTGGAGAACTCGATAGCAGATCAGTGCAAGCTCGAGACCGAAGGTCAAGGGTTGCACATGCTCGAGAGTTCTCAAAAATGTCTCCGAGGTTTGCATAAGCCAGTGCAAACACGAAAAACATCTTTTATTTCTTTTATAAAATAACAATAATGCGAAAAAGAAAAAACATTTCAATTTTTCCTCTAAAATGTTTCATGATCGATTTGCAAATTCTCTTTGACTGATTGATTGTTTTGATTGATTCGATTGGTTGAGCTTAGATGTGTTTTGCACAGGCTAATGCAAACACGGCTCTAGACCAATGACCGCACGCGCTTTATTGTTTTTATTTCATTACTAACAATAATGCACTCGTAAAATCAAGTTCTTTATGTTGCTAGCTTCAAGCTGATTCTGAATAACTTGAAACACTGGCATGTAACCAGTGTTGGTGTCGCTATGCAAATTTTCCCATATCGCTCACTGCAAAACAATATGTACTCTAAAGAAATGAATGATAATAATGCTCTGAAGTGTGCATAGCCGGACTAAAACTCGAGGGCTGGCCACGCTACCGAATTCAAAGTCAATAAAATGTATCTAATTTACGTTTACTGATTGCCGCGTAACTACGATGATGGGGAGGCTTACGTCACCATGGGAATATCTCACGTTTTGCGTTTCGTTTCTAGCCTTGGTTGGACAACAAGCACACCGTATTTGGCCGAGTTATTAAAGGAATGGACGTCGCGCAAGAAATCAGCAATGTATCGACGAACCCTCGAGACGACAAACCATATGAGGAGGTGAAAATAATCAATGTCGCTGTCAAGTAGATGGTTGTTTTACGATCTGCTTGTTGGTCACTTCTTGATGCTCGGATACACGAATATCAGAGTGGATTTGGCCCCAACTCTCTAGCATCGTTATCTCCACCCCTTTCGTTCTACGATACCTCATATGAGAAGTAATCAGACACATGAACATGCAAAAATTTTGCGGTGTAAAAATCTTTACTCGCTTCTGAAAATTACGTCCGTATGGAAGCAATCTTTTTTGATTTGTAGCTGTTTTACGGAACGCGTTTCGTGCGATTTCTGGCAAAGGAATTTTTTGTATGAAATAGTTGCTCGCATGTAGTATTTTTTCAATTTTAAAAGAAAAGCGCACTTTTTAACTCCCGTAGTTTTTTTTAGTTATAAGAGAAAAGCGCCCTTTTTTACAACCGTGTATTTTTCCGGCAACTGTTGCAAAGTATGTTTGTAGATGTAGACCATCCAATTTAGTAAAGTCCTGAGAAAGGGGAACTGCAGCCAATGCAAACTTACTTTTTCCATGCGAGTTCGTTTTAGGCTTTGAAATCATTAGGAGTGTTATGAATTCATTTCGATATTCCATAGATTCGTTATTCAAACCTGACTGTACACCGTATTTTCTCTAATATACACCCCCAACCTCAATTATACACGCTGCGCTTCGTTAGACAGCATTTAAATGACAACAATAGTGAAAACAGAGGCCTCCCTTATTTAGCTACACGCTGAATGGCCATTCAATAAACGCTGCATCAAAAATTTCTTTAAAACCAATCGTACCTGGCGTGAAGTAGAGGAGAAACGGTGGCCGAAAATTCGTGAAACCGAGTAATTTCCGGTATTTCCCGATGATATAATATCGCTCTTTCGGTCTTTAGCTGTCAATGAGACCCCACGCCGCCGTGAAATGTCCCATTTTGACTTGACATTCCACTCTTAAGGTTGAATGATGGCAAATACAATTTTTTCAACGTATTATTTGTTCCAGAAACAATTTTTTTAATGCATTATTTTTTCCGTATAAATACTATCATCTATTGTATGAATCTTAAGCTACCACTGAATATATCTAATGTCCACATACTGCTTTCTACGTAAGCAGCGGATCCAGCTTTGATGAAAAAAAAGCAGCTTGATTATGAACTCAAATACAGTGCCATCGGTTTAGAATTTTGAAAGCATACTGTACTAATGAAGCTGAATTTGAGTTACATATCGTGCATCGTAAAATTATTTTCCAAAAAGAGCTGCTGTATAAATTATTTTGATCTCCAACGATGGATCCCCCGCTGCTTACGTTGTATGGAAAGTAGTGAGAAATGAGAAATTTAAACAACATACCCACTACGTGATTATAGTTAAAAAATTGTTCGCACGTGCTCAGTTTTTGATACCATTTCTAAATGGGAATCTCAACGAAAGACGACTCGGCGCTATCGCCGAGTTTTTTTTCCATAACATTTGAACATAAATATATGACCGCGCTTGCTTTGGAAACTCTCCGCTCCGTACAGTCACGAAAAGTTTTCTGTTAGCAACGTCCTTCAGGCCTTTTCATTGCCCTTAGATGATTTGGCGTCTTCCTCGTCTGCAATATCAATCGCGACTTGGTTCGTATGCATCGACACTACGACTCGCCCATCTTCGAGTGCGAGATTAGGAACGCAATTCAGGGAATCGATTTCTGTTTTTGAATAATGGTTGATGATGACACATGCCACGCAGTTCGACCAAACATTTAATATGGTGCCAAAACGATCACTATAAAGAAGTTGCACAGGTCAGTGAGAATTGCGAGAGAAAGTTGGAGTCGTTAATATCACTTGTTCATCAGTCTTGAAAGGAGAAACATGTGTTAGTGATGAACTATCACGACTTCTTTTGGAAGAAGTTAAAGCTGAAAAAATTAACCGAACATAGAATTTTGCTTTTTTAATCTGCAAAATTTGGCAGTAATCCACTAACATGACCTTCCACTACGGCACTGCTGATGGTAATACGCCATAGCATAGCAACTAACGAGTTTTGTGTTTTCATTATGTTAGCGAAAGGTATAGTAAATGACAGAATGAAACTAGAAACAATGCATTATGCATTCACCATAGTCTATGGTACATTGAAGGGTTGATGCAACAGACAAATAAGTTCTGTTACTGTACTATTTTTCTCTTTCATTATTCAAGTAAACAGTGGAAATCGTCGTGCAACTGTTACATGAAAACGTGACTTTCGCTATGTTTTGTAAAAGACGTTTTCCATTCTTGAACTAGCGCCGAGGAGTTAGTGAGAATTCGAAAAGCAAGTTAGGATTGATGCCGCGCTCGTGTTGCAGAGATCTGCCAATATTTGAGAAGACCTCACGATATATTTCTTGCTGTTCGATGTGAATATTCTCCTTAAATCGTGACAACGTCAGTGGGTCAGTGTATGCACATGTCAAAGCAGACAAACACATACCTGCGCAAGCCTCAAAGTGAGGTTTCTTTATATACAAGCAACAATGTTTAACTTACATAACCCAATCGATAGCGATGATTAGTCCAATGTCGGCGGATGGGATTCCCACGACTTTCAAAACAATATTCTGAACGTTGATTGGACTTGAAGCCGGAATAGGTGGTGAAGCAAACGTTGCAATGGACGCCGATAAACTAAAAGAATTTAAATTTCTTTCATAGTGAAATGGAAGGAGTTTTATGTACCTAAATACAGGAGCACTGTTCACAAAAATAGAATGGTATTGTTGGCAGTGATCATCCTAAGAAAAATAAGAACGGCCATTGCCCTTCATCCGACGTCTTCCTTTATGGCGGGTGTGTGCTGTTTGCAAAGAAATGTGCCGGAAGATTTATGAAATGCTGGTGTCTGAAATATGGTTTTTCAGCCATTATGAGAGAACATTTCGAAAGGTTGGCAAGAAAAGATAAAAAAGAAGACAACTTCATTGAAGAAGATTTACTTTTACGGACAAATGCTCAAGTACTCAACCCGACTTTCAGCTTCCCTTTTTTCATCAGTTAATACAATTTGTCGTGCCATCTTTATGTAACTGAGCGAGTCTTACCATATAAGGACAGACGAAGCCACTGTCATCAACTTTGGATGCCACATCTGGATGATGAACACGGCTGCCGTAGTCATGTATATTCCAGCTGCAGGAACATTCGTCACAGTTCCAATGGGAAGGAGGAATTGAGCCAAACGACTGTCAACGAGATTTTTGCTTTGCAAGCAATTCAAAGTAACCGGCATTGTTGATGAGCTGCAAGTTTATAAGAATTTAGGTCAAAAAGTGTTCTCTATGAAAAGCAAATACAGTTGTGCTTTCAAACAGCATCCTTCGTTATTTATTCCATCTATTTTTCCGGATTTGAAAAAGCTCGTCATCATCTTTTATTTTGCGTGTTTGGGGTAGTTGACATGTTTGAGCTCACAGAATCAAATATATTTCGAAAGCTTTCATTTCTAAAGATTGCGCTCAGACTAAGCTGAAGAAAAAAGTTTCTTTACCATCAATTAACGTATTGATGTCTTTGGGTTTTAGTCTGTATTGAGTAGTTTTTTTCCCATCCCCTGTAAGATAACTTACATACCCCCAACATGAACTGAGTACTATCAAGTATTGCCACTTTTGTTGCTTAATTTTGTTTATGACTTGATGATAGCGTGGGTTTACCGTGTCTTACCTTGACGACGTACCAAAAGCCATAGTAAGTGCTTTCGCCACATCTCGCAATAAGCGTAAGGGATTCCTTTTCAACAGAATCAAATACAGCGCGGGAAGAATGAAAACTCCATAAATGAAGAATCCGACCAAAACCGCAGCGACGTACATTCCGATGACGGCCATCATTCCTACAATGTCGTCCATGGTCGCTAGTTTACTGGCAATGATACTTCCAATGCCTATAGGCGAGAACCTTAAGAAAAGGGTATTCGTGATGAAATTAAACATTTTTAAGACCAACACGAACATCTCAAAAGAAAATGTCATGGTCCAGTGTTGGGTGTGATTTTTTTGAAAGGCATCATTTCCATGGTGATCTGTTGAAATTTGATGAAAAAAAGTGAAGAGCAAGCTTTAAGCATTAGCAACAAGGCGTTTCAAAATGTAGTAGTTTTGCTATGGAAATGATAATGTTATAGATATATTCGAGCCTGTAATGGCCATGTATCTGATTTCATTTTTCTGTTTATCGAAGTGTAACACATCTTACTACAAGCTACCTACCACAAGATTAACTCGACGAGCTTCATCGTTACTCTAAATAAGCACGTGAACCAATTCACCAAAGGTTTTCCTTGCTCGCCTAATCCACTCAGAATTATTCCGAATGCAATGGACAAAGTGAGAACGCCGAGATAGTTGGCTGCCTGATACCGTTGTTGACCCGCATACTCGTAAATGATGTTTCCTTTTTCGATGACTTGGACCGAATGCGGAGAGGAAAACCATGGGTTTATCGTTTGTTCCTTCAAAAACTTAGACATGTTCGTTGCTGACATTCCAATAACGTCGACCGATTTATTCTTGAATTTGTAGTCGGTTATTTTTGGTTCAAATTTTGAGCCAGTCTAGCCAATAAAGCAAAGAATACATTGTTATTGTGCAATTTGTCAAACTGATCTTATTTCAACAACATGTCGAATTCATTTTCAATATCAGAAGACGAGACAGTTAGTCATGATGTACGCTCTAATTGGTTGGAAAATTTTCTGAGCATTTAAGGCTTTGAGTTGTAATTTCCTGTAAAATTTGGTTCTTTTTTTGAACATTGGAGAAATGACACCGAAGAAAGAATGATAACCGAAGAAAAAAGACCCGCTTAGATTAGTTATGTCAACTTTATGAGATGCATTTCACACGCCTGAGCAAGCTAAAGACTGCCGTTTTTAAAGTTTCACGAAAACATTGACTAAACGCTGACCGAGTGTTCGTATTGCCTGCTCAAAAATGTTGGTCATGGGTAAGCAAAATGGTTACCTTTGGCCACGTTAGTTGTTTTTTAACCCTAAACTACATTCTCATTTCTGGTTTTTAGATTTATCGACTTAAGCTATAATTCTACGCATAAAAAGTTGTATTTTTCAGCATATTTGATCAAAAATAGATCAACGAAAGTAGTTATGGAACACGTTGTATCGCCTACTTAAATTCTTCCTCTTGTAATCATAAACGAATTGATTACTTTTAGTAAAGTGTCATATAGTTTTCATAAAACTTACCGAGAAAATAGTTGCCTCTAAGATGTTGTTAGGCAGCATATTTCTGCAAAAGAAGCAAAGAATGAAATCAGACTATACATATACACGCGTACATATTAATACTTATCATTAAACGAGGTTATTCTTACATAATTTCGAATACTTTATCAAGCTGTGCAAACAGTCGAATTTTACTGACTTTTGCAATTGTTTTTCTCAACCATGATAGAACTACAAACACAGCGCCAAGAAACTGAATCTGAGAGGCTACGACTTATATGTAATAAATTTACTCCGTTTTTGCCGTAAGTTAGACTAAAATATATAAATGTTGCCCCCTTGTAAATTTATAAGACACTATCCCGCAATAGTGACTTATACATGTACGGGGGGTAGGGTTGTCTCCCCTATCCCCCCCTTTGGCGCTGTGCCTGCTATAGTGACTTATACATGTACTGGATGTATCAAAAAGCTGCTCATCCTTGAAATCAGCCGACATTTATGATTTGAATGATTCGGTGTAAACGCCATTAAAATGAATTTCATGCTTGAAATTTGCCATGAACGTGAGCAGTAATTCGTATGCTCGTATTTCTGAGATGAGCAGTTTTTAAGACATCTGTTAGCAGGCTGAGCAGCCTAAACAATTACATTCCATACATATTTGCTCACTCCTATTATTTCATTATTTATAGCTTTGTTTGTCTTCGTTAGGGTTGGTCTGTCTCGCATTGCGACATACATGAGACAGCATAGTTGGTCCATTCGCACTTAGTAGCAAAGCCAACTCAAATGTTTGCTCTTGCTATTGAAATTTTTCAGCAAATTGCTTATTCATTTCTTTCACTTTCAACTACTTCTAATTTATGTACAAGTTCGTCATCAATTGTTTTTCCCAGGAAATAACGCTAAAATACTTGCATAGCAGGAGTGAAAATTAAAAATCGATACGTTCCTTTTCCGTGTGACGAAATTTCGTTCATTGCGAAAAGTAGATCACGTCAAAGTTTCCTTCTAAATTACGGTTAAGTGTCGTCAGTGTTACAACATTCCAGTTGATAATTTTATAAACGCGTGAATTTCTTTCCCCTCACGTTTATGCGGGAAGCGTTTGGACACACGTCGCCTGTAAGGGTGGAAAATACGCCTGAACAAGACCTGCCTGTTCATTCGACCCTCGTATATTATTGCTTGTTAGAAGAAACGTTTATTTGGAAGAGGATTTCATCGCATCAAAACATTGCTGTAATTGTAAAGTGTAAAGCATTCCTGAATTTTCTACAAATGCTTGTTCGTTATGACCGGAAACCGCTCCCACTAATACGTAATATCGAGCCACTGATCATGAATTTCCACATTAGACAAACATAATGGCATAAGTCGCAAGATCAAACAAATGCATGTAAACAGAAGCAGATTGATAAAAATTTCTCGCATTGTTATTGAGAAGACAATGGAGAGCATGTGCATTGCATGAGAGAACACTTGTAATTTGTCAATCGTCAAGAGCATCGGATGTTTATTCAAGTGTATTGTTTTGTTCTATTGTTTCAAGAGCATGCCAATCATTCAAGTTGCCAGATTATCGTCTGTTTGCTGTAACATGCAGTCAATATGTGTCGATTCCTCCTAGTTCCGAGCAGCTCAGAATCGTTTTGGACAGCAATTACACCAATTGCAAGCAGTGAGGGAAATTTCACTAGCCAATAACAAAACTTGAATAAAAGTCATCAATTTTTGCCCCCATTTGCGACTTCTTTTATCTCTTATCATCCCTCGTTATCAACACATTCGTATTTTGGTCTACGTAAACACATCTGATTCTTTGATGATAAAAAGCCGCGTATATAATAACCGAGCTCAAAAAGTACGAAAGCTGAAAAGCAAACCGCCAGTGGTGTATAATTAGCATCAAGAGTGCTTGCGTATTAACCTCGAAACATAGGATGCTTTCAACAACTGTTTTTTAATGTTGGAAACAATGAGAATTTTTAGCAAAATTTGAAAGTCGCCCGAGACCACGTACAAAACTTGCGTGATGTATTTCGTATGGCATTCGTCATCATTGGGAGAAAACCTTGTGAAACAAAAAATGAGTTAGAGGTCTTGTGAGGAAGAGTGACTGTGCATACCACAACTAAATTTAGGAATGCAGATATCCTTCCCTGAACACACCTCTTTTTCTAGGCCCCTTGGTTGCCTTTGCACCTTTATGTAACCTTTTTTGCGATGCACGTGTCGCTGGAAGATTTCCGACACTGGAGCTACTTTGCAATCTTTATGTGATTTCATTTTCATTTCTAGCGAGAAAAGCTTTTCCGACTTCCTCGTAATACATGCGCTGAGCGCATGTAATCTTTTAGCCAGCAGGATGTTCTTCCTCTCATTGTTCTTGTCCTCGTGCGCACATGAAAATGATCGTATTACATGTTTAAAATGGTGACGATTCGGGGTTTTCGCACCATGTTTTCTCGCATAAATCAATTCATTCTGATGTCTGAACAAGGTTGGTGTTGAAGGGATGGCTTTTCGAGGCGTGACTTTGTTCGTGTGATTACAAAACATCGGGAAATTTTTTTCTCAGCATGTTTGTCATCGTCAGCAAAAACAATATATTTCAAAGGATGTACAGAATCATATAGCCTATATTAAGTATGCGATTACGCACATCCGTACATTGGACGCGGTTGGTTTTTTAAGCCTTTTGTTCCTTAAATCACGAATCTTTATTTAGCAACAAAAGTAACAAAATTTCGACGGCTCGATAATTACGACTGTCAACACACTTGCGCAAGCCAATTTAACACAGATGCGCAAATTGTAAATTTATGAAACGGTGGAATTTTTCCCGTTCATTTTGCGTAGTTCAACCAATCAACATCTCAGATTGCATATTTTTCAAAAAAGAACTTACGTACAGCGGCGGTGTACCTTTTCTTGCTCGATCCCTAGCGCCCAAGCAAAGGACAGTCGCATACCACACCTGGGGTCAGCATGTTTGAATCTGAGAACCAAACTGCTTATGCATAGTTTACTTCTAAATTATCGTGTTTGTTTTACAGATTGTATGCACTTTTGTAACTCAATTCATTTAAATGTAAAGTATGCTGTATGAACTATGGTAAAACCTATTCGAAGTGGCCGTGCAGGGGATCTGATTGACCCAGCATGCATGACAAGAGTAAATACAAGGGCTTTCCCTCGTGAAACACATGACCTGTGCTAATAACAATGAAGAACGCTATGCCGCGCAAATTTCTCAAATCATCGCAGTTTTCGAACTTCGTATCGGAAGTTGGCATTTCCAAGGAATGCCGCCAATTCATTGATATTTCAGAGCTACCGTCAATATTTAATTATCGCTCCAATAATAATGCATTGTATAAGGTTGTTGACGCTCGAACATGCAGTAAATTTATAAAACTACGTTGGTCGTTATTAAGATGAGTTGAACGACGCATCGTAGCCTTAAGTGCAACACCGAACCAAAATTTTTTAAAAGTAGGGGAAGACGTGTGCTTCACGATGCAACCTCAACAGGGAGAGGACAAAATTTTTTGAATCTATCCATTTGAAATACATCAATGATGGGCAAATACTTGTGGTGGTGGGTAGATCATGATTCTGCTCATTCAAAAAAAGGGGTTTCGTTTGAATTCGGTGGTTTGAAAGCAAGGTTTACCACGTATAACAACAATGTAATTTTGATTTAAAAATCATTGAAAGTCACGCTAGGTTTTGCTCACTGTTTAATTCGTGAGAATGCCAGTTTCAATGAAAAGGAATTTTGCTTATTGTTATTTTCGTTTTTATGTAATGCGATAGGACACCCGAGTTCGTACTGTTTTAGTGAATATGTAAACATTGATAAGATCCAACGTCATATCGGGCGATGCAAAAAACGAACCTTTTCACAAATTCCGAATAGAACAGCACAAAACTGACCGCTTCTAGGATTACATACTTTTTTTAAAAAATCTGTACCATTTTCATGTAAAATCTAGAGATATTTCATGCCACTACGAGATACACGTTTTTATGAAATAAGAACTTTGACCCCTCGCATTTAAAAGAAAAACGATTTTAAATCGGAAGAAGTTAAGGGTTGTTTGGGAAAGAATTCTTCACCGGTGAACACATTTTGCTGCGCTAATAGTGATTGTTTTAATCACATATGCATGCATTGATGTTATATATCGCTCACGCGGCTTGTAAGCAAGTAAAAGCCTTTCTTTAAAACTTATAGACCACTTTCAACACCTATAAATACAGTGTTGTCCCGTTCAAATATAAACTTTAACTCGATATGATTTGAAATTTTACAAGCGAAATCGCTTTTACTCTGATGTAACGATCTGTATGGCAATGGCTTCGCATCTCTAAATGATTTAATAACCCGTGCAAGTCACAATTTATGAATGTAAATATTGTACCTTATCATATCCAGAATGGAATAGACTGGACTTGCACTCAATGCCTCGTCCCTCTTTTCCTCTTCTCCATTAACTGCAAAATTGTTTTGCCTGCTTGGCCTTATCATAACTCGTGCCACAACCCCAGCCATAATCGAGGCAACGAGAGTGGTGAACAAACAGAACAAAGCGGCCCGTTTGCCAAGTTTCCCAGCCGTCTTTTTGTCGATGGATGTTAGTGACATAATGATGCTCGATGATATAAGCGGCAACACTAGCAACATCAGCATACGCATGAAAAGCTCTCCCGGGAAACCGATGAACATTTCCCATTGTTTGCGTGTGAAATGGTTACATTCGCCTACTCTTTTGTTAAGAACTATCCCGAGTGCGATGCCCAAAGCCACTGCTAAAAGTAAAAGAACAAATAACCAGCGTCCTCGTATGGCATTCCGACAGCTACTCAAAAGGCTACGCGCCGCTTTCATACTGCAGTAATTTTGTTCGCTTTAAGATTGGCAATCAAACGTTTGTGTGTAGTGCCTTCAGTTGACGATTCGTCCGATTTCTTTATCAGAATTTCTTCCGAGCTCTCAATGATATCTGACGTTTCTCAACTAATGTTTTCCGGATTACTCAATGAATATATACGATTGAATGCCCCGCCCTACTCACGGGGCAAAGTCATTTGAGCTCAATGGTATTGCCTCTAGTCCAGAAACGAAAAGGGTAAGGGCGAGGACTATGATCGGGTTGGATGTAATATCGTCACAAGAGAAATGAAGTATGACTAAACGGAGTCATGTGTTTGAGAGGGCATCAAATAGATGAGTGATGTCATGTGATAGATATGTCTTATCGTCAATGCCAGCACCGACATATAAAGTTTGGACGTGCGTTAGATGTTTTTGCCGAGAGTCATTTGTGTAGTTTGCCTCAAATTGACGCATTTAGTAAAACTAAATGTGTTAGAAACTAGCGATGGATTGTCCTCGCCATTGAGATTACATCCTTTTGAATACCACATTCTTTGTAGCGATGTGTATATACTGTGTTTCAGTACCAATGTCCAGCATACTAAAACAACCACTTTACTCATAAGTCAGAGGCAAAAAGCTTAAATGAAATTGTGTAAATAAATTTGAAGGGACTCGTGATCGGTAGATAATATATTGAGGTTTGTTGACAAACGCTTGACGTACATCTTTGCTGGGAACTTTCGTTTCCATCGTAAATTCCACTTAAGTTATTTCGTCATTTCGTACAAAACAGTGCTTGGGTTTGAGATATGAGTGAATGGCAATCAGTGAAGGACATTACATGATTTATAATTTGAATGCTGCAAATTCTTCGGCGAATAATTTGACATGTTGCTTTAAGATGAAAGAAAAAAATCGACAAAAAAATATCGCCCCATGCAGCCGTCATCACAAGCTTGAAAATTTTGTTTACGACGTATTACGATCACTGTTTTCGTCCTCTTCGTTGTATTTTCACTTTTAAGTGACGTCGTTTCGAAGTTTCTTTTCGTCGTTTTTTTTTTAGTCTTCCATTCATCCCCAGGTGGTGCACATAAGAATTTTGTTGTTTACAAAACCCAATTATTTTCCAAGGCCGCACAATGAAGCAAAGATATGAAAGCCCAAAGAATGAAAATGAACAGACCATTCATTACTGCACTTGACATAAATACATCTCAATGATAGATGCATCCCTTACTCTCATAATTTAAACCGAAAAGGATGATCATTCCGAGGACGTCAGTTAAAATCAACTCGCCTGAACAGCGCGATTTTTTCTCGATAACGCTTTCTTTGTTGCCCTGACCCATTTCTTCCACACTACCGAAACATAGTAATTTTGGAAGTTCATCTTACTGCACGAAGAAATTTGGAGCGCACGTTCTGGACAAGATTTCATTTTTCTTTAAGTGTTCACACCAATGTCCACAAGCGTTCGTCCACATTTTGAAGTTAAAACACCAAATGTTTCCTAACATTTCGTCTATCACCTTGTCTTGAGTTTGTCATTTGATGATGTACCGCGTGATTTTAGATGTAAACAAAATTTGCCCTCCGGAAAAATGCCCGAGGCATGCAGTAGGTACAAATTCAAAGTATACGTACATAATACAGCAGTGCTTGGTTTAAAATTTCCAAGGAAAGAATTGCATTTTACCAGTCAAACTGCTTATAAAGTGTTTTGAATTGTTTACATACATGCAAGAATGAGTTGTTTTTTGTTATTTATTTTCACTTAGTCTGGATTGGCCAGCGTGCTTTGCGCAACATATATAACTGTCGATCGTGACAAACCGCTCGACGCTGATATCAAATTTGCAACGTTGACAACTGCAAAACCTGTCTTTTTTGCTTCATTTGAAGAAAGATACGGATTTAAGAAGAAGTAGTGCTAGTGTTTTTTCTCGTATAATACTTTCATGTGACATTTATACGTTATTGTCTTCTCCAATTGGTTGTTTCAAAAGCGCTTTCTTGCTCTTTTATACATGAATTTAAGTAAAATTTGAGCGATGTGATTCCTTAGCGTTGATTCACAATAAATTCCAATCGACAGCCCAAGCAAACACGTTGGTAGAAAATGAAACTTTGTCCGAGAACATGTTGATGCTCAATGGTAAAATGCCCTCAGCTGCCTTCTGTTCATTTTTTTCTTCATAATCTGATCATGTGACGGATCCATTGCAAATTTTGCCCACCTTTTCAAAAGCCATTTGTACACGATTTTGTACCACAAGGAAGTACATATTTACAATTCCTTAATATGCTTAAGTTTTTAATTGTCATCTTATATGTGGAGTTAATCCAAAACATCAACCACATGCATGATGCACAAAAATATACTCTTGGCAAGAAGTCAGAAAAGCTCGAAAACTCACAGAGCTTAAGAGTTTAACGTGTGTAGTTACGAAGTTAGTAGTGCAACCTGTTTAGATATGGGGAGGGTGGAGATGAGCATAGTTATTTAAGAGTAAAAGCTGTTGCACTCAGAGTCAAGCATATAGTAAAAGCTGTTTGATAGAATAGGGAGAAGCCATTGTCAATATAAATGGTAGTGGTTGCATTGCATGGGAGTTTGGTAAATCACGAAGCTATTTGATCAATATAAGGAGTCTGTATGCAAATGCAGCCCAAAATTCATTGCAGCCTACATGTAGATGTCAACATATTTTTTGTTCTTATGTATAAATGCGATACATCTTTTCTTTATAGCAAGAACGGAGTAAGATTGATTTTCTTCTTCGAAGAATCCTTAGGTCATTACAACACTTTCCAACCAATAGTGTTAAATTGGGTAAAAACTCCATGTTCTGCATACGCCAACATACATAGAGGAATCTCTCATCTACTATAATGTATAATCTACCGTCATTTACTGTCACCGTCACTAAAATCTCTATCTACCATCCAATCCACCATGGGTGTCAATAGAACATAAATTGACGGGGGCATATATATATATCTAGCCATACCAGGCTGATTTTTGAAAGGAAATATCCTTCAAAATAAATTAGTCAGGCAGAGATTAGCCAGAGTTTATGACCGTTGTCCACACCTTCAATTGATGTACGATTGACACCAGTGCCATCCACTGTCATTTGCTGTCACGAAGGGTCATCCGTACAACATTAATCAGGTAAGGGGATTGTTTGTTTATCCACCCAATTGTGTCCGACTAATTTCTTTTCTAAGTAAAGTTCTTTTCAAGTTTTGTCGTGCGTGCATGTACTGTCATCCGTCATCTACTGTATCCTACCGTCATTTACTTTAACCCACTGTCGTCTACTGTCACCTACCGTCATTTACTTTAACCCACTGTCATCTACTGTCTCTGTTTACTGTTACTAACAATTATATTACCATGAGCATTTTTAGCGCAAGAAAAAGTTCGAAAAACCGTTAGCCATTTTCGAGCACTTGTGAATTTTTTCTTCCTCCGTAGGATTTTTGATCTAAAATTTATGTCTGCTACCATCAACTCCCAAAGAAACGTTGTGGAAACTTCATCGGATGTCAAACGAGCAAAGGGAAGACTTTTGGGTTTTGAAAATTTGTATGTTTTACAGAGGTGAACAAATTTGGTTTTAAAGCAAGTTGTTACAAAAATAACTTATAAATATATCCAAGAGTAAGTTTTAGTAGATGACGATAGGCGATATTCGGTTCCAGCCATGTGCAGTAAGTACATGCTATGGTGGAACGTTCACTAGATGATACTCGACAGTTGTAGGTTACAATAGATGAAAATAGAAACTGGTAAGTTATATTAGATTACAGTGGGTGGCAGTAGATGGTGGTATGTTATAGTACGTTACTGTAGATGACAGTAGACATTGATAGGTTACAAAAGGTAATGGTAGATGACAGTAGACATGGCTAGGTTACAATAGGTTATGTTAGATGACAGTAGAAAGTGCTAGGTTACAGTGGATCATAATTGACGACAATACACATGACGATAGAGGGCAGTTGGTCAAAAAGTCATAAAAAAAGAAACATTGATGGAGCGAGATCAAAGACGACAGGTCATAAGCAGGATGTATTATTATTATCGATGAAAAAAGCCATTAAGTGTTTGACAAGTCCCATCAAAAAAAAGTTCGATTTGTCACCGATTACTAAAACGACAAAACATTCTCGGTGCGCTGCATTTGTTCTCACGAATACAAACCAAAATTTTAGGATGGTGCCGAATATACAACCATTGGCGGAAAACCAATGGTTTTATAGTCTCAATGAAAATTGCTAAAATGTTTTTTGAGAAAGCAATATGCCGTCCATTGCATCCATATTTGATAAACAGCACGTTTCTCCCCTCCCAAATAAAACTGGGATATTTCATCTATTAAGTCGCTTGGAAGGTAATTTACAGAGATTGGGGAATAAATAGAGGGTCAGGGTAATTTTTTACAACCTTTCATGTGGCAAGATAATGTGGGAGAGGGTTAATCTTGAAAAGAGGCTGTCGTCACAGGTGGGTGTCACAGTATGGTCACAGTGGTCCATGTCAGTCCATGTGGTCCATGTTCATGAAAAAAGACACTCTGTGTTTTTCAAATGGAAACACTCAATACTCTGTATCTGTTATGTGGTCATCGTGGTCATGTTTCTATCACTGGAGATCTAATTCACTGGAGATTAGGTTGGAATTCTTAAACTTTTCTTACTATTAAATGACTGTTTACTGTGTGGATATGCCTTTATGAACTAGGAAATCCTTATCTATTTGCTTGCTTGTTTGAATGTAAAGTCAATTTTGCGAAATGAATTTTGTGGACGAGGAAAATTTGTCCGATTCCGGCGGCAACAACGATGGTGGTATCAGCTTCGAAGACAGCGATCGTTTCGACGAAGATATGTCGTTGTGTTCGTGTGGCTCGGATCCTGAGAGCATTTGTGGGGACTGGCGGGGCTGGAAAAGGAGTAATAATGATTTTTCCTTGTCGCGAAGCAACCAGCCAAACGCCGAAACGTTGATAGAAAAATGCTGTAAGGTAGTAGCAATGTCGGTTCCTTTTGAAACGGTGGAGCGAATGTGTCCAAATTTACCCGAACAACTGCTTCTACGGATTGCATTTTGGTCCTTTCCTCAAACCGATGACAATATACGACTGTATTCCTGTCTGGCGAACGGGTCTTCTGAAGAATTTTCCAAAGGGGAACAGCTCTATCGCGCTAAAGCTGTCGTGGAAGCATTGCAAATAGGTTTGTTCCTTTTAATGGCTGTCTATACTTCAGAGGCTTTAGATAAGAATTGCTTTTCTTGCAAATTTTGCTTGATAAGTTCACCAATATTGGGAGAACTACAGAGAACATATCTTCCAAATGTCTTTCTTATTTAATCACACAATGGAGGTGTCCACTAAATATCTTTTGATCATCTGTTGGTAAATTACTCCCAGCGTTGTCCACATTATAGTTTAACCTAATAACCTCCCATAATAACCTTGGGAACATGACATGGTGTATGATTAAGGGAAGTGTCTTCTGAGAGTTAGTAACATGCGTATCAAGTATTCAATTCCTTTGGTAACTGTTCATTCAAAGCAATGAATGTTTTTGAAAAAAGCAATGAATGTTTTATGCAATGAATGTTTCATGAAAAACCCTTAAAATTATCAATAAAATATTCTTAGATCATCAATCATTAAATTACTAAATTTGTGTTAGAAAACAGTGGTGGATCTAGGATACGTACATCAAAATAGTTACTGCAGCACATTTTTGCACACACCTGCTTACATTTCTAAGCACCTTCAAGGATAATCCATTGGTAAAATTACACACTTTAAAAATTCAAAACCAATAGTGTTTTTCTGAAAGCAGCTTGAATTTAAAATTGTGGAGCTATTATTTTTTTGGACAAATGCTGGATCTTTGGTACTGTTTGAAGTAAGATTCAATTGTCATCTGTTTACACACTGCAATTTTCTCAGACCAGAAGAGATCTGACTAGACATACACTTTTACACTTTTACAGCGAAGAGACTGGAAAACTAACCGGTAGCTTTCACGGTAAAGAACCTTGAATCAGTAACTACATAAACAGTGGAATGTAACTAAAGCAGTTAAAATACTTAAAATTTATTTTTCAGAATGTTTGTAATCAAATTTGAATGATTCTCAGAGATGTAGTAATACAATATACTTATTTTTGTCTTCTAACAAATGTCATGAATTGTCCAGTGGTAGCTAGTGTTGTTTTTGCATTTTCTATGTTATAATAAGATGCATAAAGTAAATGATTTGAACCCGGGAGTATCATTACATGTTTGTAAATGTAGATCATCCAGGTTGGTATAGTCCTGAGAAGGACTGTTTTTGTTGTTGTTGACTGACGTTTCGACAACCTTAGCGGTAGTCATCTTCAGAGTCAAAAAACTAGTCAACAACAAAAACAGTCCTTCTCAGGACTATACCAACCTGGATGATCTACATTTACAAACAAGTAATAATATGTGTATAGTTTTTATCATAACCCACTGCAAATAAGGCAAGCGGTTTTAGTCCTGCTATGTAAATTTCAGAACAATACCATTACTCATTTTTTCAGGAATTGATTGTGTTTACAGTGTAATATCTTACCCAAGAGAATTTTATTTCTTGTCATGAAAAAATTTATTCGTACATTGTTCACATATTTTATTCTTGCATAAGCATGTTACCTTGTAGTTTATATATTATTACAACATCAGACATTGGGGATTGTGGCAAGGACTATTGGAGCTTTGCTCAAAGCTTTTTTGAATACAAAATATGTTTAGTGTGTTAATGAAGTTATCACTAATGGGTCATCATTACTTTCTTTCATCCAGGTTTCCATCTAAATGGCATAGTGCTCCCTCAAAACCATGGCATGGTTGTCGCCAACACCAACATCGAACAACTGAACTCTCACAAACCTGCAGTGTTATTTGATCAAGGTCATGTGACGTCTTGCATGTGCACTTGCAGTCCATCGGCTGCTTGGTGTTCTCATATTGTTGCCCTGTGTCTGCACAGGATATACCAGCCTTCATCAGTTACCTTGAGACCACCTTTATCCGAGTCCCTTTCAAAATTAAAACATTTTCAATTGCGAAAGTTTTCGCAGTATCTGCTTAGCGAGCTTCCTCATGAGGTAAAAATATTCAATTTTAGGCTGCTTAGTGAAGTTTCAAATTTTTTCAAAAGTTTCAAAAACGTCATCTGCCTTTGCTTTCCACGAAGGGCGCTAATATAAGAAAAATAATAGAAAGATAACTAGCTATATAAAACAATCACATGGTATTACGTATATAAATCTTACTTTCTTCCTTCTGTACTGCAAAGTTTTATTACGTACATCTATCAATATAAACTACGTATAAATAGGTATGAAGCTCAAACTAATTAAGTTTGTTGGAAGCGATTTTGTTCCGAAAAGCCCAAATTGAATAACTATCTTTAATTTCATTTGACATGAAATAGGTCCCTGCCTTATTAAGAAATGGTTATTTTGAAGTGAGAAACGTTGAAGGAGGCAATGCCTGCCTTATTGAGAAATGGATATTTTTAAATAATTTGCTTTGAACTTCTTCACTCCTGATTCCAACTTAAATTTCCAATGCGAACTTATTTAAACAATATCATCATGCGTAAATGCTCGAAATGTCGAACGAAAGTAGGTTTAGTCCACACATATTTTTAACAAGCGTCTTTGAAATGTTTTTATACGCTCTTGTGGCAGTATGTTCACATTGTGCATATGCATCACAAATCTCTTATTGTTTTCATTGTCCCATTTACACCACTTTCGACAGACACCATACTTTATTCAATGGGGCAAACTTCTCCTATTATTTATATTTCACATGAATCCTCGATTGTATTCATTGTGTAATTATTCCCATCTTATCACGACCCCTTGCTGTATTCCACGTGGTAACGTCCCAATGCTCCATTCAATGTAACCCCCCCCCCTTAAATCTTACGCCATTCCCCTGTTTTATTCGCAGAATAGCCCGCACTTTTAGCTCCATGCATGCATGCATACATGCACTCTTTTAATTCACATTTGTGTAAATTATATTTCGAGTTCACGAGTAAAGTATAAAAGCATATTTCTCGTTTTTTACTTTGCAGCTGTTGCCGTTCGCTCAAAAACTTCTCGATGATTTGCTTTTGTTCGACGATTCAAAAATGAACGTATCAACGGGTGCGCCAGGTGTGTAGTTCGATCTGCGTCGTTGATCGGTCAGCACTGCTGTCGCTTGAAGTTTAAGTGTACGCGGTACTAGAGCGTTTTAGTTTGGCGTTTACGGCAAACGGCAAACCTCAACAAACCGCTTGTCGTTGAGGTTTGCCGTTTCGAAATTTGAATTTAGCTTGGTGTTTTGCATTTGTATTTTACTATTCGCATTGTCCCGAGATAAATTTGTCATGTTTTGTTGAAAAATTGTCGATGAAAAGTCATATTCATGTTGTATTTCGTAAAAATACAACATTGAGCAATAAGCGTCACTTGGTTGTTATAAAAGTACTAAAAAGCTTGCCGTACGTACATCACCTACCGCAAGAAGGGCCTCTTGCCGTTCAAACCCGAACTGCTAATCGCAACGTAATCCCCAAAGCCATGGTCACGTGACTTTTTCCGATTTGTTGTTTGCCGTTGTCGCCAAACCCAAACTCTCTGTTATCTTTCAGATCCGACAGCAGGACCTCCTGCGGACACCAGGAAACAGTGGTGGATGGACGGCAAAGCACTTCGCGAAAATATACGAAAGATGTTGTCAAAATTTTGCGGTCCCGGACCTTTCATGCTCGAAGAAGCATATAGCTTTCAGTTTGCTTCCACTGCGCCACCGACAGCAGCGGAATGGTAAGTTTTCAGTCTCCGTTTATTAATGAAAGGAAAAGCTGAGGGGGTTGTTATGTTGATGGAGGAAAAATGGTTTCGTATTCATGCTTTTTCTGAATCAGATAGCGATCAAATTTAGCCTTTGATTATCGGACAATGAATAAATGACGTTGGTTGTTTTAAAGTAAATGGTTTGATTATCGTTACAGATCGTCAGGTTGGTATAGTCCTGAAGGAGTTGACTGACGTTTCGACAACCTTAAGTCATCTTCAGAGTCAAATAGTAAACGTCAGGCTAATTTGTTAAGCGGTGGTTAAACCAGAGTATTCTGACGTTGCTTGCAAAACGTAAGTCGTTAGCAACAAATGATTTGACTCTGATTACTACCGCTAACGTTGTTTTGCTTTGATAATGAGAACGAAACTGTTTTATTGTTGTATTTTTGAAAAAATTGAAAAACGGAATTGTCGCTCATCAAACATGCCTATTTAGCTAATTGTGCCGTTTTATTGAACATGTTGTTCAACATACAGGTCCAACCTGTTAAGACCTCTTACAAGCCACGAGCCCGAAGGCATGTGGAACTTGCTGTCTATCGTGCGCGAACTCTTTCGTCATCGCGATTGTAATGCCGTAGAAGTACTGGAACTGTTGACGCAAGAATGCCTGTCATTCGAGCAGATTGTCGTGTGGTGGTTCAATAGCAGCATTCAGGGATGGACGAGAAATCAGCAGTCATTCCGTAGAGATGATACCGGCAACAACTACAGGAATTGTATAAACACCGCTAGCACTGAGATGACTAAGAATGCATGTGCTAGTTTCTGTGATGAAATTGTTGTGCTGTGGCGATTGGCATGCCTCAATCCGATCATCACGTCTGATGAACGACTTAAATTGAAAGAAAAACTCGAAATTTTGCATCAGAAGACCATCGAAAAAGCGAGAAACGGTAACTAATTTTTCTAGCTCACTGCTCTTCCCAATAACGCATGCGCAGCAGTAGACCACGTTAAATGTGACTCAGACAAGATTTCAACAATCAGAAAATATTTTGACTTTTCTCTGGTGGTGATTTTGTTTTAGGTTTGAAACCTGTTAACCATTTTAAACTGACCAAATTTTAAAGTAGGATTTTTTGCCATTTAAGTTCCATGTTATGGCCCCAAAATTGTGAATAATCGTGGTCATGTTTGGCCTGACTGCAGTCCCTAACTTCTCATGTAAGTAAACGAATTTCTTTGAAAGTTAGGGTCTGCACTCAGAATATGTTTTTATAATAAATATTAAAGCCCAGCAGAGTGCTTTTAAAGGAGCCATTAAATATAAGAACGTATTAAAGGAAAAAAAATTTTTATTGTTCGAAAACGTTTCATACATATATTCTTGTATTGAATGGTTCTTTTAAAAGCACTCTGCTGGGCTTTAATATTTATAATAAGAATTCGCTCCCCGCATGGTACATCCCTGATCACTATTCTGAAGAAAAGATTTTGTTTTATTTCACTTCACTAAAAATAGAATATACTTAAGAAAGAAATACCATGTTTTTTATTTTAGACTTTAAATTTATATCATTTTCGTGTACCCAAAGCATCTTTGTAATTAAAAGGATTCTCAAATCGAAGCAAAATTTTTCCAAATGAATAATTACATTTTGTGTTTATCTACTATGTACAAAATGTCTTAGTGTTGGTGTATTTCACGTTATACCTATGTTGTTTTCTCGTCAAAAGATTTTTTAACATGCTTGTTTTCATAACATAGCACGCTATCTGGGGAGCAAATATTTGGATTCAGTCGGGCAACGGAGAACTTTCCTGGTTTCAAGATTGCCATCGAGGCTTGTTCCTTAGACTGGTCCATGCTTGCGTTGCCCTCTCTAACTCACAGAAACCCTCACGCAGTCCATGGAACCATTGGTGCTCAAACGGATGTTTTAGAAAAAGAGGAAGTTGAAAATTTGGATGAAGATGTTCACACGTTATTCACGAGAGCCGAGGCATTGCATGTAATCACAATTACTTACATTTTGTGATTTGCTGTAAAACAGGGATGGATTTAGCGGAGTGGTGCTGGAGGCGTGCTCACCCTACTAGTTTTGTTTGAGGGGGGGTGGGTGCCGGAAAGGTGCTAATTTCTTTAGGAAATGATAAAATATCAAGCAAAAGCAACAAGTGATTAGTGTTTTGTGGAGCACACTTCCGAAACAATTCTTCCTATCGTAATAAAAGGTAAAATAATTTTTAAAAAAAAGTCTGACATGGTACGGCAACAAGTAGCCATCGAAATATAATCGTGGAGCGCATATCCCTTACCAACCATCACGGATCGATCCCTGATATATATATATAATCCAAAGTGCAGCGCACATATCCCTTACCAACCATCACGGATCCATCCCTGATATATATATATAAGTCTGGCATGAATTTACTATATTGGTCTTGCCTCTGCGTACACTGCATGTGCATATGCTTGGGTACGTTAGTCATCTTATTGGTAACCAATGTTCAAAGATTTTATCAAGTTCGTGCTTAAACAACGAACCCAAGCAAACGAGGGCATCTGCATGTGTGAGTAATTCTGTCTGAACTTAGCTTTAATTGCAAGTGCACGAGCGTTGCTCTTGACGCATGATCGGTGAAAGACGGATACAGTTACGTTGGTATCTACAGTACCATTGCCCACGTAATTCGAAATATGTATGTGGAGAATTTCAATAGCATGTACTTTTACATTCCCAAATGTATTGAACAAGATATGTACAATTTTCGACTTTGTAACCATCCTCAAGAAGAGCGTAACTTTTGCGTGATCGAGATCATTAATCGATAGAGTGCGTATTTTTCATTCTTCAGGTGCACGGCTGTCCAGAAGCTAGGAAACTCTGCGAACACTTAACCGAAAGGATTCTATCGGATGCTTGCCGTAAAGTAGACAATGCTGCAGAACATGGAGAAGAAACTGTTGAAGCAGAGAATGCTAATTGCTTCATAAACACGACTTTAGCAAGAACGTCGTTTCTCTGCAATGTGTTTTCTTCCGCTCCTGCTAAACATCATCTTGCTTTTAAGATCGGGCTTCACGGCTTGGAAGCTGCAAGAAAACCGGCGAGGAACAAAGCCCTTGAGGTTCGTTTGAAGCAGTCACTTTCGAGTATTAAGCCCTTAATAACCGAGCTCGAGATCTTTATGGAGAAATATCGAACCGAGGTCTTTTTGTACAGACCGTGCCCGTAGGGCGAGGTTTGTACAAAAAGACAGCGGTCTGATATTCTTAGTAAAGACCGAGAAAGCGAGGTTATTAAAAGGTTTATTATATGGCATTAGTTGACCTGAAACGAAGTTTGCTTTTTTCTCGTCCTTGCTGTTACCGGTTTGCTTTCACTTTTCTCTTTTTCGTCCATAAAAATAAATCGTTTCAAATTGTATCGTCTGGATAGTTGTACTGTTTTCCAAGTGTTTTCACCTTTTTTGCCGTTTTAAAAAAATGTTTGTTGTTTAAGCCTATTCCGGAAGGCAAGTTGCAGTGCAGTGGTATTTTTTTCTCGTTCTGTAATAAATGATAAATTTATTCTCACTATTTTTCCTAATCGTTCTATTTCAGGTGAAATTAGCCAATGAAGAGTCCGAGTTGGTGAACCTTCTTACCAAGTTGCCACTCGGCTTACCGGAAGTTGCAGTTGTGAGAGAAAAAGCGCTATCTTTATGCAGGAGCCCACTTGAACGTGGTCGTGCGACGCTACCAATCAAGTTTGCGATCTTTTTGTTTCACGTTTTGAGCAAACAAAGCTCAAGAGAAGACAAAGAACTTGGGTTCAATGCTGCTCTCGCTGCGTTAAGTAGGTTCTGTTCATTTTAACCCCAAGCCATTGAACTAAAATACATGGAACGCTACCAGTAACAGAAAAGCCTAATAATTTCTTGAAGCCAAATCTTACACCCAGACATGCGTGTGTAATCAATCAACTTTCACTCCGCGAGAGAATCTCGAAGCACTAAACACGCGTGTCTGGGTGTAAGATTTGGCTTCGATTATTTGCTTTAGGTAGCGTTCCATGTATTTTAGTTCAATGCTCCATGCACCGGTTTCAAATATTTTTACAACAAATACGACAGCATTTTAGCAACTAAGCTCTACTGTATAATTTCTTGAACACGAGTTAAAAAAATTTTTATGTTGATGTACGTCTCAAAGTATGGTGTGTGTACTCATGCTATATCGCATCGTTTAAGATATGAAAGCGAATGTTCCCGAAGTCGAGTGTCCAATGTTGCGCGAGGGAATGAGAAGGCAGCGTGGCGAACTGGCACTGGCTCTCATTGATTATTCCAAAGATAACCAAGAAAATTTGGACTTGGTGAAGATGTGTTTACTTGACAAGAGTCGGTACGGACTTGATGCGCGCTACAATCACCCTCGACGTAACGTTAAAAATCGAAGAAGACGCTCGAGAAGTCGCGATAAAACTCAAACTTGCGCCTCAAAACGCACCGATTTTGCTCAGCTGCAGCAACAGTAAGTGGATCTAAGATTTTGTTTCATTTCAAGGCTCGCTTCCGATTAATTCGTTTTCGTACAATTGATTCGAGCGAGATTTAGAAAGTCATATCTGAACTGTTTTTTTTGTTTTATATTATTTCGAAGGGTTTCTTCCAAACTGCCTTCCGCGAAAGTCAGGACATCGTCGAAATCATCATCGTCAAGTTCCCGTCAAAGCTCGTGGAGCTCTATGTCCGACGATCTTTCTCCTCGAGAGGAATTTCGAGCCGCACGTGACAGTGGCAGAGACTCCGAAAACGATACACTAGATTTGCTGTTAGCACCATCTTCCAAAGAAAATCATAGTGATGGTGAAAGGCGTGCATACCATTCCCCCAACGAGGAAGTTGTTGTTACCAGACGAAGAATTGCTAGCCGAGGTGGTGGGGAAGATGATCCAAGCGGGTCGTTTGATAGCAATTACGAGGGCACTGGTCCTTTGCCTATTAGTGTTGTTCGAGACTCTAATACTAATCCAGCTGAGGGTGAAATGTCAGTTGCTGTTGCTGTCAATCATGCGAAGGATGCACGTGCAATCAGTAGCCCTCTGTATGATTATGGTTGGATGGAGGACCAAAGCAGGAGTGAGAACAAAAGTTTGCTATGGCAAAGCACTAAGAAGGATGGCAGCATTGAAAATCCGAGTCATGGCAAGCGGCATAGCAAATGGAGGAATGACAAGCGTGTGGAGAGGGAAAAGAACATGTTCAGGAGATATCAAGGTAACCGGTCTTTAGAAGCAGAGGCTCACTTCATGTTTGAGCTTGCAAAGAAAGTACTTAAACCTGCTGGAGGTGCAAGCCCCTCGTCTACCTCTTTATTCGGGCAAGTCGATCCTGCCGGTCATGTTAGCAGCGGTCTTTCCAACCGATCAATGCAACTTCTTGCATTCGAGCTTGGATTGTTTGCCTTAGGCTTGCATAACATTACTTGTTTCAATTGGTTATCTCGAACATATTCCGCGCACGTGTCGTGGATCTCTACACAGGCGCTAGAACTTGGTAGCGTCGCCCTGACCATTCTCCTCGACAGTTGGAAGTTGCATTTGACGCCTTCTGAAGTTGCGTCAATTGCCGATCGCGCGTCGAAGTCTAACGATCAAGAAACTGTGAGGATAGCTGCCCAACTTGCTCTTGCCTGCCTATCCATGGCGCACACCTTAAATCCGGGGAATATACGAATGTCACTCGCTCTGTGCAAAGAGCAGGGGTCGGATTTACTAGCTCAGGCTTGTACAGCGGTTGAGTCGGCTGCCCAAGGAGGAGGAGTGTATCCGGAAGTGCTTTTTGAGGTAGCAAAGCTTTGGGAGTATTTATACCAGCAAGATTATCCCGTTGGGGAAAATGAAGAAGGAAGGGATGCAACTTCAAGAGGTGAAAACGAGCGACAGCTAAGCTTTGAGGCAGAAGATGCGGAAACAGATACCAGGGAAGATGAATTGCGTGAATCGCACGAGGATCGCGACTCCCTCATTGCTCGCGCACTTCACAGTGGTGGTCGAGGGGCGCTTCAGGATTCTTACCCCAACCATCTAGCATCTCATCATGCTCAACTTCCTTCGCTCATGGTTAAATTATCCCGTTTAGGATTGACTTCATCTCATCATATGCTACCCAAATCACCATATCCTTACCTTAACCCTAACTATGGTTTATTTGTTCCCCTTCCCACTCCTGAACAAATCGTACAACAGCAGGTATTTGACCACATTCAACACCTGATAGAACCGTACCAAGTAGCTCGTGGGCAACAAGTGCCATTCCAATTAGCAAATACGTATCGCGTGGGTCTGCTTGCCTTGGAGAATTTAGGTCGAAGGCCGACGGACGATCAAGCAAATTCAATGTTTGCGAAGAATCCTCCTCACAAAGCTAACGTGCATTGGCTATGTAAAGTGGCCAATAGAATTGGGCATTCGGCCTTGCAAAGATTTTGTGTTGTATGCGCCAGTTCAATTCATAGTCCTTACCTGCTGCACGAGATAGCGCTCGAGGTTGCTGGACTTATGGCAAAGACTAGTCCAAATCAGATCGCGTTTCATCTTCGATCTCCAAGTCTTTTCCCCATGGTGCAAAAATGTCTCATGAATTACTCCCAATGCGTGCAACAGAGTCTTCAAGGCCTTCCAAAGTCCGAGTATCCAGAATTTGTTGAGCTCATAATGCACGCGCGTCGTGCCTACTGTATGGCACAGGGCGGAATGTCGCAATTCAACGAGCTGCTTCAAAATGTACGTCGCAATACAGTGAAGAAAAAGGATTTGTGGCAAAGAATCACGGCTGCTTTAGCGCATCAACCTAAATAGGGATTTTTTGAACTGGCTCCCATGTTCTTGGATATTTTATTTAAATGGGTCGAGAGTTCGCATGACACAGACGTGTGAACGCATTCGATGCATACGTGCGAATTTTTACGAGTGAATGTTAGGAGTGTGAATTTATGTAATGTTACAATGATAGCCATACATGATGCCAAGGTTTTATAGTCGTGTAAGTTAAGGAAAACCACTTTTAGTGCTTTTAAAAGTATGTTTAGTACTACAAGATGTATATGTCTAATTATCTATGCATGTGTATCATTGTATTGATTTGAAACGTATGAGAGTTGTGCATGACCGAATTCATATTTACGATGACTTGTTTTCATGACATTGATGATTGGCTTGCAAAATATGTGGGAGGAATTTCCGTCAAAGTTTAATTTCTCTTGCATTGTTTGTGAAACAATTCTCAAATGTTGTAATGTTTAAGTTTGCGCAACATTGAAATAGTTGAATACGCATGAATATAAACATCAAGCTGCCATTCCTTTTACACATGAATATTGACTGACTATATGAAAAAGAATAAGAAGTTTTTTCTTTGTCGAAAAGGTTACGTTTGCGTCCATTTACGTCTGCGTCAAATTGTGACCTTTGACCAGTGAAATGAATATTATAGAAAAGTTCACTGTGCGCTTGTGCCTTCTTTCACAAAATACCATGGCAGCGGATTCGTTCATTTTTGCAGGCTTCTGATTGGTTGAAGTAGATTCAAAAGAGAATGTGGAGGGATTTTCAACAACGACCAGACAATATACAAACGAGACAAACTTTAACGAAACAAATTTGTTTTATTTTCCGTTCCCTCACATAAAAGATCCTCGTAAGGGGGACGAGATGGCGAATGTACCATTATTACATTTATTTGACGATATGGTCCGCAAGTCTGAAGTGTTATCTTCCGGCATCGAGAAAGGTATCATCTTTAAAGTTGATTTCTTCGTTTCGTGCAGTGTTGTCGTTGAAATCCAGTAAATGTCTTAGATTTCCCAAGAAACAAAAGCATTTGAAACGACTGCAAGATTTTGAGATAATTTTATTTGGTTTGAGAGAAAAAAATTATCATTTTTGACTGTTGAATAACGACAACTGTTTTATAGAGTTTATAGCATTCGCTACGTATCAAGAAAACTGCCGCCAACAGTGGTGTTTGGATCAAGACGAAATAGCCAAATTGCGAAAAGAAAACGCCAAATTAAAGGTCATTTCTCAGATAAGAGAACTTTAGAGTACGACTTAATGATCTACAGTTTAACACCATTCTTGCTGTAAAAATTTTGCTCTAATTAGAAATTTTGACGTTGTCTACATGCTTTCCAATGTGTAACACGAAGGAAGGTTGCATTTGAAACGTTTAAAAGGATGTAGATAATCTTATTGATGTTTTAATTTGAAACTATCCGCATTAAGGTCAGTCTAGGCTTTAGTAAAATTATCTAAGTTTATCAAAATAACCCAGTATATTTATACTGCTGTGGAGGCTTGCACTAAATGAATTTTGTGATGGTCTTACAATAGCTACTCTAAATGACTGTTTCTCCTTCTGATGCCACTTTCTAATGCCATGCCATGAATTTTGACTTTCAAAAGAAAAAAATTTACCAATTAATCTGTTGTATTTTACCTAATACTGCATCTGCCATTAACTCTAACAGCTGCTTATGTATTCTGTTCCTTGCCTTTAGTGCAAGTCATATATCATATATTTGCCCAAAATAAACAATTAGTTGGGTTACTTATGATAAAGATTAGGCTTCATTAAATCAATGTGTACGATTACTTCTTTTGTGCTGGCAATATCATACTTTTTCCTGTTTTTGTTTTCATTTTGAAGTTAAAGTTCTGCAATTGTACAAAAATATACTGCACCCAGATTTTCTGTCATGACATTAACTAAAAGATTAGTTTCAGTTAGTAATTGATTTCACGCTGTCAGAAAATGATGTACATAGTCTGAAGTAATAAGAATAATTATTCTAGCCTTCTAATTATTTTTGAACGAATGGCTACTCAAATGACGTTTTGTTATGTGTTTGCATAAACTTTCTGATTTCTTTAATACCATAGGGTGAGATAATTTATCACCTTCTTTTCCATGTTTTGCAGGCTGACACTGAAGCACTGAATGCGAAGCTAACCCATGCAAGGTAGATCTTACAATTATTATGCTAGTCAGGTTGGGTGGGTGATTTGTTGTCATAATCAGCTGATTGTTGTAGTTTTGTGAAGGTTTCTTACGGAGTAGTTTTGCAAATGAAAGGCTGGATTGTCATGATCCAACTGTATATGTGTTGAACGACTGAAAAATACTATTTAGTCTTGACAACATTTCTTTTCTTCCTGCAGAAATGAGCAGTTGAGTGAGAGAAACAAGAGACAAAAAGCAGAGAATGCACAACAGCATTTGGTGAGCACAAAGAATTTTGATTTCTTTCAAATTTTGAATTACGGTATTTATATAATTTGAACTGCAGTGTTGCTTTTTATGGATCTTTTGTGAAAATTTGAATCACCCCTCGTCTGTCGGCATCTTTGTCACTTCATATTTATGAAATCTGTATGTTTACTGGCTAAGCTAATCTCAGAGCACTAGTTTTCCAATCTTGTGTGAAAATTTGAATCACTTGTGTGCATCGTCACTTCATTTAAAATCTGTATGATCTAATTAGGATTAAATTTTATTGAATTGTGAATGTACTTGTGTAATTGTACTTGTGTGAATGTACACGTGGTCTGTGATCAATTGGATTAAATTTTATTTAATTAATAATTTGATTGCAAAATAAATTGTGTAACTTGGCCCAAAATGCTTCTGTACATGTCTCAATCCTATATAAATGGCTGTGTGCAGTGCAAACCTGGCGGCAGTGTAGCCATATATGTGAAGTTTTTTTTACGAGATTTGATCTGATGAGCTTAGACTCTTCCACCTGCTTCATATAGCTGCAAAGTTCGAAACAGGGGAGTGCTCATCTGACCAAATTTGCTAAAAAAATTCCATATATGGTCACACATCCGATGGTTCTAATACTAAAGAATCATGTTTATGGTCACAGGAAAGTCAGGTAGCACTCATTAAAGAACTGCTCAATGATGAGGACGCAAGGAACAGGTTGAAAGAAAAGGAAGTGAAGCTTCTCACGCAGATCAGTCATTGCCAGCAAGTTATCGTCAATAGTCCTGTAAAAAGGTGAGTTTGCATTAACAAGATTATTTTATGGAGTCTATTAGATATCACGAAAGGGGCAGGATGGGTATGGTTTTCAGTCGAATGCTAATAGGAAGAAGTTGCTCATTAAAACTATTGTCATTAAAACGTATTCAGAAGCTTTAGGAAGAACGTAGAAGTTTCTCATTAAAACTTTTCAGGCCTGGACTAAGGAGTTCAAATGTTTGAGATAAAGCTATCTACACCTGCAATCTTGTTTAAACATTCAGATCATAATTTATGCGCAATAATTCAGTTTCTGGCACTTTCCTGTCGATTACTCCGACCAAGGGAGAAAGCCCGGGACAATATGTATAACAGAATGCCGGAGATTGAGAATTTCTCCTTGTTTGACGTCCATGTGAAAGTTCGACAAAAAATAACATCATCTGATGTAAGGTTACCTCGTAATGTTCATCAGGCAAATAAGCCTGTTCTTTGTCAATTTTTTTGCGAGTGATCAAAACACGAGCTTAACCACACATTGCTACATACGTAGAAATTCAAATTTGTAAAAGCAGCGTGTGAAGTTGTGATTGTGGGAACCGACGTGCGTGCATTTTGCTAAGAAAAGACGATTGTTAGTTGAGCTAAGTGGCCAGTTAACTTGAGGAGGAGGGAACTAGATTATGCGTTGGCCACATAGCTACTTCCAAGTGGGGTTCTCTTATTGTCAACTTACATACTTTTCGTCTATTTTTTAAGTGAAATATAGGCTTGTAATTTGCAAACTGAGCGTTCCCTTTGCAAATATATATTAAAATATCCAGCTATTCTATATACCAGGAATTTTATGAGTTGCCCGAAATTCGGGAGGGGGCACGGTGAATTATGCGGAAGAAACGTGTATTTGATATTGTCACGGACAGCCGTTGACAATGATGGCAAAAGTTCACATGAACTACGTACAATTGGTTGATTTTTATAAATGAAATGCTCCTGTTTTGGTGGGTGGTGTAGCCGTTAAATATAAAAGATAGGGAGACTTGTCCTTTGAAGATACGTAACCTGAAGATTTTCTCGCATCGTTCAATCTCTCATCTGAACTGTACACTGCATTTGAGTTAGTAGTTTTCAACTTCTAAGCTTTGTGATTTGTAGGGCTCACGAACCAGACGTGTCCCAATTATCGGCATCCTTTTCTGATGACGATTACACTGAAGACGATCTGGTGGGTTCTGTTTTAACAAGCTTATAAAATGTTTGATACATACGTACAAATCACATTGGTACCACACACGTATACCTTTTATACGAAATAAAACTTTTCTCTTTGCATTCTTTCCGTAGACGAACACCGTGAATAAATTCGGTGAAGTTGAAGAGGTACGTAAATCATGAATGATCAGGTCTTTTTTTGCTCGAGCAAAAATGTAAAACTTAAAGTAAGAAGTTGCCGATTTATTCCTTTGCATGTAATTCCTTTTCAGCACACGCCTCCGAAGAGACTAAGGAAGAGCTACTCGGTAAGTCAATGAAATTTGTGTGGAATATTATGTTGTATACATGAAATACGGCTTGTAATCGATCTTGTGTGGAATGCTTCCGTGATTGAAAATTTGAACAATATCCCTTCTGATTTGATTCAACTTTGCGTAATTTCCGGTGGAGAAAATCTACATGAGGTCAAAGTCTTCAACTAAATTTCATGATTCAGTTTTTGAATTCGGCCAAACTGAATTTTGTAGTTCTAGGATGAGTTGACGTTGTCGTTAAGTCCATAGAGATAATAAATAAGACTAGAGGTGGCATCGTAATATAATATATACTTCAAAATATGGTGCGCGGTTTTTGGTGGGCAAAATTCATTCCCGGATGTTAAGCTACAGTGGCCGACTGTGATTTTTTGAGGTTTTGTATATATTATGCGTAAATACAATAGTAAATACTATTACAATCTAATTGTTGAACAATGCTTTCCTTTTTTTCGTAAATTTAGATGATTTAAGCTTCTCGTATTTGCCAAAACTTGTTTGTGTTGCTTTTATACTCATTCAGTAATTATAATTAAGCGAGTGATTGCTTGATAATAAGTCCTTTTTCGTCTTTAATTCAACTGCTAACAGACTTCAAAAAACATATATTTGTCATCCATACCGGAAAATGTCAAAGACGGTTAAACTATATGAATATGTGGGTTGTAAAAACAGAAAATAATAACATAAGTTTTCATGGCGTATAGTGTAATTAAAACACAAAGTATACGGAGATTATAAACAACATATACGTAATCATAATAACAGCTCTCTAAAAAGAATTACTAACACTTTAAAATGACAAATTTTCTTGGTGATCGTACAAAAGAGCAAAAAACTTACTAAAGTGTATTAAAAAAGGATCCAAAACTCGAAGCAGGATTTGCCCCCCAATTCACGCGTCGTCTAAGTTAGCCATCAATGCCCCCCCTACCCCCTAGTATTATTTATAATCTCTATGGTTAAGTCCATATCTAGAGTCGTTGATGGATTGAAATTATTTGAAACTATACTTCTCTGGCTCGTAACGAATAAGATTTTGATGGTGTTTTTATTTGTCTATAGACGGTAGAAGCGAAGATACCTGGAAGCGAGGTTAACGGGTCTCCTGTTTTGAATTTGTCAAAAGCTACGAGTGCCGTGTATTTGAAACCCTTGGAAAATCAAGCTGAATTACCACCTTCTGGGAGTAAACCCCAGCATCAGCAGGTGGCTCGTCTATCCCAACGGACTAACACGGGTACGTACGTAGTGGTTCAATAAGTTGCTCTATGTATCGCATTAAATGTTGGTGCTAGCGATAAACTACATGTATAACCTTGAATAAAAATATGCTGTTGAATCTGTTTGGCATGCGCAGCAGCCACCTCTATCCCTAGACTGTGTAATTGTGACGTCACAAAGAGGTTTGCTCTGTAAAAACTGGCCCTAACATTTGGTGGTTTTGTGGGACTAGTGTCGCTCATCAATGCATTTGATGTTTCCGCGCTGTTATGCGACTTTTGTTTTTTATTCACAGATCAAAGGACGCCTAATACCCGGTCTGCTTCACCAATATGGTCAGTATGCGGTCAATGAAAATTGTTTTTCGTATTTCTTAAGTTGTTCTCGCCATTTTGTTTCATTTGTCAAATGAAAGTGTAAAAATTTTTTAAACTTTTACAGGAGTAACTCGCAGTCCAATGGAAAGAAACCTAAGGTAAAGTATATGAGAATCAACGTGAATATGACGTCACCTTTTTGATGGCATTTTCGGGAGATGATGCGGCAACGTCCAAAATGGAAGAAGCGCAAGCTGTTTTCTACTGAACTTCAAATGCAGTGTTTTACGTGATGTTTCTTATTTGAGAAGGCTGAGGTCTGATCCGTGTTTAAGTACTTTTTGATGTGGATCACGTACGGATGTCGTCGTATCGATTAATTTGAATTAAACCATCTTTCAGTCAAAATTGAAACTTCTATAGAGTTTCCACCTAAGCAATGCATTTGTTCACGTTGAGATCTAGTCATCTTCATTCGAATTAAAAAGAACGTGCATATACCATGGAAAAAGTGTATTATGGAAAAAGAGTATATTTGCTCGATCCACACATTATTTGAGCTAAATGATGCACAAACTCCTACCCCTATACGTAAATATGTTTGTTTTACGACGTTTGCAACTCCAGATGCGTCGATTATTATGGTGTTTGTTTTTTTATCTATCTCTTATTTCTTTTCTAGAGCCACGACTTCGTTTCAAAAACTGTTTTGAAACCAGAATCATGCAAAGCCGTAAGTATCGCTGATTTTTGTCGAATTTTTGAAAATTTCAAATTATGTTATTTAACTTTGATTTTGCAGTGCGGCAAACTTATTCGATTTGCGAAATTGGCCTTGAAGTGTCGAGGTAACTGAATAAAACTACTATTTTCGTTGTTAAATCATGGCTATATTTCATGTAGTAATTATATTTAATGTTCAGACTGTCGTGTGATCTGCCACACGGAGTGTAAGAATCTCGTTCCACTTCCTTGCATTCCTGTTAAGCGCACACCTAATTCAACCAAAAAACCAGTTGTAAGTATTGTGACGAACAATTTTTTTCATATCAAATTTAATATTGCAGTCAATAAGAGTCGATGTTACAGCCATAAGCCTATACGAGAACTTTTTTGTCCTTCCAGGAAGAGAATATCGAGTTCTATGCTCCCACAGTAAGCCCGAGGATTCCTGCGTTAGTGGTAAGGTTGTTACTGTGGGACCTCGTTTGTAAACTGCACTATATCATGTAATGAAATTTTTGACTCGTCTCGTGGCTCATTTCTGTTACGTATCTTAGCTTCGTTGTGTAGAAGAGATTGAACGGCGAGGATTGAACCAACTTGGACTGTACAGAGTTCCTGGGTAAGTGAAAGAGTGAGAGTCAACCATCATGCATTGCGCGCGTTTGTTTAATACGTATCAAACGAGTATTGTAACTTATGCGCAACGATACGGTGAAAAAGAAATCATACATGCCTAAAATTTCAGAGCATCTGCAGGCGAACGAGTTTGTTTTCAATCCTTCTCAACGAGTGCGTGATAAAAATCGTACAAACGAACCAACCACGAAGTAACCTATTATTATCACATGGGAGTCTCATTGTATTTCAAGCTGACTCGGATAATTTCACGTTTCTTTGATAAAAGAAGTATTAAAATATTTGTATAGTCACAAAAACACGTGAACATTGTCTTTGCCAACTATCCTACATAAGTTCATTCAAAATGTCATATATGAATGCTTTTAAGTATCCTTGGAATCTGTGGCATTCAGCAATATGACTTTAGACTTCTTTCGTTTCAGGTCTGAGGCACGTGTTCGTGAATTGATGGCGGAATTTTTGAAAGGGAAAGGCTCTCCCGATCTGGTAAACTGAGTTACCTTACTTTTTTCAAGTTTAGTACGGTGTGCTACGATATACTGTCCTTCCTCTGTTCCTTGTTTGTCATTCATTGTGTCTACCAGTTGTATATTACTTTTTCATTTGAATAAATGCAGTTTTGTTGTTTAATGCCGTCAAATGAAGTGTCTTTCTCTATTGTGTTATTAAGACGAAGGAAACTGATGAAAATGTCATCTGTGGAACCTTGAAATCTTTCCTCAAACAGCTATCCGAGCCGATTCTGACATACGCGTTGCATAAACGGTTTTTGGAAGCTGTTGGTAAGTTTGGTGCATTGTTGTCTAAATTTTCTACTTGTAACTGTACCAAAATGTTCTACGTGAGGAACTTAAGTCATTGTGCAAATAGTTTTTTACTCAGGGATACATAGTATAGAGGAGAAAACACTAGAGAGATTCTATGCCGATATACCATAGTTTGTTTCTTCACCTGAATCATGAAATGTCTATGAGTAACTGCCAGACACCTAAAAAAGTCTAGATCGATTGATATGTTCTCCAAACTCCAAACTAAAGCATTTCTCTTCCTCTTCCCCCTAAAATCATGCATGATTAATCCCTGTTGTCGGAGCCATCTTTCTTGCAATACTAATGTTATCGCTGATCTCTTTGATGACTTCAGAAAAACCGGACGAAGACGATGCACTATTATTTCAAGCTGTCAGCGAACTGCCCGCTGCGAACAGGGATACCTTGGCTTATCTCATGGTGCATTTGCAGAAGTAAGTAGCCAGCTACGTCATTCTTACGATTTTTTTCATGGACTTATACATATACTTTTTTGTACACAGGATAGCTCAGAGTCGTGAATGTAAGATGCCTGTGACAAACATTGCTAAAGTGTTTGCACCAACTCTTGTTGGCTACAGCTGTCCTCATCCTGAGCCCGTACAGATGTTGACCGAGGCCAAAATCCAGCCGAAGGTATATTATGCTCCCAAGCTATTGAACAAATATTTGGGTGTACAAACGCTGTACAAGAATGCGGAATGATTTTGCGTGTTGTTTGAAGTAACTTTGGTCATTGTTGACTAATGAATTTCGTATTATGCCTTGAGAAGGTCATTCGTGTATTGTTAAATTAAACGAAATTTCATACTTCAGTTGTAATGACGCGCTTGGCACAATTGCATCACAGTTAACAGTTCATATCATATTTTTATCTGCAGATTGTAGAGAAACTGTTGGAAATGCCAGTTGATTATTGGAAGCAATTTCTAAGTGTAAACGAGGAGAACATTCGATCACCTCCATTCAATCCCAATACTCATAACGCTGACGGAACTCCAAAAACTCCGCAGGGCTTGACTGGTAATGTTGAGAGCTTGAAATGTATTTTTGTTCTTGGACTTCAATAATGGACGCGAATAAACTTCTGCGGGATAACACAAAAAATCCGACGACTTGTCAATGCTAATCACACGTGTACATTACTTTTAGCACCTGGAGCCAGTATGCTTGGCCCAGCAAGAAGTGGGGACACGCCTGGTGGCAAATCAGTAAAGAAGAAAGGTAGCCTCCTGGGACGGACTCCACTCACTCCAAGGTAGGTAGACTCATACCAAGATGTGTAGGTATGGGTATGCGTACGTACATTACGAGTTATCTAGGTACATGCACCAAGATATACATGTAGATACAGGTCAAGGTACAATGTGTAGGTAATTATTGAGTTATGTAGACACGTACGCACTAAGACATGTAGGTACATACCAGAGTATGTAGGTGCATATAGGTGGTACACTTCATCAAGGCATGAGCACTAGTGTCTTGTTCCCCTCTGCACCCTCACCCCCAATTATTGCTCCTGATGGACTATGATTAATTCTCCCGGTAAACCATTTGGCAAATGTTTTTATTTATATGTACGAAAACCATTACGTCTACATTTTGTTTCATAGATTTGGAAGCAAAAGCAAACGTCCAAATAAAAGACCGCATCATTTCTTTGATTCGCCCATGCTGAAATAAGCAATTTTGAGGACATGGTGGATATTTTAACGAGAAAAACCTTTTTGCTGTATTCTTATGAGTGGTGACAGATTAAATTTCGAACCAACGGGAACAATTTACTTGACTTCTGTGTTGTAGAGTAGCTTTAATCATTCATAGCTAGAGTTGATTTATCTGATTATTGCACGAAGAGTGACTATCATTACGATAATGCAAACTTTTTTCTCCATTTAAAGCTTTATAATGTCCCGTGTTTGTATTCTTGTAGTTTAAGTTAGTACAATAGGTCTACAATTTTGTATATCGATCAATCGTAGAAGATGTACTAATTAATATATAAATTATTTGTCGTGGGACATTTTTCTTTAATTTTCTTGCAATGTCTTAAATTTTACATCTACGTACGTACATCACTTGTGTGTAAATTATTTGTCCTTATTCGTAGGGAGCGAGTTTTACATGTTAACACCGTATGACTGTTACTGTATAATGTGCAGAAAGCGGTCTGTCAAAAATCTGTGTTGTTAATGGGGGAACTGTAAACAGATATTGTTGACGTGGTTGTATGTGAAATGCCCACAGAAGTGTACTTTAAAGTACCAGTGATAAATACTTATCATAAAATACTGTGCTCCAGTGTCCAGACCCCCAAACGTGGCTGCGCAGTTTTGGCGGGAAAGACGAAGTAAATTTAATTCAAACCAGTAAAAACTGTAAACATGTTGTCTTTTTGAAAAATTGTATGCTTTGATTTGATTTTTATAGCGATAGTGAATGCATTTCATCTTTAACTTTTACGAATTGATGCTTCTGCATTATACGAAGAGATAAGGTACGTCAAATCAACTCGACTAAACATTACCATACATGTGAAAATTTTATTTCAATGCTATCAAAGCGAAAACGTTTGGCGTTTAGACAACGTATCTTGACTCTTCAGCATGAGTATCGACAGCATGATAATGGCAGAAAAAATAGAGTCCGTGAACGGTGCCGCTGTTGAAACGCAAAACTCAAAGAACGACCTATCGAAAAAAAGAAAGAACTCATTAGTGGTTTGTACACCATGAGATATATAGGCATTAAAATAGAAGTTATTTTCAAACAATTTTTATCTTAGGTAGAAGATTCAGCTGTACACTCCGGAAGAAATTCAAATGATGATTTTACGTGCCAAGTTTATAGACAAGGTAAAATTTGCTTGTGCAACCCAGTTTCTAGCACCGTTTACTTAGAAGTGGATGTATTGCTAGCTTTAGCTGTTATCTCTGAACAGCAACAACTGAAAATCTATTGTACTATTTATGGGAAAAAAGTCAAAGTTGTTATTGAACAAGGCAAACATAAAACTAACACTTTGAAATATCTAAAATCTTTTCTAACTTTGCTAAAGTTTGCTTGAGCTAGGTTTACATGAAAGCTTTAAATGAATGTATTTTCTTAGTTAAGGGGGAAGTGAATAGATGTGGAATAAATGCCACCATGTTTAAAGATTGTAGCTGTATTATATATTAAATATAATAGGGGTTGTTTCAAAAATCATTTTCCTCTAATTTTCTTTGCAGATCACATTTTAGAACAAAATGGCAGTGAAGAAAATGCTTCCATGTCTGATGGACAAGACGCATCTAAAATGGATGAGATATTGAGAAGTATGAAAATAAATTTTTCATAAAGTTTTCTTGCCAATGCGTGAGAAAACGTAAATGAGCAGAGAAGTTATGATACCTATACAAACTAATCCTTTCAACATTCAAACGATGTGATTTGCAAGACCACCAGCGTACCAAATTTATGAAAAAGAGATAGTCATTTCACTCAGTTGTACATCATCTATTCAATTAACAAAAAGTAGACATACTTGGGCATGCTTAAGCCATCTTCGCTATATGCAAGTGAACGAATATCGATATCGTCATTTTCTATCCGAAATATATAGCAAATTTTGAATCCATATATACACTGTTTCTTCGAATTTTCACTCCTGCTAGGCTAAGTATTCAGCAATAATTATTTTCTTTATTTAGAAAATAAATTTTTTATTCGTTGTTAAGTGGCTAAACACAAAAATATTTGTATAGCACAAGCAAAACATCGGCCTGCCTTTTCCAATTGATACGCATCATATACATGGTAACAGTGGCTATCTTCGATTATTACTTACATACAGGAGCGGATTAATGCCCGTGAAGCATTTTCAAAATTTTCTGGGGTTGCTAGAAAATTCTTGGGAGGTGCCCCGAGATAATTCGCTCGTGGTTTTTCTATGATTTCGGCCTGAAAGGCTCCAGTTGCCCAGCCACGTTTAGTGACAACGGTAAATTATGAAATGGTCTTCATATTTATGTCACGCGAGTCTTATCTTGTTTTGTTTTATTTCAGAACTTGGTTGCGACTCCAAAATGTCCTTAATGAAATGGGCACCGGTATTTGGGTATGCAATACAACTATCACACAGCAGGCGGTGGCGTATCCAGGCTGCAAGTGTGTCGTGCTATGTAAACTCAGATCATTAACATTATTTATTTCCCCAGAGTTCTATTGTTTCTACATTGATTGAAGTCAGTGGACGCCGAAATATTTACACAGCACGACCAAATTTACCGGCTGGTTACACGTTACTACATAGCAGCAAGTATTAGTTATGATGTAACTATACATGTGTTTATCGGCAAAATTTTTCTCTTATAGTGAAAGTGAGGCGTTTGAATCATGCTGTGCAGCTAGATTGGACGAAATTTTGAAGCAGGCTCTTGACTTAGAAGCAAACCTTATCGAGCAGAAAGAATGCTTGAGGGCTAGAATGAAAGCTGTTTCAAGAACATTGATGGCAACATGACATTTATTGGTTTTAAATTTGGAGGTTTTGATAATTCCTGTGTTTTTTGTTGTTTTTTTGCTAATGTCTGATCACATCAGGCCAGTTTATCACGACGAAAAGTGAATGAATTTAATAATTATTTCTGTTGTCGTACTTTTCATTATACATTAGAATTAAATTTCCAGTAAATTAGTCTTTGTGTGACTGTGCGTGTGAGCCTTCGTTCTATACTTGGTGTTGGTGTTAGTACGCGGATTCAGAATTATACAGATTCGTTTAATCGAAAACGCATCGATTGATTCTCGTGCTCAAGCGGCATTAATGAGTGCAGAATGTGCTGAGAAGTGCAATATCATGAGACTTGTTGATCAACGCTGGGCAGGTCTTGCTAAAGGAGTTGGTACTCAAAAGATTATTGGTCGTATTCATATAACACAGATTCAGATTGAAGATGTCTTCCTTGTTTCATCATTTTCTGTGTTAGAGTCACAATCTATGGACATGCTACTTGGCTTGAACATGTTAAATCATCGTCATCAATTATAAGGGTATTAATACAATCAATTGAATTATCTACCTCATTTTATTGTAGTGAACTACCCAATGCTTTTGCTTTAGTGTTACATCGATCTAAAGGAGAACAAGTTGAAAATTGGAACAACCAACACAAGTACTCCATTGTTGCCTGAATCTGAATCACCGCCATTTGATCAATTATCTAGTAATCTTAATCAAGAAAATGAGAATAAGATAGCCTGTCTGCCTCGAAAGCTCAATCATTCGACAATCAACGAAGAAATGGGTAAGAATAGAGTTTAAAACTTTTAATTTGTTTATTTTTCATCAAACAATATCTTTCCGGTCATTATATAGTGCTGAAGTGTTGTCTCGTCTTCCACCCAATGTTAGTGAAGCAGATATAAAGGGTCTTCTTCAAATAGGGTATAGAAGATATTGGTCACACGAAACCAATATATTAATATAATTTCTAACCATGGTATCTATTCTCTTGTGAGACGTCGAAGAAAGTATGTCTGCATAATTTTGTTCTCTGTGCAGTATTTTACAAAGGTGATCCGGTACAGATTTGTTCCAGCAGCTATAAAATACTTGTTGAGAATACAATATATCACTCAAAACAGAACGCAGATAGAAACTGTAAATTTTTGACTTTATTACAAAGCCATTCGTCGAATAGACCTTTTACCATTTTGGCACAGCGATGCTCAGGGGCCGCGGAAGTATCTTAAAAGTGGGGGCACTGACCGAAAAGGGCATGTGAGTTTGCAGCTTACTGTTTTAGTATATTACAGATATGCATTGGGGGCACTGACCGAAAAGGGCATGTGAGTTTGCAGCTTACTGTTTTAGTATATTACAGATATGCATTGTTTCATGATTAAGTTTCAAAGTCTGCAAAATATTGGTAGACATTCTTAGAATGCTATGCGTATTCTCTACTGCTCGGCGTGCGTGCTAACAAATTGAACTAAGGGGCCGCGGAAGTATCTTAAAAGTGGGGGCACTGACCGAAAAGGGCATGTGAGTTTGCAGCTTACTGTTTTGATATATTACAGATATGCATTGTTTCATGAATCATGATTAAGTTTCAAAGTCTGCAAAATATTGGTAGACATTCTTAGAATGCTATGCGTATTCTCTACTGCTCGGCGTGCGTGCTAACGAATTGAACTAAGATGACTACATGAACAATTTTATTAAGTAAAGCGATCTCATTAAAATTTCCCAAAAAATCTAACCCTACGTTTGTTTTTCAGAACAAAGTCCTTAGCTATTAAACGTAAGTCCAGTTCGTCAGTTCTGGCCTTGTTTACATGCATAACAATAAGATTATTGTAGCGTGCTGCCGTCATTGTGCTCCTGAGATGTGTCTTGACAAGCCGCTGGCATGAAATATCGTTCTCCAGAGGCTGCGCTCATTGGAGCAACAAGGTAAATCAAGGTAAGACGTGTGCTTTATTTCTTCTAGTGTAGGATGGTAAGGCTGTCGGCCTATACAGCACAAGTGCTTACAATCGAGTCCTTACAATCGAGCAAACATTCCGTTGACTCAATTTGCATAGGTCCTACCAATAGGACGGTAGTCGTGGAACTTGGCAAAGACGCATACGTTAGGTTTTGAGAAGGTGTGTGAACTGGCTCGGTCGGCGGCGCGACTAGTATCTCTAAAGACGATGTAAAGTCAGAATCGCCGAATTTTGGTTTGGAATGAGAATGAGGAGATAAATACGTTGAAGAGTTTCTGTAGCTGACGGCAGTGTCAAATTAGACTTAGAGTCGATGTTTTGGTCAACAACGTTCTCTGCTGGAGCACTACTAAAGAAACTCGTCAGTTTTCGCATCCTTTTAGCTGTTTCTACAAGCTCTTTTTCCTTTTCTCGTTTTCGCCTAGCAGCTCTAGGCATGATGATTTTGATTAGAAGTGATTTAAACCGCAAAATTTTCAATTATTATGATTATGAATTGTCAACAGTTTTGTAGGACCAATGGCCTGAAAGACCAATGACATCTGGGTAATCAAGATCAAAAACTAAGCTATAGCTGATTTCGCATGATGCCGACAGACTTTCTTCTACTCTCAGGGCTACTTGTATCTAAGAAAAACTTCTTCAGTCCAATTTTACCTAAAACAAGGGCATTTCTACACCATGAAAAAGGGCACTTTCATTCCAGAAAAAGGGAAAATTTTTCCCTGTTGTAAAAAGTGGGGGAGCACTTGCCCCCAATGTCCCCCCCCGGTTCCGCGGCCTCTGGCAATGCTTGAATATCTGGGTAGATATGGTCAAGTACACAAACGATTACATTTCTTCTTTTTTGACGGCATAATTTACGGTAGTCTTTATCCCCTGTGCTCCGCCATAGCTTCTCCATGTTCATATATTATCTCCATATTCTTCTCTAAATACTGACCATGTGAAGCGAATTAACTGTTCTTTGAAAACACTGTATACAGTCATGACGGTGTTTTACAATAGCTGGTCAAGGTGATAACTTAAACATAAACAGCATGTTTTTCATATGCTTAAATATGGTGCGGTATACCCACTGACAAATAGCTTCCTTGGTGGACGTCATTGTAACTCTGAATTGATAGCTTGCAGTGTAAAGTGGAGTTTCGTTGAGAATCACATGTTGGTCAATCACATGTTGAGAATCACATCATAGTCCTCCTACATGTGGTCTCGTAAACATCGGTAAATATTTCGGCTTGTTCTCCACCCGTTCATCGCCTAAATCATCGTCAGTTTTCACGCAATGTTGAAAGTGCTATTCAATTATTTCTCTTGTTGTGTACTTCCATTTCTCAATCTCTTTGCCCTTGCACTTACTGTTGTCCTTTTAATTCACAAGTCTGAATTCAGCGGTACTTCTTATAGGCTTTTTTGTTAATTATTTAGACATAATTTGGTGCTTGGTTCACACGTGTCTGATCATAAGCTTGAACGATAAGACATTTATTTTGTGTGCCCAAGAGGTTTACAAAGACAAAGAAGTTTTGATTTAAAATCTTCTTTTGTTCTTCTTTTAGATCACGCTTTACTCTTTTCTTTATCCTTGCGCATATTTCAATGTGTATTTCACATGCTTCGTTGATTGCCTGTTGTTATAGCTAGTGCTTATCTCACTCATATGAGCCAGCTTAACACAGTTTACCTTTTTGTCTACCTTTAAGTGTACATTTATATCTATCTTTATATTCACATTTATGTCTACCTTAATGCTTTCCTTTGTGCCTTCCTTTATGTCTACGTTTGTGTCTACCTTTGTGTCTACCTTTATGTCTACGTTTATGACTACTTTAGTGTCTACCTTAATTTCTACCTTTATGTCTATCTTTAAGTCTATCTTCAAGTTTACCTACCTGTCTAATTTTACGTTTACCTTTATGTCTACCTTTGTGTCTACCTTTTTGTATAGGTTTAAGTCTACATTGGTCTCTAACTTTGTCTCAACCTGCGGGTTTCTTTTTTTTTACCTTTTCCTCTATCTTTTATATACTATTATGTCGACCTCTTTTTGTCTAACTTTGTATCAAAATTTACTTATCTTTGGTGAACTTTTGCCTGTCTAGATATTGGTGTTTACTATTTTGTAATCATTTCTTATTAATTTAGCGTCCACTATATTTACCATTTTGTGTACCTTTTTGTCAATCTTCTTGTACCATTTTGAGCACTTTTTTTATGCTATTTTTGTAACCACATTTGAGACTTCCTTTGTCTTCATCTTTTTGTCTTTGCAGTGTCTTTCTTTTTGTCTACCTTTTTGTGCACGTTTTTGTCTATATTTGTCAAAACAACAAACAAAAAATCACCATACCCAAAAATAAATACACAGGCGTGTATAATAATAATGATAATAATAATAGTAATTATAAAACAATAATAATAATAATAATAATAATAATAATAATAATAATAATAATAATAATAATAATAATAATAATAATAATAATAATAATAATAATAATAATAATAATAATAATAATAATAATAATAATAACAATAATAATAATAATAATAATAATGCCTCAACTCATGAACATACTTTAAATATTGACCTAGGTTATTGGGAAAGTTGTCTTTACATTTGACTGTCCCTTTATCATGGATATTTTTAAACACTGATTTTAGTCATATTTGATTCAGTTTTTTAACATTTATATTTGTAATAGATAATAATGATCATAATAAAATACGTTTTCAATCATAATAATAATAATAATAATAATAATAATAATAATAATAATAATAATAATAATAATAATAATAATAATAATAATAATAATAATATAATCATAAGCAACAACAGAGTAGTAGGCAAAAACGTTTGTTGTTTAGAGTAACTCTTTGTAGTTTTTGGTTATTCGTGAAAATCGTAGACACAACAAAAGATCTGGATACAAAGAAATTACAAACGAAGCCTAAAGTCACTAAAGCAATGATTAAGAAATCCTAATTTTTTAACATTTTACTGGAGATTGCAGGAAAAATGATGCAAGCCACCCCCAAATTAGAGCAAAAAAACTAATTTCAACTCGAAACATAATTAAATTTTGTAACAAAAATTTCGCTTCTAGTTACAAAGTTCACAGTAATAAAGCTGAAACTTTCACCTATATTTCTTTTAAGATTTTGTTCGCATTGACATAAAAATAAGTTGAAAGCTATATTCTTCTAACAAAAATTGCTCCATTAAATTATGCTCGACGAAAAAACTACTTCCGTTTGCACCTCCTTGTTCTTTATTTATCGTTCATTTTTCTATCTTTAGGAAAATGTTTTCTAATTCAACAGCATTGCATTCATGAACACGAGTATTTTTTTCTCAATATGTACACATTGCATCAAATTTACATCTGTACATTTTATATTTTGTCAAAGTTGATTCTTTTGATGATCCATTGTGGAGAGATCGATTTTTAATTCAACTTGATTTAACTAAATCCTTTGACTTAACTCCCAATCAATCATTATCAATGTTTGATCGGTTTGCACGGATGATCTTAAGGATGGATTTGTCCACCGGAATCGTTGGTTGTGGTCGCACATACACAACAAATTCTATGTCAAACGGTGGAAGTAGACAGTTAGAAGCAATTTATAAACGATGATCTCCTTGCTTATTCAATGCTTTGAGTTCTTCGTCATCTTCCGTTCCTGCGTCGTCACTGTCAAGCTCGTCGTCTGCCTCTCGACTGCGACTACTGCTTTTCGTGCTCTGCAACCGAGCTTGCTCGACAGCTGACATATAAGGGGTGCTTGTCTTCGCCTCATCTAAAAAGATGTTCAACAAACGTGTAATCCACGGAAACTAAAAATCGGTGTTATGAAATCAAGATGTTTCAAATGTAGCTCTTTACTGCGGACAGACATGAATTTCTATTACCTTTGGAGTAAATGGTTTGAGTCCGGGAGTATCGTTACATGTTTGTAAATGTAGATCATCCAGGTTGGTATAGTCCTGAGAAGGACTGTTTTTGTTGTTGTTGACTCACGTTTCGATAACCTTAGCGGTAGTCATCTTCAGAGTAAAAAAAAACAGTCTTTTGACTACAGTTTTTTGACTCTGAAGATGACTACTGCTAAGGTTGTCGAAACGTCAGTCAACAACAACAAAAACAGTCCTTCTTAGGACTATACCGACCTAGACAATCTATATTACCTTTAGAGTTGCTCAGATCAATAGCAACGTTACGATGCTCCTGCCAGCTTACACGCTTTTCCTGTATACGCTCGTGATTTCTAAAAGGTATTTCGTCCACGGCAGGCTTATCACTGTCGCTGCTTAAACTCTTATGAGGCTCCTGTTTTCCATCGCATATTTGTGAGTTGTACCAATCACGATTTTCTTCTAAGGTGTCCAAGATACCCTGTGCATCAGGGTACGTTAATTCGGCCCAGGTCTCCCAAAGGGGCTGGGCAACAAAATCGATGAACACAACCTAAGAAACATATTTCAAAGTTTGTCACGCAGGGATTTGTGTCATGTCCCTAAAGGAAAGTATAAGCCGTCGTGCGAGTGCATGTGGTGATATGTTGGTTTAATCAGGAAATTGCAAGAAAAATCGAATTAATGGAAACTCCAGAAATAATCTAGATTTAATGAATCCTGACTTTTTAATGAACGAACTCCAAAAACTCGTTCTTCCTTTCAAAGTTGAAACTTCATGTTTACTCTTGAAAATACACAACAGCTTGCAAGAATATTTTTGTGCAACAAATAAACGGTACGTGTTGCATGAATTATGGTCTTTGCGTGAAAATGTGTGAAAATGCTTGAAAATGCGTGAATTATAGTCTTTGTGTGAAAATCTGATTGGTTAAAATAACCATAAAAATTGGTTAGCTCAGATGCATTTAACCACTTTAACCAATATCTTTATGGTTACTTTAACCAATCATATGGTTATTTTAACCAATCATTTTTTACAGTGAACACATTAACTTTTACGAAATAGCCGAATCTTTCGTAAGCAGATACCCTTAATACCTCCCACGACAAACTTTCCGCTTACGGCAAGTGTCCGAAAAATAGAGGATAGGAGAAGTAATTACGTATTTGCAAGGACCCAAAAAGCAGGGTCCCCTTACGGGAGATGTCCGTAAGTAAAGGCTCGACTGTACGAGAAATAAAGAGATTTCCACAATGACGGTGGTGATTAAATGGCAAGCAACAATACACTATAAAAACAGCTGTACAAATTTCAACAATTTTAACGGTAATTGTGAAGTAAATATCTATCCAACAATGAACTGTGGCAATATATTTTGTCTTATCCAAGATCCGCTGAAGGACCCAAATTTCAAAACGTGTGACATGTTTCACGCATGGTAGAAATCACACATGGTAGAAATCACACATGGTATAAATCACACATGGTAGAAATCACACATGTCTTTACGTTCAATATTATACAATGATTGCGTCCAAACATACGTTTTGGAACGCTTTTTCCGAATAACTTGTTGTAGTTTCAACTCATCAATTTAGTTCATCGAAAGAATGGCTCGGTGATATTATCGCCATATTCTGTTCAAATTCACTTAAAACATCTCAAAACATAAATGGAAGAAGTCTTCATGTACACATACCTGTGACTTCTCCACTGATGCATTGTATCGATCCATCATTGGACTGACATCCATTCCTTCAATTTTCCTTTCTCGATCTCCCTGAAAACAATCGAGGAGAAAGAGAATTAGTAATTGGGAAAAATAAACTAATTTTTGTCGCCATCGTCACGTTCAACGAGAAGGAGTACTAACTAAAGGAGTTCTACGAGAAAGAATACTACGAGAGGAAAGACTACGAGAAGCAATACAACGCAATACTACGGTAAGAAGTACTACGGAAAAGAAAGACAACGAGGAGTTAAACATACCTGCCGGAAGAATTCTTCCATTAGCCTATCAACCCATTCTTTATAAAGTGGTAGATGCTTTGTTGGGTTGCTGAGATCCGCACAATGGACCAGACATCGCAGCACCTATTGATAACACAGATAATAGCATCTTAAGCAATATTTATTGCAACTATACAAATTGGGATTGGGAACTACACAAAAATTTAATTAGAAATTCGAACCGAAATAAAACGTCAAACTCCTGAAAGGGATAACGATCTATATGCAAGCATGCTATATTTCAATTCGCTTATAAGTGTGTGATCAAGGAAACTTCAATAAAACACGACAGCCTACAATCCGATTTATTGATGGGATTAATTTTTAGCCTTAATCCGTTCTAGCAGGATACATGGTAGTTTTTTCCTCAAACTTTATACAATCAATATTATTTTCGTCAATTGAAAAATACTGAAGATCAAATTACACTCCACACGGCAATTTCTACATTCATTACTATGGAAATATAGATACAAACACTAAATGACACACCTGTATCCTGTCAGCATAGTTATCTAGACTAAATTTTGATGCCGACAATTTCTTTGTCTCCACCATCGTTTTCAAGGATGCAAGTAAACTCATGTGTTTTGCATTATCCGTAGCTAAAACCTATTTAAAAATCAACGACATCTTCAAATTGTAAAAATAAGATGAAAGTATAGATTTACAAGTGCCAGTGAACCAGCCAGCTAACAAGCCAGCCAGACATTCGAATATCATTTTTACCATCTCGATTGCATTCTTTCTAAGCGACTGCCTCTCCTTTCTGCTCATATTCTCAAAAATGTCACATCCATGCTGCTGCAAGAGCTCAAACGCAACATGTAGGTGATGGTTCTCCAAAACTGATTCATCGTTGTACAACAAAGCTAATGGCGAATCTACAGAGCGAACGTTGTGAAATTTGAAAAAGAACTTGAAAAATTTTCAAGACGGTTAGCAAAACTTACTAGTAGCAACAAGAAAATGGTTACTAAGACCAGGATGATCAACATCGTGAACAGCTGCAGCAAACAAAGTAGCTAGAATTTCCAGATCGCTAAACACCGACTAAAAATGCAACACAAAACATGAACGTCTTAAGTAAACGTCTATATGGGCGAACTTTATCAATGAGCATTTCTCAAAAATTCACAAATTCTATTGAATTCTGAGGAAAAACTACTGACGGAGTCTTCAAAAAAAATTATAACACCATGAAACCAACAAAGTTCATAAATATTAAGTTGATGAATAATTTTTCTATTTTTCTGCTCATATTGTTTTTTGAAGAAAGATGCTCTTCATGTTAAAAATGGACTACCATTGGATGAGAGATGGAAGAGAATCATCCTTACGGGGCCACAAAGTGGGGGTTACTTTGCTACCTACAGTTTATTTAATCAGATGGACAATGAAACAGGTTTACACAAAAATCATTTGCCAGCCCTCAAATTTACTCCTCGTATGTAAATTTTTCTGTGTTCACTCACTGCAACAAGAACAGATTTCTAATGAAGTGGACCATAATAGAGGTTCGCTCATAAGTCGTTGGACACTTTTTCATGAACATTTTCTTCTTTGTTATGGTTTCGGACTGATAACAACAACTAACTGTGATATGTTTCCCGAACAACGGCTTCTATAGAACCGAGCATCGACTTTATTTAGCTATTTGATTACTGTATCAGTCCAACAGTTACTCAAAGTGTAATGAATTTTCTAGAATAAATAGTCAGCATTAGAGGGAAATGTATGCATCAATCAAGAACAGCAGATTCTGTATTTTCAGCTATCTGATACTTGCTTAATTCTCCTTTCTCCCAGAGAACGATAGCACGTTGTTTGGTTTCGTCTTCGAACGTCTTCCACCAAACCTTGTAGTTTTCCTACGACGTCTCATTCCAAGATATCGAGCTTTCTGAAGCTGCGTAATCTGGTGAGTTTCTAAGCACAGCACAGCCATCAACATTTTCACATTCATCCACTGATACCACAATTGCCATTCTACTTAGACATGTGGATTATCGATTTCGTGAACCATAACCCTTGACAATAACATTTTATTCATACAAACTCGGGTCACCGAGGCTTATCAGCGCACCTGTATTTAATAAGCATAAACGTGCACCGCTATCGTTTGTAGCTGGAATATGTTGTTTTAACACGTAATCGAACAACATTAAAACATGTCATTTGAAATTCTTTACTGTACAATACGTGGTTGTTATCAGTCTAAAACTTTCACCAGGCAATAAATTTGTGAAAAATTAGAAGTCCAGTAACTTATGAGCGCCCCTATAATTCAATGAAATGTATGCAGCAGGACCAAAACGTGCAGGCTGGCTATGCCTCTGCATAAACAAACAACAGACGAACCATAACGGGATCATATATGGACAATCTATACACTGAAACACATCTTGAAAATATGTTGTCGTATAACAGTCAAGGAAATATACTTTTGGTATTGGACGATATCACTAGTAGGGTATAGCAATAGTTCGTCAATTGAGCCTTGATGTAAATTTTTCTCTGCACACTAACTGCGTTCAAATGGAGAATATTCTGAAATTTTTGAAGCAGATCTAAAGCATGCAACCTGGTTACGATACTGACTATTACAATGTCTACCAGCAGCCAAACCCAAAGCATTCCAAAACAAGCAATGTTAATTATGAGCGCAATTTAAGTTATCACAATACCATTTATGGCAATACACAATGCATACCTCAAAAACTTCGGCCGAAAGAAGAACATGAGCTGACTGAACGACATCTGCCGAGTGAGTGCTGTTGTGAAAGGGGACATGTTTCATATAATGATCCTGAAACATAAAGCAAAACAGACATTGATCGCTGGCTCCTGCCGACAAATTATAGAAAATTTTATATAGTGCACATTTTACATTCCTGATGTTATTTCGACTGTGAAAAACCGACATACAATTCTCAATGTTTTGCCATTCATACGACATTTATATGACGTAATTATGATTACGTTTTATGATTATGTAATTATGTTTTGCCATATTAAGTAAAACTGATTACGTTTTATGATTACACAAGTATGCTTTGCCATATAAAGTAAAACTATGACAAAGTCAACAATATGTAAAAGCAACTAATTGGGAACTATCTCATTATTCTTGAATTGTCATAGAGTCATTTGCTGTTAGCCAATAACCTCATGCTGAATATAAGATAAAAAACAGTTATTACTGCATTATCTACAGGAATTTTACCTCTATTAAAGTAATATAATTGATGAATGTCGACGGTTTAATCTTAAATATTCGCATCAAGTCTCTCGCCTGAAATAAATTGGAGTTCAAAATGAACAGGAATGTAAACAAAGGAAGTAAGGACAAAATAAACTGTGGGAAGTACTAAAGATTGGCAAACCTGCAATATTGTATATGTAACAGCAGCCAAAGGACGTCCATTTGTTATATCATGAAGTTTAAATACATCAAAATCCCATTTATGTACACAGTCGAGATGCTTTAAGTAAATATAAAAACGCAAGTTATGCATAGATTGTCTCGATGAAAACAAAAAAACATAAAACTTTGCCAGCCAAAGCTCCTTGATTAAACTGTGGGTTCAATCACAGAGTTCAGGAATTCAAATTCGATAATGTACTCGTTTTTTTGAGTGAGCTAGTATGGAAAGCAGTGCTGTAGAACTAAATTTATCAGATGGGGGGGGCTCTCTTGACGAAGCTGAAGCCATGAAATTATGAAAAATTACCCATTTCAAAGGTAGAAGGGGGGAGCTCCTCCCTCAAGCGCCCCCACTTCTACAGCACTGAATTGGAAAGGTTTCATCCAACGTCAAAACCATCATGTTGGGGGTGTAATGAAAAAGATGCTTAGTAAACGTCTTTGTGAGAAAACCAGTCGTCTGAGAAAACCAGACGTCTATTGCGGTGAACTTTTTTAGTTGTTGAAATAAGTGAAAACGCCCTATGTCGGGATTTAGTTGGAGAAAATGTGACTCTGATTTCAATATAAGAAAATTAAACATATATTTTTCGCAAAGGAATTCCTTCCAATCTTTCAAAGGACAAAGGTTATTCTTTTTCTAGGTTCATTATACGAGCTGAGTAAGTACATTAATCCTGCCCCTGTCTCTATTAAGATGAATATTTGTGACACCACAAAAACAATACTCGTTCTTTTTTTAACCATCAACGAACTCTCATTAGCTTAAGCCAGTACTCACCTCATCACACAAGCCATATACGTTGTGCTAAATTTGAATGTTCGCCCTCAGCCGATATAAGCCAACATATTTTATAGTTCAACTGCAGTAAAATATAGTCCATGCATTACCCTCTCCCCTTCATAAGTCCCATCGTTAACAAGCCCTTGAAAAAGGCTTGCAAATTTATGTAAGCCCAGGGCCTTTAGGCGGAAGTTGTTAACTTGAAACCTCGTGTATATACGAGTGTTTTCTGGATTAAAATCGAGTATAACAACTAACAGTGGCGTAGAAACGTGCTCTTCCCTTTCCAATTAACGAGTTGCCACACCTCTGACAACAAGCAAATATTATTGGTGAGTAATATTGGCCTTCTACCTTAGCAAGTTCTGTCTCATCTTTAACCTCCACTCCAAACCTAGAAAAGAAAAAATTTTAGAGCATTAATTGAAATTGACGGCAACTTCATGAGTAAATATCTGCACCATAATGAAAATCGTACGGCAGACGATGTATTATAGCTGCAGATTTGGTTCTCATATTGAAATGATCAGTTGTTAGAGAGTTTTAGTTTGGCCTTTACGTCAAACGGCAAAGCACCTGCTTGCGGTTGAGGTTTGCCGCTTCGAAAAAATTTGAATTTAGTTTGGCGTTTTACATTTGTATTTTACAATTCCATTGTCATGAGCTAAATTTCATGTTGTGTTAAAAGCTTGTCGATAAAAAAGGCATATTAATAAATATTTATAATGTATACTTACGTAAAATAATCATATTGAGCCATAAACGTTACTTGGTTGTATTAAAAGTACTAAAAAACTTGCGGTACATCACCTACCGCAAGAAAGGCCTCTTGTCGTTAAAACCTGAACCGCAAACAGCAACGTAAACCGCAAAGCAATGATCACGAGACTTTTTGCGGTTTGCCTTTAACGCCAAAATAAAACGCTCCATTGAATGATATATCACGTAAGGGTGCTTTCTCGACACAAAATAATCCATATAAAAAAGAAAACTATCTCCACCTCCCCACCCCTCAAAAAAAACATTTGCCTGTGTTACGCTCGACAATTATTTTACGCAAAAAGTTGTAAATAGTAGAGTCGTGTCACAAAACACTTGTCTACCGTAAATAAAACTTTATGGTTCATTGAAAAAATGGTAGAATTACGTCACGCGCACCTTGGTATGGTTCCAGAGAAACTGCTGATTCGTTTTAACTTGCCAATACTGGCGACGAGAGACTTTGAACGAGCTCGTATACCCGAAGAGGAGTCTATACTGGTGTGTTTGTCTGTAAATAAGGAAAGAACAAAGTTCAAAGTGCAAAATGTGCACGTAAACAAGTAAAATAAATTCATGACCAATTTTTGAAATGATTTGACTTGAAGCTATTAAAGTTGTATGGATATTAATTACGCTGTGGGCAATTTATTCACCTTGAGAAATCTTTTGAAACTAGCAAAATCTATTGCTAACGTGTAGGACGCTCAAAAGAGGGGAAATTTTGTTATGAAAGTGTTCGAGCATATTGAAAACAGAGCAAACAAAGTTTGCGACTATGCATTGCAGTTTCCATAAGTTTAAAGCCACTTCAAGTTGAAAAAATGACAATTCTTATGAGGTCAAGATCGTGTGTGTGTTTGCTGGTTAAGCAAATGTGATCGAAACATTGCAACTTTTCATTGTCATCAATATTCAATAACACAAGGTTTTGTTCAATGTTGATAAGTTGCAACGCATAAAAGTTAAGCCTCCAGGATATTTTTTTTCAGCTACACACAAATACAGCTACGCACACAAACAAAACAAATATTTAATGCAAAATGCAATGAGAAAAAATATTTTCATACTCACCAACGAAAGTGTTATAAACCCACATTGATAGCTCTTTAGATTGTGTTGCTTCGGAGAAGTCTTTCAATTCTCGATTCAACAATCGCTTGAACTGCATAATGAACAGAAATAAACGATTAAATTACATAACGTAGCATGAGGCCCATTCATCACATGAATAGAGCATGATGCACAACTTGTTTTCCAACAATTTGGCCTCAGCTATGTCGACAAAAGCAAATCTCGCCCTAGTTTGTTTGTGAAGAAAATAATGTCACTTGTAAGCTATGAAGTGTGCTTATAGCGAAAAAGACATAACACTATATTTTCAATGGTGCAGGAGTGGGAAACAAGATTCAGATTGCACATATCCAACAGTCGCCACCACGATCATGAAAAATTTCGGACGTGTCACAGTCTTTAACAATACTACACTTGTTAATAAGATTAATAATCATTCAGCTAAAGACTATGTTGTTGGTAGTGATTGAATCTGAATTTCGTTCACAGAGTTAGTTGCAACTACTACAGATATTCTGTTGTGGAACAAGGTCATTTATGAGTGGGGTTTACCAAGAATAAATACAAGAAGGGAAGTAGCTATTTGTACTTGAGGGTACTTCACTTATGAATGCAGTGAATCGAGCTTCTAAACAACAAGAAATGCCATAAAACGCAAATTTTCATGGGTCATTCTTTAAAGACTCAGGGTTAAAATCCGTGAATAATAGCAAAAAATATTTCCAGAAGCACACGAACGTAATCGCGCAATACACCTGCACTCTAGAGAATAGGATAGAGAAAAATGGATTCCCTAGGCAAGTGTCTGACAACTTTTCTATAATAATCCTTTGTATCGTATTCTTTAACGGTAAAACAATAAAGGTCAGTGAAATAGATTAGCTTTTTTCAAGTTTCTTTACGCAAAACTGCGTAGTTTTCTTTTCATTTACCTTATTGGATGCCAGCTCACTCACGCTACAATGTGTCTCAAGGGTCTCTAATTGATTGAGAACCCAGTCAAGCTCGTCAAGAGTATCCTTGACTAACTATGAAAGAAAAACACGAAACATAACAATAGTACAGAGACAGCTCTAGGCATGATTGACGAGTCAAGTTCGTCAAGAGTATCCGTGACTAACTATGAAAGAAAAACACGAAACATAACAATAGTACAGAGACAGCTCTAGGCATGATTGACCAGTCAAGTTCGTCAAGAGTATCCGTGACTAACTATGAAAGAAAAACGCGAAACATAACAATAGTACAGAGACAGCTCTAGGCATGATCGACCATCGTTAAAATATTGATTGAATTAGTTGCATTCGTTAAATTTCTCAATCCAGAAATACACCAACTTGCGACAGCTGAAAAATATCCCAGAACGTGAACACACATGTTCCATTTAGAACTATTGTAAAGATCTTTATTTCATAGTAAAACACGTAAAAGCCCGAAAGGAAGACGATTTTTTCGTACCCGATTTTGACATTCTCCCTGATGACTTGAGTGTCCTGCAATATAAACGCTTGCCTATCAGTGCAGCCAGTAATATTGCAATTTCGTAAGAGCACAATGGTTATAAGACATTTAAAATAAACAACAAATTTTTTTATAGCAAACATGCTTCGGCATACTTTATGCCATCTTCAGTGCGAAGTGAATAAATATGGGAAGTTTACATGATAATATGTTATAGTGATAAAGCGAAAATATCGAATAGTTATGAATAATTATTTACAGTTGAATGAGGTGTTATAAAATGTTTGTGTTAGGTTTTATCAAAGGAAAAAACAAATTACAAAATAAAGAATAATATCTTATAAGGTAGTAATCGCTATTTAAAGGTCAAAGATAGTGTTAAGATGTTGTATTTGTTTGTTGAGGTTAGGTTTACGCTTCTTGATATAAAGGGCTTCTTTGAGTTTAAGGGCGAAAGGAGTGTGAGCGGTGTCTAAGATACGGAAACAGGATTGCGTGTAATTGTTTTTGCAGAGTGGTGACGACAGTAAGTGTCTGAATGTGTGAGTTTTTGTCGGTGGTTGTGTGTTCTTTAATCCGTGTGGAAAGGTGGCGGGTGGTCTCCCCAACAATTACTAATTATTCATAACTATTCGATATTTCCGCTTTATCACTATAACATATTAGCATGTAAACTTCCTATATTTATTCACTTCGCACTGAAGATGGCATATAGTATGCCGAAACATGTTTGCTATGAAAAAATTTGTCGATTACTTTAAATATTGCAATTACTACGAAAACTCCAATCTGCCAAAAATCAAGCGTGTTTTTTTGTTCGCTGATTTAGGTCTTTCAAGTTGATTATGGGATCGACTCTAACTGATCTTAAACATTGTACTCATCGTCTCCATTCATATTGAAAACAACACTACGAACACAGTTGCATAAACAAAACCTACCAGAAGAGACACCGTTAACTTCGTATGAACTTCTCCGTCCTAGAGTTTGCTTGAAGCTAAATGACGTATACACAGATTAGCTTTGATCAGTTTTGCGCATGCTATGTACAAACTCGGTATATAAAAACATGTATATTAGGACCCAAGAACTAGACATGAACCACGCAACGGTTAGGCAACTTTGTTAGAACCGTTAGTATTCATATAAGTGGGCTACATTTAATTACAGTTTTTTTAGACAGAATTTTTTTAAGCAAAAATATTTTCAATGACAATTCTAAAACCCCATGACTTATCCTGGTAAACTGTTATTTAAAACGCCAAAATCCTGAGCATAAGCCCTTTGGATATTATTTTTCACATTTTTTCGCGCAGTCTATGATCACTGGGTGTGTAAAACGAGATGAGCTGTACTTATGAATCATTCACTTGCTTTTAAAATGGCTATTTCTATGAAAGTGAAACTAACTTCTACGAACATCATTTCAAGCTCTTGCCCTCAGCGCCCCTGCGTCCTACGTACGTCATTCACATACCTGCTTTCAATCTTTTTCGCTTGAGATACTGTCATAAAGTTGTTTCGAATTATTCTAAGACTGGATATAATCTGGTAAAAAAAGTGGATTTTATAGTTTTTCGTTTTAAGTTGCGTGGAATTTCGACGCTCTGATGGAGTAATAATAAAAAAAATTTGAAATGTATCTTGGGCAGGATACTATAACATAAAAGCATCCGAACATGCAAAATTATTTCATGGTTAACTTCAAGGCTTGGGAAACCATGGGAATATAGGTGTCCCGACAACCAGAAATTTTTCAGATGGTGGGTGTCCCCAACTGGAAGGACGTCTACAAAATTATCTCTTGCTTGAACTTTTATAATATAAATGGTAGGTTTTTGCAGATGTGAAAAATTTGAAAATCAATGAGATCTAAATGTAACTAATACCAAGCAGTTTCATCAATAGTTTATCAAATAGTGAGCTTCGAACACCGAAAACTTTTTAAAGCTTCCATAGCGCCTGTTAAATTTTAAATTTCATCACCGTCGTATACTGGCGGGTATGTTCGCGATTTGATCCGTTGACCATCTAGCAAAGGAAATTCCCCCCTCGTAATTTGTAAACTCCGTCGTAAGGAGTTGAAAGATGATAAATTTATGATTTTGTGTCCATGATCACGACATCAGACAAAGATGAGGTATTTTTGATAGTTTCTCTTAGTGCCGAAATGTATTTTCAGAGCAAGGCACATCATACCTACGGGTGTTATCTTTGCGAACTAACCTACGGCACATAACAACACTCGTTTTTCATGCGGTTATTCTGCACTCTTTAGTCATTACCAATAACATTTTACTGAAAGTTTTTTTCAATTTAAAATGATGAGCTTTCCCACATTTGAACTGAAAATGGATCTGGAGATCTTAATGAGAAAAGTCACAAACGAATTACTGTTGGCTGGTGTATTTTCTTTTGTATAATACTTTCGTAGAAACGCTTTGAAAAAGCTTTGAAAATGCTACATGTGGATTTTGACTTCGTGAAAATTTCAAATGAAAACGTAGCTATATACATGCGCGAACTTATTTTCAAGTACAGAGCAAATAGATGGATGAAAAACTTTGAGATGGCAAATCAACTCAAAAACATGAAAGAATCTTTTGCATACCTGAGCGAAGGGAGTGACAAGTTCTTCAAACCTTGTCCTTAAAACAAGAAAACAAAAGACTTTATTATTTGTAGCAATACGAACTAAGCTAGATAAACATATGCTCATTAAAAATATGGACTACATGCTATCTCTCTTATTTCTATGTTAAGGAGCAGTGACGTACATGTCTTTGTGTGGTGCACACGTCGTTCGATAGTGTAAGTCTGTAGGTAATCTCTTTTTCAATAACAAATTTTCTCGCACTTAGAGGCGAACATTGGGGGGGTGTGGGTGGGTAATCAAACACCCACCAGTTTTTGTGGAAAAACTGTTTATAAAATTCTGTCGAGAAACTGTTAGACGTCTAAAAAACTCGATACCAGAACGTAGGCCATCGCGTTTTTGGGGGATGTACGCCTCCAGTTGGTCGTGTTTTTTTTTCGTATGGCAACTTATAGTATTTACGCATGTCGTACAATCATATGAAAAGGCTTTAGCTTACCCATCACTCAACGATGCATGTCTTGGCGACATACATCTGGGGGAAATTTCACCCTCGCTGTCAGACTTGTATATAAAGGATTCTCTTCGTTGAGGTACGTAACCAGAAGGCACGGTAAGCTTTTCGCACTCGGCTCGTTCCGAAGAGCTTTCTTGAGAGCTTTTAAGGGATTTTCTGTTGGGTTTATCATTCTTCGTCGCAAAACTAAATAATAAGAAAAAAAAATGTATCAGTCCAAATAGTCATTATAGTATTGTGCGATATGTTGTGGTGTGGTGTGATTAAATGAAATATATCGGCGCTCGACAAATTATGTTGATTATTACCTCATCATCAATGACATCACCTTATTACATCCCACTACGAAGGAGATTTAAGTAAAATAGGAAAAAGTTGCCCAGCGAAAGTGGCCGGCAAAATTTGAATGGTGGGCGGGGATTTATCTTCTCTATTTCTTTACGCAAACGCTTAAAATTAGACAAGAAGTCCAGAAAGTACTATAAACTCTTTAGTTTTTTCGTCATTTCCATGTTAATCATGTTAGACCCAGTTCAAGCGTCGAACTTTTCATGTACCGAATGCATTTAAAAAAAAAATGAGGAATTTCATCTTTTGTCTATAATGCATTCGCGACATGTAAAGTTCGACGTTCGAACTGGGCTTTAATGCTCTGCTTAAAAGTAAAACGTCCACAGTGTGCTCTGTATTATGATAGTTATATCATATAAAAGAGAACTGCAGTGGAACATAATCCATTCATTACCCAACGTATTTACAAGATCTGCCATGAATAAGCCCATAAAGAAGGCTTACTAACTTATATAAGCCACTTATATGGCAGCGGTTTACGGCATTCATAGAGTCAGTAGTTAGTACGTATGCAAGGCATCGCTTACAAACATATTTAACGCTTCAGTGAACTCAATCTGCACACTGGCTCCAACACAAAAGAATTTATGCCGAGCATCGCTCACAAACATATTCAACTTATCAGTGAACTCAATCTGCACACTGGCTCCAACACAAAAGAATCTTCGTGCAAGGCATCGCTTACAAACATATTCAACTCTTCAGTGAACTCAATCTGCACACTGGCTCCAACACAAAAGAATTTATGCTGAGCATCGCTCACAAACATATTCCACTCATCAGTGAACTCAATTTGCACACTGGCTCCAACACGAAAGAATCTTTATGCAAGGCATCGCTTACAAACATATTCAACTCATCAGTGAACCAATCTGCACACTGACTCCAACACAAAATAATTTTATGCAAGGCATCGCTCACAAACATATTCAACGCATCAGTGAACTCAATCTGCACACTGGCTCCAACACAAAAGAATTTTATGCAAGGCATCGCTCACAAACATATTCAACTCATCAGTGAACTCAATTTGCACACTTGCATGCATGCCAGGGTAAAGCGGAAGTTGAGCATGTAAAGAAATTTTTAGGCCTGATAATTCCTATGTGAATGAAACAGACTTTAATGATTAATTTTTAGTGAGGTCTTTACTATTTTAACCGTTTGCCCTATGCATATGGCATTGAACACTTTCTCGAAATTCGTGAACAACGCAATTTATTAACGTTTGATATATTTACACGTATAGCCACGTTGCTATAAAAAACATCCGCCTACATTCACCTGGTTGGGATCAACGATCACAAACCCTACATGTCTCTAATCCCTAACGCGAATGTTGTCGAACAATGTCTGTAATTTCGCATTATCCTTGTTTGCGAGCGCTTGTGTTCTTTCGTAGACTTGGTCGTACATAGCCAATGTTTGATAACAACTTGATTTAAATACATACAATACATCCGAATCCATAGATTATTTACATTATGGGGCGAAGCGTCCTTCATAGTAATGCTTTGCAATACTTGGTATTGAAAAAATGCTGCTGATTCTAATATCAAGAGAAGAGAAGCGTTGGATAGCAAACTGAACCTTTCAAAGAGTAAAGGACTTCCACTACGTATTTTATCATTTAGGCCATCTCTTTCTAGATCAAACTACGTCCTTCAATCTTTCAATCTTACTCCAACGCTTGGCTATCTTGTGTAAAAAATTACGATGAACATAAAACTTATCCTTTTTAACGGGTGAAATCGATCAGCACGCTAGACTTAACCGTTCACGTGGCAGACTTTTTATTCGAAAAGCGAAAAGTTGGCAAAAAGTCATGTAAAACCAGCAAAGTCTGATGACTTTAATTTTAAAATAAATATTTGCAAACGTATAAGCGTAAATTCAAACACAGAATATAAGTTCTGTGTGGCTTGCTGCGTAGCAGTCAGAGAAATATGACACATAATATCTTCATGATCAGCTTTCAAACGACAAGTGCCCACACGTAAATGGAAATAATGTATAAATACTGTGCTTTCTCTCATAGTAAATAGATGCCCTGCAACTGTTTTGTACACACATACGGATGCATAAATGGCCCTAGCACGCTTATTTGCCAGTGAAGTTGTGCGAAAAAGCAAGAAGCAAAAACATGCACTCGATCGTTCAAAAGACAGCATGCAAACATCACACTGCGCCTAGCATCATTACTTTTTAAAACAATAACAAACAGGCTGGAGTCGAAAAACGTTTAAACGTTTTGAAGACTCTCGGAATGAAGAACGAAAAGCTAACCGAAAACGTCTGTCAGTAGAAGCACGTACGGCACTGAAACCGAATCGTATGGCTATCGCGTACACACAAAAAAGTTATCACCGACAGTCATCGACCAAAAACCGACCGCTGTAATAGATTGGGGGTGAAAGATAGTGGCCCTGAATAACGATGGAAATGTCAACGTCCCGATACGATTTGATATCGCAAATATTTATCAACAAAAGAATGACATCTTTCGAACAAGTGAGGTTGAAGGCAGTTGCCTGTCTTCGATAGCGACTTGTGCGTTACACACCGTGCATGAAATATCAATTCGAATGTATTGCAAAGCGCAGTAGAAAACATAAAGGAGAAGATTACAGCTAACCATGAGGTTGTGTTCTTCGAGGGCCAAGATCCCATGTCTAGAGAGTTGAGGTAAATTACCATACCGATGTACAGGTGCAACGAATGTAGCCAATTCGCAAAATACAATCCGGAGTTTCAACCATTTGAGCAGCAAGAACAAGAGCAATCACAGAGCAAGTCACAGAGCAATCGCCGATTCGTTATCTCGCCCGCTAGCAAATCTTCGCCGTTGGCTGGTAGGAAGGGAAAAAAATATTCAAAACTCAAACGTCACAACGACCGACGGAGACGTCTATCAATTCGAATAATGTTTGCCGTGAAAAATTATGCGGAGAATTTGGAATAAATTATACTTTGCCTTATATGGGCAAGGGCTTGTCTTAACAGCCAGCTGTATTTGCGCAAACGTTAGCTATACAGTTTTAACGTGTCTCTAAAGTCAACTCTATCATTATATTGAAGAACTCATAAGGAATTCACCTCATTTCATGTTTGTTAATCATGTGTAAGAAGTATCAATTCGCAAACTCTTCAGCTCCATGCATGGCTATAGCTTTGCCTAAAAAGCACTGAAGAAAGGAAGAGGAGATGCATGTTTTCCTCTTTGAATGCATTGCATAAGACGTAGCACGTATGGCAATGATAATGATTCTAATTCCTCTTATTTAATGAGAAATACTAGCATGATAGCCACCAAAAGCTGCGAACGCAACTTAGCACTGTTAGTCAAAATGTTAGTCTTAATATACTATTAGTAAAAATGTATTGTTCAGCTATGAAACATAAAGTATTATTCCTCTTGTACAAGCCAATTCATTTTCATCCCAAGTCTGTAAAAATGCTAAAGATTGCGAAAGCAAGACCATCGAGCAAAATTAAATATGCGAATTCTATAGAGTTTTTCATAGGATGCAAAGAGGAAGATGGGATGATTACTTCATAAAAAGGTAGCAAGCCTAGAAGCACAGAATCAAGGACTCAAAGTATTTTGTTTTGGTTTTGATAAGGAAGTAAAGTGCAGAATAAATTATCATCGAGAAAAATTCCATCACGAAAGTCATAAAGGTGAAATGACTGTTCGACAGAGTTATGCATTTGAAGTTAAAAATCGAGGATGCCACCCTTAATGTCGTCAAGTGAAATAGAAGAGAAGTAGAAATGCTAGATAGTGAGATAGATCAAATGACTCAAAGTATCTCCAAATGAGATCGTTGATGACTTTCATAGAAATGGTCGTGCAGACAGCGGAAGTGGTGATGAATGATTTGATACTAAGGATAGGAATACAGAAAGACACAAGGTTGACAGAGTACGGTGGACGGAATGGTGGAAGGCAAAGAAGGAGGAATGTTGGGATGTTTTCAGGAGGAAATGAGAAGGGAACGAAGTAGTCAAGATGTGCTTCCAGATGATAAGAGTCATAAGACCACTTCAGGAAACGTGATTTAGGGAACATAATAATTTCCGGCATATCTCCTGGAAAGCAAATAGATAAAATGACTTAATGCTCGAAAGAGAAGATGAGTGTAAACAAAGAAGCGAAGCGAAAAAAGAATAAACGGGGACTGCGAGAAGACCGAAGAGAGTAAGACCTGAAGGAGACTTGGTAAAGAATCTAAGTATTGCTTTGAAAAGCGTAATTGCAATGGTGAATAAAACTACAGCCTAGCGTGTTTGCGTAGGTTCTGCAAAGAACCTTTAGAACAGAAATCAAGGGCAAAATACGACAGAATATGCATTTCAGTAGACAACTCGTCAGGTATCAATGTCTGCTGATTGTGAGAATGTCTCAACCGATATTAATACAAGTTTCTAGAGTGAAGATGTCATCCTGTGTACACAGACGAACATAATAAAAACAGCACTAACTGAAAGAGCCAGATCATTAAGCTTAATGAAAGATAACTGAAGTAATTTTCAAGCATTTTTTTGTTGACTGTTTATTCAACATGGCAAATGTAATAGCCCATGGCAGTAAATAGATTGAAGTAGAAATGAAAAAGCCAAACAAAGAGAATACGATGACTTGCCACTGGCGTAGCTAGCCCGCAAATTTTGGTCCTACTATGCAAATTTTACATCACTATCATTATTCATTTCTTTAGAAATCTGTTGTTTTTACAGTGAGTGAACACGGAAAAATTAACATAGCAGGACAAAATTTGCGGGCTGGCTAGGCCACTGTGACAGACTTGCATGCTTGGTTGTACACTTAGGAAGAATGATTTATACAGATTAGCAACGCTAAGAAATAGCAATTGCAAGGAATATGCAGCAGGTAAGGATAGCAGGTCAAGAATGTAAATTCTATGGAAAATATGAAAAGTATGACAGGAAAAAGGACTTTGAAAAGCTGATGATTGAGGAAAATGAGGGAGAGTGAAAAGTACACAGTGTGGCCGTTGACGGCCAGAAGATAAAGATTATTAGTAAAGATGAATTTAGGTATATCCCGTGGAGCACGAAGAGTGGAAGGGCATTCTTGAGTATAAAGTATAAAGAAATAATAAGGATGAGTCACATGATGAAAGCATGGAAAGAGTAGTAAAATCTACATTGGGCAGATGTGAACATTTGCGATTAGCACTCAAAGGCTAATTGAGAAAGATAAAGAGAGTCTACGAGAGCTACTTGTTTCTTGGCAGATTTGGTGCTAATATGAAATAGTTTGAATAGAGTTTTATAGTCACGTACACGGAGAAGAATAATTTGGTAAGGGGGCTCATATTAATATATCAATTCATATGTTATAATTTGTTATTGCAAATGATTTCAGGCGAAATTAGTGAAGTACAACAGTCATATACGATTATCAACCCCCTTCCAAAGTATGGACTTTGTGTTGTCCCAGTAGTGGTATTGCAGTATGAGGAAGTCTTTAGTGGCACAAAGGTAGTTAGAGCACAGGATAGCTGTAAAGCTGTAAGACAAGGTTGAGACGTACTGTAGTCAAGACAGATGGTTAACCTTAAAGAAGGTGTGTACCAAAGATCGTTGTATGTAAAACAAATTATGCTTGAACACAAACTTGTTTGGTATCCAAGTATAAAAACGGCAAATACGGCATTTATAAAGCTACGGTTAAATGAATAAATTATCGCATAAAGTATGGTTACCATATAAACGGATTAACCACTTAAAGTAGATTTATCAGTTAAATGAATGGGAATTAAACATACAAAAAGTAGATTTACCTGCTCAATTAGTGTATTTGTCACTTAAAGTGGATTTACCGTGTAAATGTATGAATTTGTCACGTAAAGTGGATTCACAAAGTGAATTGATAGAATCAACAATTATCAGTCAGTAAATTTACCATTTATGTAACAATCACATTGAATCACTAAATAGTTGCACAACCATTTTCGTTGTTTTCTTTCTACGTAGACACAAAACACGTAGTTACAACTCTGCGTTGAAGCACCCCCAAAATCAATAAAACCTTATAGTATTCGTTGATGTCTACTGGAGTGACCAAAATTGAAATTTTTGAAAATAATTCTTTTCCAGTCTATGAGTTACACTTCCTTGAAAGACTTATCAAAATTCATTAACAACGAAGGCAACAAACAAGAAAATCTAAACACTGAAAATAAACCTGTTCAAACCAAAACAACACGAACATAAAGTACCTACTATACATTTAAAATACCTTATTAAACACAAAATGATCTAGACTCGACCTAGGCATAAAAATGTAGTTTATTTTCGCTTATAAATGAAAGATCTCTTTAGTTCCATTCATTTCCCAGTTTTCTCGAATCATGGTCTCAATTATGTTTTCTCAAACATAAAACAATGTTGCTTTGAGTGCCTTGGCTGATAGCCTTTTTATTATTAAAGAAACAAGGGAAAAGCAAAAATAATGTACAAGACCTGAAATGAAACCCTCTTTCAATACAAAAATGAAGCAACAGATTTTAAGCTCAAAAAAATATCCACCAATCTTTAATTACCACAACCACGGACCAATAGCATGAAAAATACTTTCTGTACGATGGTACTTAAGAACTGAACTTCTATTTCAAACCAAATTAGAAAAACTCATGTAAATATTTTACTTTCATATTTCTTTAATTCGTATATCACTGTAATTTTTTGATAACACGCCCTCTATAAAATCCTGCTTCGGTTGATGGAGTTATAACGTGGGTAAATGAAGTTCATTCATTCGTTCGTTCGTTCGTTCGTTCGTTCATTCGTTCGTTCGTTCGTTCGTTCATTCATTCGTTCATTCATTCATTCATCATTCATTCATTCATTCATTCATTCACATTCATTCATTCATTCATTCATTCATTCATTCATTCATTCATTCATTCACTCATTCATTCATTCATTCATTCATCATTCATTCAACCTCTCTTTCACTCTCTCTATAATATGCAAATTGTTAAAAGTAAGCATGTCGAGCGACATCGTTGCAAACGAAATAATGAAACAAAATACTTATTTTCGACATAAATTTATTAAATGCAGCTGCGGTATTAGCACAACGGCAATCACCGCAGCCTATTGAAGAGGATAAAATAAAATTTGATGATATTCATAACCAAATAAGAAGAGAATTTTTAGAACTAAGCCTTTCGATAATCCTAAGAATTTAAAATCTGCCCATTAAATGACAGACAGCTTAATGGTTTTTAAAAATAACTGGCTGTGTGCCACATGTATTGCTTGAGATAATAAAAAAAACATGCCTGCTTCTTTTTCGAAATGCAAGTATTAGTGGGAATAACTAAGATATGGCAGTGTTCCAATCTTAGCAAATAGCTTATCATATATCACCGACGAAGACGCGTGGCTTTATTTTTTTCAAATATTAATATATAAATACAACATGCTGTTCACTGTAGAGCAGCAAATTTAAATCATCAACGATGATGGTCAAAATATAAAATATATAAGCGATATCCTTGGTTTAAGAAAGCGCATGGGGATCAAGGCAAATCAAGCGCATGGAAATGAAGATCAAGGCAAAATCTACATAATACCATACGGCGTTTCAAGTGCTCGAATTTAGGTTTTATCGCGAGTCCCGAATCCATTCCATTTACTGACCAATGGATCCAGTCAGCATCTTTCAGCTGTTTATTCAAACAAAGCTTGCTGCGAAAATTGTATTCTTGTGAAAACAAGTCGACATCATTGTATAATGACATATTGACTTAGCGAGACCAGGGACAGCTGGTGTTCAACCTCGTCAACGGTTTATATAATTAACATATATATGAGTATCGTGTTTACAAAGTTGACAATTTTTGTCAGGTTACAAGAATATAAGCTGCGGGTTATATGCTAACACAAGCTAATACTTATTGCACATTTCCACACATGTACCGCAGATTATCGTCAACGCAATGCGGTCACTGATGCGGTCGTATATATGCATGGTATACTATAATGTGGAAAGTGTAATTCTTCATATGAGATGGGCATGATGAGTGAAGGCAAAATATAAGCTACGTATAATGTTTTGTTATTTACAGTATATGATGATTAGTGACGGTATTATAAGCAATGTTAATTTCTCATAGGGTAGATGTCGCACTCACGGCCTCAAGAATACTACAGAATATGCTATAAGTCTCAGATAAATAGCATTGGCCATATATTGGCTCGCAAAACAAAGCCTCTCTCTTGTATTTCTTCACCCATTAGAGTTCTCGAAAGTACTTCCTAATCCTCTGTACTATTTCTTCACTGATAACGTGGCCAACTTAAAGATGTTGTAGTACGATTTTTGTTTGAAAGCATGCGAGACTTTCAAAAATTAAATAGTAATATTGATGCACACTCTCGAACGGCGAATACTACTTGCAAATTTAGTTATTTGCTCAATGGCAATATACGGCCAGTTAGTGATGGCTTGCTCAAATTACGTACGGCATTTATAAAATCGAGGAAATGGGAAAAGTAAGCAGTCCTTGCTTGGGAAAGTTGAAATAGTCGAAACTTATCAGAACAGGAATAAGAAAACAACGACGATGGAAATAAGTAGAAGCTGCGTGTGTTCCGATACAACAACTTTAAATAACAAGCATCTTGATAAGAAATTGAACATGCAAAACATTTACATAACATTGAAACACAATACGTAAATGGCGATCACTTCAAACTTACGTCGAACGATCGAGCCCATTGTACGACTGTTCGTCGTCAATTGTGAGTGATATAGAAGGCTTTGCCTCCTTCATTTTAAATTTAACACCTTTTTCATTCTCCGATGTCGGTTCGCTCATGATGCAAATCCCTCTTCAATTAAAATCCTTCTGTTTAACACATACGTTTCTAGGTCGTAAATTCACGCCTTTTTTTGAATATTACCCAACGTTTTTCTCGATGCTCAGGCGGTACGTCTTTCCCTCGTGTAAATAAACGAGTCCTCGCAAGATTCAAGCTTTTATGTTAATCTTTCAAAACACTCGTGTATCTCAGAGGGGAATATATTGCGGAGCGCAGTTGTTGGTCAATTGTTGATCCACAAAGTGACGACGTTCATGATGTGCTCGTGCTCCTACGTTTTCAACGATGACGAGTAATTCTCGCTACCAGGCGGTCAAATAACATCAACGAACGAAAAGCTATCATCAGCTTAAATATATATAGGTATTTACAGCGATCGCATCGCACAATGTGGTTCATCGATTAATGATTAATTAAGCCGCAAGAACTACTACGTCGACAAACATTAAAAGCAATACTTATGTATTCATCATTGCGAATAGCAGATGCAAAGTTGCACTCTAAACCACTCATGCAATAACATGAAAATATTGGTAAGTCCGTAGGGAGTTCACTTTCATATCATAATTGTGTTAATTCCTTTTGAACACGCACGCTGTCTTCGTAAGCAACGAATTCTTACGACGTGCAAGGGTTTCATCGTCCTAATTCTTCAATTGTTGACGCTGTAAAAGAGAAAAAATCGTCAACATTTATAAATATATACGTACAATGAAAATTGACGTTCGGCAGTGCCAACATACAATATTAATGACGTTTGGTCGAATTGGGCCTAGCTTAGACCTAGTTCATATACATCATACTACGACGCTATGAAACGTTTGTATCAACTCCCAAACCAATATTCAGTTGGTATAGGCGATATGATAGCACTCTTATATTTCGAAATTCGATTTTTAGTTGCACTAGAGGGGGATAGACCAAACTCTAGCGTAAATGCATGAGACAGTGAACTGTAGAATCAAGAGCTATCGTGAACAATTTCTTGAACACTGCAGTTGCTGAACACTTACATCAACACTGGTCCATTAGCAGAAAATAGTCGAATAAAATGTCTTATGATGAAAGAACATGAACAGTCAAAGTTTCCACGACTTCAAAAACTTCTGCGGATCTAACAGACTTAGCATTTAATATTCAAAAGCCTTACACAAATGGAGTACAAAACATCGAAGAACTTAACTTCAACTATTGAATCAGAAAAGGACAAAGATGGTGGGTTATTATTACATTCTGAAGTGAAAATGGAGAGTCTTACGTAGAAAATGTGATAGCGATAGTACCTATACTTATGAGTTAATGAAAATGAAAACTTTGCATAATTTAAGCAAGTGTAGAAGTGCAAATGAAAAAAGCATTCGAAAATTAACTTATTAAAGTACGACCCAACAGCATGTGGCTGTCCATCAACACAGTTTTAAAAAAACGAAAGTTTCCTGACGTGCTCATTCATGCTTCCCAAATATTATTCAAAATATCTGAATTTCTTTGACGATTTGGTTATAAGTTTATAGATGTTATTTCACATCATGCCGGCACCATCTTTTTACACATAAAACGGATTGCTTTGTTACATTCTTATTTCACCATCAATTTGTATGTGCAGTAGTAAACGCCAACTCAAGAGCAATTGTGAGTAAGGCGGGAGAAAGTTTCAACAGAGAGGGGCCTAGTGGCTAGTGATTTAGCAACATAACAGCAATTATGTTTCAGTCAAACAACTTCAATTTAACACAAATTGACCAATTTTTTTCACAAAAGGGCTTTTAGATAAATCCGAAATGAATTTCATTCGTATTGCGTCCTGTAGTGCGTTTACGTTATTTCAAAAAAAAAACTAAAAATTTTTAAATCCAAACATCGTTCACTGTGGTTTAAAATTGAAATTTAAATCTGAGATATTGCTGCCATTTTAAATTAATATTCGGCGTGTAAAAGCGACGGCGTTAACGATCGCCTCATAGTATACATACAGTAAGAACGACAGTTGAAAATTTCGAAGCATATGACCAATGTGACGTTCAGTACTTCTCTTGAAATTCATGGTTGCAGGAAAAAAATGAAACATGTACCGGTTTATTCAGTTTTAAAATTTATCATAACAAGCAGTTTCCATGGTTATATTGCTTGATTTTATACTGTTTTATACTGCGTGAGAAATTGTGGTGCAGTCTATTCCAGGAAACTTTTACAAAGCGTCAAAAGAGTAACAGTTGGCCTTCTTCCCTACTGAACGTGAGATAGCTATGAGTATTTATTTCTAATCATGTACATCTGGAGCGAGACGTCCTACATCTCCTAATCGTTTTATCTAATTCATTCATCGCAAACTATAGTTGCTTTCTCTCTGAGACCGATGGTTCGGTTAATTATGCTATCGAGTTACCAAGGGCTTGCCTCGATGTACATATCCCAAAGGACCATGACATAATACTGATCAATTTTACGAAATTTTGAAAGAGAAAAATTAGAGATAAAAAACAGTTAAAAATGGTGCATGCATATTCATCACTGCACGATATATGGGAACACAAATTGCATTCGCATGATTGTTAATTTTTCATCGGTCTACTTCCACCGTTCGATAAACGATGTTGCAATTTGACAACTATGCCACATCACCGGGCTATCACATAATGTCGTTACACGAATTCCTTCATAATGTGACAGCTGAAAGAAAGAACAGATGCGTTGCCCGATGAAGAGGGCAAAGTCCGTCGAAAGAATGATGTTCGAGTTCTTTGTTATCCTTTCCTCGTTTTTATTATGACTTCACTTTTCCAACCGTTCCCACATTTTTTTATAGACACTACGTAGCTACAGTTGGATGATCTATTCGAGTTTTTTTTTCATTGTAGAGGTAGTACAGACGAAGTGTAGTTCACTGTGTATCGATATTGATTGCGCAAAACCAATATTGAAAGGATGCTAGTGAACATAACTCTTTAACGCATTATATAGAAAGGAAAAGGTTTTGGAGATTGCAAAACTGTTGGTATAAAGGTGTTAGCACTTTTAAAATGTGTCAGCATTTTTTATCTTGGCATGCTGGTACCGGTTCGCTTCTCATTATGTTTCAACTCTTAGTATGTACGAGCTTAAGTACACATCAACTGTAGGGAAATAATTCGCCCATTAACTTTGAACGTAACAATCGATGTTCACCTGATCCTCGAAACCTGCATCACAGAATAATCATTATACAGAAGGGTCACTCTGGTGTACAACGCGTCCTCATGTTGGCCATTATTCCAGCAAGATGATTAGAATTTCTCACTTGTTTCCAACCATTAAAATTATATGAATACTTAATAATGAATTCAAGTATATTTTAACTTAAGAAATGACTTCGGGTCATTTTAAAGTTTTGGAAAAAGTCAAAAATTCTAATCATCTTGCTGGAATAATGGCGGCAAACATGAGGCACGACATGCGCGAGGACAAAAACATCAAAGGCTCCGACACGAGTGAACATTCTTATTCTGTGTCTACATTTTCCCACGCCTCTATGTGGTATAAGTAGAAGGAAACTTCATCACTGAACTACGCTGCAAAAACTAATGAAATTTATATGGTTTCACAGGCAAAAATAGCTAAACGCTTAAATCCGAATTTGCATTCTTGTTCTATAGAATAATACACAAAGTTTCACTCTCTTCTCAAACTCCATCTGAATTTCGCAGTCAGTCATTGTAATGGCTTAGGAGTAATTTTCATACGAGACACAAAGGCATGTCTACCACACTTCGCTATACTTTCACTTTAGTAATTTTTAACGTGAATGGAAAAATATATAATTACATGAAATAATATGCACAAATTCAGAGCTTTCAAATCCTCACAGTTTGACCGCTACTTCGAATCTTTATTGAACGGTTTGACCACGAAATTTTACGGTTTTCCAGATCTCAATTTCAACAAAAAGCACCGTGACTTAACTGCGTTATCACTGTTTCCATCAAAGATCTGTTATCGATCAAGTCCATCTTGTATAATTTGCAAAAATGCAGTGTCTTGTTTTATCTAGATGGACTTGCATGTATTCTTAAATGTTTTTAGTGGATGATATCGATAATGTGGGATTTTTTTAGGGGATAATATTGATAAAGTGGGATTTTCCATATACCTCTTGATTAGCTACATTAAGCATTATTAGCTGGTGGTAAATCCTGATTATGATAATCAAGTCAAATCACATAACTTCGTGTTCAATTTGAGAGGTGAAAAACGGAACGGAAAAATGGACAAAAGAAAGGAAAGTTGATTAATATATATAATCAGGCAAGCTCGATAACTTCAGCTTTTGCTCGGAAAATATTAGCTAAGAGTCGACTCTGGCCGTCCATTAAACGTCTAACTTAAGACGCCGCGAGAACAGCATGTTTTTTTTATACTCCTACAATGCAATTATCTTTTCGCTGCAAATACCTCATTCACTGGAAAAAACGATGAATATAAAAACACTTTTCTTAAGAAATGTATACAATAATTCGCCGATAAATAAATAATAGCTACCAAAAATTTGCATTGTTGGAAAAAAGTACGTGCCGGCGAAACGTTGCGAACGTGCACGAAAAAGTTGCATGAAATCTTTGAAATAGGAACATTTCAATTTTCAAACAAATGAGTGTGGTGAGTGAAAAAGTATTTGATAGCAGGCAAACCTGATCAGCTATGTACGTTAGATGTTTTCCATGAGAGGCGTCACACAAATTAAACAATGCTACAAACAAAAACAGTCAAGACTGATAAGAGGGCGAAAGTAATTTATCACAATAAATGCGAGGCGTGCAGCATGACACGATTGTTTGTAGTCGAAAGATATACCAGATATCGAAAAAAGGCAACCACATTTTTTTATTTACTATAAAACTTAGCTTGCTATGTTTACTAAGGCATATGCAGGCTGTCCCATAGTTTGACTTCGTAATAACTAGATGTTTGGCTTCACTATAACTCAATTTTTGCTGTATTACAGCTCAGTTCTTGGTTCAGTTGCGCGAAATCAGTTCTCCCGGTCAGGGCGAATGTTGAATGTATTCCTAGAGACTTTCCATACTTTGAGGCAACCAAGTCATTTTGAATTAGACCCGCTGACACGTTTCGTGAATGTATTTCGTCAAGATAGCCAAGCTCTCTCCCTCCCCCTCCCCCAAGTTGGCTAAGATTTTCTATACCTGCGTTTAAAGTAAGGCCAATGAGGTTGGCACATTTTTGATTGATGATTGGATGAACATGAGATATGTGTAAACCATTGAACTAAAATACATGGAACGCTACCTGAAGCAAATAATTGAAGCCAAATCTTACATCAGACACACGAGATTTTACCCCAGATACGCGTGTGTCGTGTTTCCAGATTCTATCGCGGAGTAATAATTGATTGACGCGTGTCTGGGGTAAAATCACGGCTTCAAAAAATTATTAGGGTTTTGTATTACAGGTAGCGTTCCATGTATTTTAGTTCAATGGTGTAAACAAAAGATGAAAAATGGCGACAGTACCAAACAAGATCTGTATCATTCGTTTTAATTATGCACACACAAAAAACTTAGATTTAACGTGTTTCAGGTGTACGCCAAGCCATGCATTACTTCAATGCTTTCATTGTTCATAACGAAAGATTAAATCTTCAGTTCTGAGAACAAGAAAAAACGCCCCATGC